TTCGTAACAGGACCTAAAATTAACACCCGCCACCTGCCGGTAGATTTGGGCATTGTCGGGTAAGATGTCTATTTCACCAGCCATGTTGGCAGGTGGTCAGGGCTCCACAGTGCAAGCATTACACTCATATTTGTGAACAAAAAGTCAAGTATGATCACATGTATAGTAAAATAAATGCTGCAGTAGCTGTTCAAAGTATTTCTGCTATTTTGTTTCATAGCTGGTCAATTATACTGAACAAAAATAGAAACGCAACACGTAAAGTGTTGGTCCCATGTTTCATGAGCTGAAATAAAAGATTCCACAAAATGTTTCATATTCACAAAAAGCTTATTTGTCTCAAATATTGTGTAATTTAATCTTATTTTTTTAACATTCCTGTTAGTGAGCATTTCTCCTTTGGTGAAATAATCCATCCACCTGACAGGTGTGACATATCAAGAAGCTGATTAAACAGCATGATCATTACACAGGTGCATCTTGTGCTGAGGACAAACGGCCACTCTAAAATGTGCAGTTTTGTCACAAAACACAATGCCACAAGTTGAGGGAGCGTGCAATTAGAATGCTGACTGCAGGAATGTCCACCACAGCTGTTGCCAGAGAATGTAATGTTCATTTCTCTACCATAAGCCACCTCCGTCGTTTTAGAGAATTTGGCAGTACGTCCAACCGGCCTCACAACCGCAGACCACGTGTAACCATGCCAGCCCAGGACCTCCACATCTGTAATAAAGCCCTTTTGTGTGGAAAAACGAATTCTGATTGGCTGAGCCTGGCTCCCCAGGCCCACCCATGGCTGTGCCCCTGCCCAGTCATGTGAAATCCATTGATTAGGGCCTAATGGATTTCCTTATATGAACTGTAACTCAGTAAAATCTTTGAAATTGTTGCGTTTATATGTTTGTTCAGTATAATTTACACAGTCAAAGAACTACGAATCCTATATTGCCTATTCCACTTCGTGCTGCAACACTGCCTGGCTGGGGGCTGTGCACACGTGAAGAGCGGAGTGAAATATTCATTTTTAGAAGCGCTGCGCACACGCATAAAGAATGTCTAATTTGTAACCAAAGATTAAGGCAAAATACAATATACTTCAAATTGGTTTATTGAATCATATTAGTTGCTCCATTTCAACATGGAATCATACAAGGACGACCAACCTCTTTCCTGGTTCCATATTTTCCCAGTTATATTCAAATCAATATATTTTACACAATTTCTAAAAGGAATCAACTTCTGGAAATCATATCCAAGGTGTTAAACTTCATATTGAAATATATATAAAAACACAATTGTAGCCTACAGGAGGGTGACATAAATTGCCTTCGGAAGGTATTCAGACCCCTTGACTTTCTCCACATTTTTACATTAGCCTTATTCTAAAATGGATTAAATAAAAATCCTCAGCAGTCTACACACATTACCCCATAATGACAAAGTGAAAACAGTTTAGAAATTTCAGTAAATGTATTAAGAATAAAACAGAAATACCTTATTTACATAAGTATTCAGACCCTTTGCTATGAGACTAAAAATTGAGCTTGGGTGCATCATGTTTCCACTGATCATCCTTGATGAACTTGATTGGAGTCCACCTGTGGTAAATTCAATTGATTGGACATGATTTGGAAAGGCACACACCTGTCTATATAAAAAGGTCCCACAGTTGACAGTGCATGTCAGAGCAAAAACCAAGCCATGAGGTCGATGGAATTGTCCGTAGAGCTCCGAGACAGGATTGTGTCGAGGCACAGATCTGGGGAATGTCTGCAGCATTGAAGGTCCCCAAGAACACAGTGGCCTCCATCATTCTTAAATGGAAGCAGTTTGGAACCACCAAGACTCTTCCTAGAGCTGGCCCCCAGGCCAAACTGAGCAATCGGGGGAGAAGGGCCTTGGTCAGGGATGTGACCAAGAACCCGATGGTCACTCTGACAGAGCTCCAGAGTTCCTCTGTGGAGATGGGAGAACCTTCCAGAAGGACAACCATCTCTGCAGCACTACACCAAATCAGGCCTTTATGGTAGATTGGCCAGACGGAAGCCACTCCTCAGTAAAACACACATGACAGCCCGCTTGGAGTTTGCCAAAAGGCACCTAAAGACTCAGACCATGAGAAACAACATTCTCTGGTCTGATGAAACCAAGATTGAACTCTTCGGCCTGAATGCCAAGTGTCACATTTGGAGGAAACCTTGCACCATCCCTACGGTGAAGCATGGTGGTGGCAGCATCATGCTGTGGGGATGTTTTTCAGCAGCAGGGACTGGGAGTCAGGATCGAGGGAAAGATGAGTGGAGCAAAGTACAGAGAGATCCTTGATGAAAACCTGCTCCAGAGTGCTCAGGACCTCAGACTGGGGGTGAAGGTTCACCTTCCAACAGGACAACGACCCTAAGCACACAGCCAAGACAATGCAGGAGTGGCTTTGGGACAAGTCTCTGAATGTCCTTGAGTGGCCCAGCCAGAGCCCGGACTTGAACCCGATCGAACATCTCTCGAGAGACCTGAAAATAGCTGTGCAGCGACGCTCCCCATCCAACATGACAGAGCTTGAGAGGATCTGCAGAGAAGAATAGGAGAAACTCCCCAAATACAGGTGTGCCAAGCTTGTAGCGTCATACCCAAGAAGACTCGATGCTTTAGTCACTGCCAAAGGTGCTTCAACAAAGTACTAAGGGTCTGAATACTTCTGTAAAATGTGATATCAGTTATTTTTTTATACATTTGCTAAAATCTGTTTTTGCTTTGTCATTATGGGGTATTGTGTGTAGATTGAGGATAAAATATTTAGATTTTAGAATAAGGCTGTAACGTAACAAAATGTGGAAAAAGTCAAGGGGTCTGAATACTTTCTGAAGGCACTGTATGTGTCTAGAAAGAAAGTGTTAGCACACCAGAACGTTACAAGCTGAAGCTGAACAGTCTCAAACATTTCATACAGTAGTTCAATATAGAAACCAAAGTTGCTTATGCTCTGCATACACATAGCTCTGACCATCGCTAAACAAAAGCTCAACTAGAGGCAATTAATTTCCTCTCACATGTACAATATATCAAACACACCATATGCTGACAATCATATACTGCGGACAGTAAAACGTAATTTTTTCAGAGCAAGAAAACTCCTCTGTGTTTATCACAAAGATAAGCGTAGTTGAACGATTAGTTATTTGGGGCTTCATGGGAGTAAGTCATCTTAAAAAAGGCCCAGTGCAGTCAAAATTGTGTTTTATATCATACGCAGCTGATGAAAGTCCTATCAAAATTCTTGCTTGAAAGTTTTTTGCAACAAAAGCTATTTTTGCCCAATTTAATTGAAGTATATTACAGTAAGTACAGTTGTTACCCAGAAATGACTTGATATAAAAACTGCTCCATTGGACGTTTAATACTGACATGTGGGACCCATGGAATTACAAACTGACCCTTAGCATTTAAACGTATTGAACTATGGTATCTTTTACACTTCTAACTCAGTATTGGTGACCTACCAACAATCTGTTTTCATGGAACTGTAGTCATGCATATATACTGGTACCATAAATTCATGAAACTTTCCCTGGAAAAAAATCTCTGTTTTGACCAATATCAGTAACAGAAAAAAAAAATTATATACAGAAATAGGTGCTCATTCAATTGTACCAGATTGTCAGGCTGAGCAGAGAATTCACACATGCCCCTTACTCCAATGAGTCAGACAAATAGTTAATAAGATTAGGTCTAGGTAGTTTGCAGAACCATTTACACATCAAGAAGAAGAAAAAACTAATCAAAAATGCAATAAAAAGGTATTACACATACACGCAAAGGGGACATGATCTTACTAAACCCTTGCCTTCCAAAATTCATCAGTAATAGGACAATTGTTTCACTACTTTCACTGTTAAGGTACAGTAACAGTTTAGCAAACAAACATTCCTCTGTAGTGCAAACTATCGAGCAGTCGGTTCTAATAATGTCTGTTCCATAACTTTGAACTTTGTTCTCAGGAAGAAATACATTATTTCAGTCATATGCAGATAGTTCTAGGTGGCACAAGAAAACACGCGCTTAAAATGTATGTTTTTTTTTATTTATAAGGGCATATTAACATGGACGGGTGGAGGGGAACTGCAATGCAAGTGAAAAAACATCAAGCATAGTTAGAGGATTTTTGCAGTTACCATAAGACACCTTGTGGACAGGAAGACACTGGTAATCTTCAGAAGGCTGTTAGAAGTGTCGTGACCTGGCAGTTTAAAAACACACACTGAAAAGGCGTGACCGACAAAAGTGGGAACCTCAGTTTTGCAGAGCAAAACATCAATCCCAAAAATGTGAAAAAGAGACCACAAGAACCCTTAAATCCAGTTGTCTGTGAAAGTCAATATGCCAGGGCATTCAGCTCAAAAGTGTGTTCAAGTTCCTGATATCACAGTGAGTTTAATTATAGATTATCTTCTTTCTGTTGTATAAAATAATTAACTATAGGTATGTATTTATGTAGCTAAGCCTTTACAGCAAGATATTTCAGTGCTGATGTGACCAGATAAGGGACCCAAACAAGGTGGCTGGAAGAAACTAGTAGACATGGTGGATGGAGGGAGAAACAATGCTTTGGCAACATCTCTATAGGGGTAGTATTTTGGCTCAGTCTCACTAGTTGGTGAAGCAGCTAGTTAACAAAAGGAGGCATGAGGATGTTTGCTGTCTAGCACAAGTGTCGCAAGGCAGTAAGTCCCAATGGCAATTCTCCCGGCAGCAAAAGCGGAGTACTTTCTCCGAAGGGCTCAAACGCTTGTTGGTACAGTCCATGCTTCTCATGACAATTCTGTTATCAATGACCAGTCTGTGAGGAACGAGTACTGAATATCTTCAACACATGTATATTCCAGTTTCATTATATCCCATCAACCCTTGTGTCCAAAAGCTTGAGAGTTTAGAGGGTTGTTGTATGTGAGCAGGTGCAGGTTAAATCAAACTCCCCACCCCTGCTAAATAGACATGGTCCCTTAGGCATAGATCTGCCCAGGGCGAGTGTTGTCCCCAAGGCGGTCCTGGCTGGGCTGGTGCTTGGTGTCGTTGGACTTTATGACACTGGCGTAGTCGAAGATCCCTACCTCCAGGTTCTTAGCCCTAAGGGCTGCAGTATGAAGTTTCTCCAGAAAGTCAGGCATACCTATGAGGGAGGAGGGCAACAGTTGATAACCAGGAACGAGGATAACATACAACCACAGGGAAAACCATATGATAGCAGTGAAGACTGTAGACCACAATGACCTACTGTTTTTGTTTTACTTTTAAAAGGGTTTAATTGAATAGGCCCGAAGGTGACTTTCCATCCAGATAACAAAAGTAAAATCAGACCATGAAGCAAAGCACTGAGCTACAATACCAACAGATCCAGTTCGTTGGTCATGTTGAAATCAGCCAATTACTATAGCCCAGCTACCTCAGGCTAAAAATAAAATGATCCCTCGCCCATTGAGTTACGTCTCAATAATTGTGCATAGTCAGTGGCTGCATTTGATGGAAAGATCAGGATTTGATTGTTACTTTTGTGCCCTACTGCCCTTCAGTGAAGCACTTCTGTGTCGCTTCAGATAAAAAATGTTTTTATTGTTGATATTCCAACAATGACTACATTCAGTTTACACCTAGGGATAATCATTAAGCTTAGTGAAGAGAAACAAGGAGAACGAGAGCTCACCACTGGACACCATCCAGCTCACACAGTAGCGGGGAAAGGCGGTCTGAGGGTCGTCGCTGTAGGTCAGAAGGTAGTCAAAGCCATTCTGTGGGACAGGACGACATGACAAGGTCAGATACTGTAATCCAACATGCACACAAACAGCATAGAACTAAAATCTTGCCCTATGGTGACATTATCTATGTTTTATGATATTCACCTCATCGAAGGTCTTGTGAGGGCGGATGACCATCTTGGACTGGTATGAGTGGACTCTGACGTAGTCCTGAGTTTCTGGGACTCCAGGATGCTGAACCGCTCTAAAATGGCACAAAAAAAGGATGGGAGAGGAGAGAGCAAAACAAAAAAGATTCCAAGCAACAACAAAAATAAACACAAAAAATATGAAACGTAGAGCTGGGTGATATGGCCAAAATATCACAGTAGTTTGTGACAACACATACATTCTAAGTGATTTCAATGAGTCTCTCCATTCTGATTGTTTTATATTGTTCAATTCAACCCAAAATAATTTCCTGCACTCATGAGAATTTCCACACTGCCACGTAGGACTGCACAATATGGGCAAAAATAACTAGGCCTTATTTTTAACCAAATGTTACAATTGCGATTTGACTTGCGATTTAGATGAAAACACTTGGGTGAACTGTTGGACTCATGTAAATAGACTTCATTCTAATTCTATAGTTAGAATATAAATAACAGTAGGCAATTTTAATACAGTGTTGTTAGACATGACAACGAATGAAAATGCCAGGACAGAGTTATTGTGACAGGGTAGGAAACAAAGTGATGGTCAGTGTTTCCTAGGGGACCCTATAATCTTTGGCTAAATTAAATGTTTATTCATGTAGCCAACATGAATGCTTTGCCTATTCCTCTCTGATTTAGAAGATACCGTTGCACAAACATGCTGATTTAAGCCTACACCAGCACTGGTATCAGGCTGTATTAGCTAGCTACTTTTGTGCTGACTCAGTACATTTATTAGCATTAGCGGCTAACATGATTTAGCTAAAACTTGCTAAGAAAAAGACAAATTAGTGTAATTAGATAACGCTTGTGGATTTATATTAAGAAGCAAAATGGAAACATCGTTGTCATCAACATTGTTGCATTGACCATGAAGACTGAATGCAAGTGTCTCGTGGTCAAGGAACAACAAATGCGCTCCTTGAATGACGGGGCGGGGCTAGGTCTGTGTGGAAAGAGGCATGGCGAGAGAGCAGAGAGGTATGACTCAAGTAGCGGTGTAAACTATAAAAATTGACATTACACACACAGCATATCACATTTAATAAACCAAACATTCAAAATACTGTTATAGAAGGTAAAGTAAAAACCCATAATGCACACGTTTTTGAATTAGGGCTGTCAAAGTTAACACGTTAGTTAAGTTGACAGTAACGCCATACCTTTGACGCATTTAATCACATCAATTTTTTCCGCACAGACCCTTTTGAGCGCAACACGTTCTTGTCCACTCAGTCAGCAGCTAGAAGTCGCTCTTGTGATGCTAAAACATCCACTATGCTAAAATGACCAGATTTTGTAGATTCGTGGAAATAAAAAAACATGTCATGGAACAATATTCCATTTTTCCTAGCCCTTTCAAATACTTGTATAGGGCTAATTGGGGACATTGTCGGGATAGGCCACCAAAATTGGGGACGTCTGTTCACTCTACACTATGCAACACATTTGAAGGAAAACGTACAGAAAGTTCAACCATAAACACATTCCCAGGCGTTTCTTTAGATAACAGAAAAAACATTTGCACAGAAGTAGCTAGCTAGTTAAAGGGATACTTCAGGATTTTGGCAATGAAGACAAACTTCTTACTTCCCAAGACTCAGATGAACTCGTGGATACCATTTGTATGTTTCTGCGTACAGTTTGAAGGAAGTTGCTAACTAGTGTTTGTGCAATTGCTAACTAGCATTAGCACAATGACTGGAATTCTATGGTAACTGCCAGTAGATACCATAGACTTTGTCATTGCGCTAACGCTAGTTAGCATTGACTCGCAAAACTACCTCATTTCCTTCATACTGGATGCAAAGACATAAAAATGGTATCCATGAGTTAATCTGACTCCGGGGAAGAAGATAAAGGGCTTCATTGCCAAAATCCCAAAGTATCCCTTTAATTTAATGTTAGCTAACCAAATGAGAACATTTAGAATGCCATGCATGGCTGAATGCCTCTAGATTCAACTCAATAATTTTACACAGTTATAGTTCTCAGATCAAAAGATTTAAGCAATTTATCCCAATTCGCAAGTAGGTAGAAGCTTGACTAGTTCATGTTGGAAGAACAGATTAGAAGTAGCCTAGGCTAGATTTAACATAAACCTGGATGATGTTATGGTCTTAGAATTTAGTTCATTTGGGGCTTTATTCCCCTATAAATCAAAATATATTATACCTACAACCCAATGTGGTTTAAATGGAAACATCTTTAATTAGGGTCATATTTCAATAATAAATAAAAAAAAATGATTAATTGTAGTTACCAACAGAAAACAATGCGATTAACTTGATTCATTATTTTAAATTGTTTGACAGCCCTAATTTCAATAGAACTATTTGACATGAAGTCACTCACCTGGAGATCAGGACCATCAGATTATTCTCCACATCAACGTCATAGCGACGCACATAAACATAGTCTCTCGAGTACATGGGATACTGTGGGAAGATAATACAACAAATAAAAAATCCAACAAATGTAGGATAACTAGTTGTTGCCATCTGTGGACTATGACACAGCCCTTATTTCAGGGAAACATTGCTTTCTCGTCATAAAATATAATACTGTATGCTTGCATACATCTGTAATAATCAACTCGAGAACACATGAGCAAGGCAAAAACATGCAGCACTCAGTATATAAATGTTACATTGTAACAGAGAAACCACTGAGGAAACGAGTTCTGCATTTCTAGTGTGCAAGTTGGCAGGGGGAACTTACAGGGAAATGTGTGGCCCAGTGCACAACCTCTGAGCCGGTGTTGACGTCCCTGTCCACCACCTCCAGCTTAAGAACTAGAGCATCCCACTTTTTCCTGTACTCTGTGTCCAACTGCGGCAAAGGGCAGAGCGTGAGACGAGAGGAACAGATGCTTAATTTAGCACACACGCAACACCTAGAGCTACATATCTCCACACAAACCTTACACTCCACCAAGGGCATTTGGGTAAACAGACATGTACAAAACGAGCTAAGTACAGAGATAAGCACAGACACGCAAAGAGAGCGTATGAACATTCAGGACATCTGGTGCTGAATGTACACAAAACCACTTGCACATATTCTACAGAATAATTTCTTAACAGGTTCATTAGCTAGGTTTCCATCCAATTGGCAACAGATTTTTCATGTGAATGTTAAAATCAGCATAAAAACAATTTGCACATTTTCCCTAAGTTTCCATTAAATTGACTTGTTGGGGATAAAAGGGTGTGTGATGTAGTGCACATAAACACCTTTTGCAGTTACATTTCCATGTACCGAATAAAAAAAGACAAATGCAATGAGTTTCCATAGCATTTAACTCTACCGATGGTTTGCTCACAAATAAATGGTGCGTTATATAGCGAGTTCCCCCACTCTGGTATTGGCACATGCGCTCTCGTCAATAGCTTGCAGATACAGTGAGATTATTAAGGACAAAAAAGTGATATTATTTTTTATTTGTCAAATGGCAGCCAAGCATCAATGATCACGTCACCAGAATAAGACCCTTCATATTTATTGGAAAGAAGCATCAAGCTCATAACCTTGCACTTTCAACCACCCTGTGAAGTTCATCATTTTTTCATCTGTACCCTAATAAACTACATGCTTTCCCGAAAAGTCGTAGTGGGAGGACCACAAAACATGTCATTGCGTGACTAAGTTTACTTCGATTAAAGCGTTTCCACTGACATGGAAACCTGGTTAGTGAAAGCACAGGTTTCCTCTTGCACACAAATGTTTTGTTTTTTGTATTCAAAATTAACTATTACACCAAGTCAAGACAGTTAGCATAAAATAAACTAGCTTAGTACCTGAACATTGAAGAACTGTCTGGGGGTGACATCGTTGTAAGAACCCAAAACTGTGAAAAGATTAGAGGGAAAAGTGTGTTGAGTGTTAATGATGACATGAAGATGATGATCATGGCAATAAGAAGAGGGAAAAGAGTGCAAATGTACATCAAAAAGGTTGATGAAATTATGACATGCCATAATCAAATAGAAAAAGGTATTTGGAAAGTATTATGACCCCTTGACTTTTTCCATATTTTGTTAACGTCTACACACAATACCCCATAATGACAAAGCAAATACTTTTTGCAATTTAATTATTTTTTAAACTGAAACATTTACATAAGTATTCAGACCCTTTACTCAGTACTTTGTTGAAGCACCTTAGGCAGTGATTACAGCCTCGAGTCTTCTTGGGTATGGCGCTACAAGCTTGTCACACCTGTATTTGGGGAGTTTCTCCTATTCTTCTCTGCAGATCCTCTCAAGTTCGGTCAGGTTGGATGGGGAGCATCACTGCCCAGCAATTTTCATGTCTCTCCAGAGATGTTCGATCGGGTTCAAGTCCGGGCTCTGGCTGGGCCACTCAGAGACTTGTCCCGAAGCCACTCCTGCGTTGTCTTGGCTGTGTGCTTAGTGTCGTTGTCCTGTTGGAAGGTGAACCTTTGCCCCAGTCTGAGGTCCTGAGCAGGTTTTCATCAAGGATATCTCTGTAATTTGCTCTGTTCAACTTTCCCTTGATCCTGACTAGTCTCCCAGTCCCTGCTGCTGAAAAACATCACCACAGCATGATGCCACCACCATGCTTCACCGTAGGGATGGTGCCAGATTTCCTCCATTCAGGTCAAAGAGTTCAATCTTGGTTTCTTCAGACCAGAGAATCTTGTTTGTCATGGTCTGAGAGTCCTTTCGGTGCCTTTTGTCAAACTCAAAGCGGGCTGTCGTGCCTTTTACTGAGGAGTTGCTTCCGTCTGGCCACTTTACCATAAAGTCCTAATTGGTGGAGTGCTGCAGAGATTGTCTTTCTGGAAGGTTATCCCATCTCCACAGAAAACTCTAGAGCTCTGTCAGAATGACCATCGGGTTCTTGGTCACCACCCTGACCAAGGCTCTTCTCCCCAGATTGCTCAGTTTGGCCGGGCGGCCAGCTCTAGGAAGAGTCTTAGTGATTCCAAACTTCTTCCATTTAAGAATGGAGGCCACTGGACCTTCAATGTTAGACATTTTCTGGTACCCTTCCCCAGATCTGTGCCTCGACACAATCCTGTCTCGGAGCTCTACGGACAATTCCTTCGACCTCATGGCTTGGTTTTTTCTCTGACATGCACGGTCAACTGTGGGACCTTTTTAAGACATTCCAAATCATGTCCAATCAATTGAATTTACCACAGGTGGACTCCAATCAAGTTATAGAAACATCAAGGATGATCAATGGAAACATGATGCACCGGAGCTCAATTTCAAGTTTCATAGCAAAGGGTCTGAATACTTTGTTTTTTTTGCAAACATTTCTAAACACCTGTTTTCGCTTTGTCATTATGGGGTATTGTGTGTAGATTGACGAGGAAATGTTTTTATTTAATCAATTTTAGATTAAGGCTGTACCATAACAAAATGTGGAAAAGGTGAAGGGGTCTGAATACTTTCCAAATGCACTGTATACTGCATGTTCTGGGTATCAACAAAGCTATAAGTGACAATGCAGACTGACCTCTGTATTCCCACAAGTGGCTTCCCTCAATGGACCGCCTCCACACTTTGAAGTTATTCTTCTCCATGACAACCTCCCAGCCAGTCTCCACCTGCCCTGCAGCCTTCTCCTTTTCTGAAGATGCACTCAGATTCTTCACCTTCTCCAAAGCTTGGAGCTCTAGTCCACATCTGGGGAAGTGTACAGGGATAGAGATCTTACCACAAGCGACATACCACGGTACCAACACGTCATGATACCAACATTTTAGAATACCGTAGTACCATTTGTCATTACGGATCCCCATTAGCGACTGCCAAGGCAGCAGCTACTCTTCTTGGGGTCCAACCACAATTTACATGCAATAAAACAATACATAACACCTTATTACACTAGTCTACCATAACATATTAACAATAAAATCAATGGTACAGCAAAATAACAATATTAAAATGTGTGTGATGAGAGTGCGTGTTAGCATGTGTTTGCGAATGCTGTGTGTGTGTGTGTGTGTGTGTCTCTCTTCACAGTCTGCGCTGTTCCAGAAAGTGTAGTTTTATCTGTTTTTTTAAATCTGATTTTACTGCTTGACTAAGTTACATGATGTGGAATAGAGTTCCATGTGGTCATGGCTCTATGTAGTACTGTGCGTTTCCCATAGTCTGTTCTGGACTTGGGGACTGTGAAGAGACCTCTGGTGGCATGTCTCGTCGGGTATGCATGGGTGTCCGAGCTGTGTGCCAGCATTCCAAACAGACAGCTGTCTACACCTCTTAAAAAAAAAAAAAAAGTAGTGATTAAGTCACTCTCCTCCACTTTGAGCCATGAGAGATTGACATGCATATTATTAATGTTTGCTCTCTGTGTACATCCGAGGGCCAGCCGTGCTGCCCTGTTCTGAGCCAACTGCAATTTTCCCAAGTCCCTCCTTGTGGCACCTGACCACACTACTAAACAGTAGTCTAGGTGTGACAAAACTAGGGCCTGTAGGACCTGCCTTGTTGATAGTGCTGTTAAGAATGCAGAGCAGCGCTTTATTATGGACAGACTTCTCCCCATCCTAGCTACTGTTGTATCAATACATTTTCACCATTATATGTAATAATATGTTTCCAATCCAGGGTTACTCCAAGCAGTTTAGTCACCTCAACTTGCTCAATTTCCACATTATTCATTACGAGATGTAGTTGAGGTTTAGGGTTTAGTGAATGATTTGACCCAAATACAATGCTTTTAGTTTTGGAAATATTTAGGACTAACATTTCCTTGCCACCCATTCCGAAACTAACTGCAACTCTTAAGTGTTGCAGTTATTTAAGTTGCTGTAGCAGCTGACGTGTATAGCGTTGAGTCATCCGCATACATAGACACACTGGCTTTAGTATAGATGGAAAAAAGTAAGGGGCCTAAACAGCTTCCCTGGAGAATTCCTGATTTTACCTGGATTATGTTGGAGAGGCTTCCATTAAAGAACACCCTCTGTGTTCTGTTACTTGTCTAACTCTTTATCCACATTATAGCAGGGGGTGTAAAGCCATAACACATACGTTTTTCCAGCAGCAAAACTATGATCGATAATGTCAAAAGCCGCACTGAAGTCTAACAAAACAGCCCCCACAATCTTTTTCATACACAAATGACTGATGGGCTGAGAGAAATGTAAGTGCTGTGGTTGTTGAATGTCCTTCTCTATAAGCATGCTGAAAGTTTGTTGTCAACTTGTGTACTGTAAAATAGCATCGTATCTGGTCAAACCCTATTTTTTCCCCAATCGTTTACTAAGGGTTGGTAACAGGCTAATTGGTTGGCTATTTGAGCCAGTAAAGGTGGCTTTACTATTCTTAGGTAGTGGAATGACTTTTGCTTCCCTCCAAGCCTTGGGGCACATACATTATAGTAGGCTTAAATTGAAAATATGGCAAATAGGAGTGGCAATATAGTCCGCTATTATCCTCAGAAATTTTCCATCCAAGTTGTCAGAGACCTGTGGCTTGTCATTGTTAATAGACCATTTTTTCACCTCTTTCACACTCACTTTCATAATTTGGTCAGATATACTTGGATGTGTAGTGTCAGCAATTGTTGCTGGCATGTCATGCCTAAGTTTGCTAATCTTGCCAATTAAAAAAATAAAGTAGTTGGCAATATCAGTTGGTTTTGTGATGAATGAGCCATCTGATTCAATGAATGATGGAGCTGAGTTTGCCTTTTTTCCCTAAATGTAATTTAAGGTGCTCCAAAACTTTTTACTATCATTCTTTAATGTCATTTATCCTTGTTTCATAATGTTGTTTCTTCTTTTTATTCAGTTTAGTCACATTTCTCAATTTGCAATTCGTTTGCCAATCGGTTGTGCAGCCAGACTTATTTGCCTTATCCCTCTCAACCATACATTTTTTCAATTCCTCATCAATCCATGGGGATTTAAGTCTTTACAGTCATTTTCTTAAATTGGGTGCATGCTTATTAGTAACTGGAATTAGCAATTTCATAAATGCGTCAAGTGCAGTGTCTGTCTGCTCCTCATTACACACCACGGACCAACATTCTTTACATCAACAACATAGGAATCACTAGAAAACGTATTGTATGACCTCTTATACATATATATTAGGCCCAGCCTTTGGAACTTTGGTTTTCCTAGATATGGCTACTATATTGTGATCACTACATCCAATGGATTTGGATACTGCTTTCAAACAAATCTCTGCAGCATTAGTAAAGATATGATCAATACATGTTGATGATTTAATTCCTGTACTGTTTGTAACTACCCTGGTAGGTTGACTGATAACCTGAACCAGGTTGCAGGCACTGGTTACAGTTTGAAGCTTTCTCTTGAGTGGGCAGCCTGATGAAAGCCAGTCAATATTTAAAATCACACAGAAAGTATACCTCTATTGACATCACATACATTATCAAGCATTTCACACGTTATCCAGATACTGACTGTTAGCACTTGGTTGTCTATAGCAGCTTCCCACCAAAATTGGCTTTAGGTGAGGTAGATGAACCTGTATCCATATTACTTCAACAGTATTTAACATGAGATCCTCTCAGGAATGTGGTTCGGAATATAAAAACAGCAACACCTCCACCATTGGCATTTCTATATTTTCTGTAAATGTTATAACCTTGTATTGCTACCACTGTATCCTCAAAGGTATTATCTAAGTAAGTTTCAGAGATAGTCAGAATATGAATGTCATCTGTTACTAGCTAATTATTGATTTCATGAACCTTGTTTCTTAAGCTCATATGTTAACGTGGGCTATTTTAAGCACTTTTCTTCTGTGATGCTTACTTGTTTTTATTGCTTTACTGGGAAGCTTAGCAGCAGTAGATGTGGTCATGTTATTTATGTTAGTGCAGGGTGAGCTGCACACAGTGGCCTTCCTCCTCGGGCACACCGGCTCAGTGCTAACAGTATAAATCTGGTTCTTAGGCACATGATTACTGCATACAATAGCTGTAGGATCAGCAGAGGCATTCAGGACAGTTAGAGGGACATAAATTAGGTTACTTATATTGTGTCTACCGATGCCCCTGTTGTAATGTCTTAGAGTCCCCGTGCCCAAGGACTCTAAGATAACCTGCCTAAATGACTACCGACCCGTAGCACTGACGTCTGTAGCCATGAAGTGCTTTGAAAGGCTGGTCATGGCTCACATCAACAGCATTATCCCAGAAACCCTAGACCCACTCCAATTTGCATACCGCCCCAACAGATCCACAGATGATGCAATCTCTATTGCACTCCACACTGCCCTTTCCCACCTGGACAAGAGGAACACCTACGTGAGAATGCTATTCATTGACTACAGCTCAGCATTCAACACCATAGTGCCCTCTAAGCTCATCACTAAGCTAAGGATCCTGGGACTAAACACCTCCCTCTGCAACTGGATCCTGGACTTCCTGACGGGCCGCCCCCAGGTGGTAAGGGTAGGTAACAACACATCTGCCACACTGATCCTCAACACGGGGGCCCCTCAGGGGTGCGTGCTCAGTCCCCTCCTGTACTCTCTGTTCACCCATGACGGCATGGCCAGGCACGACTCCAACACCATCATTAAGTTTGCCGACAACACAACAGTGGTAGGCCTGATCACCGACAATGATGAGACAGCCTATAGGGAGGAGGTCAGAGACCTGGCCGTGTGGTGCCAGGACAACAACCTCTCCCTCAACGTGACCAAGACAAAGGAGATGATTGTGGACTACAGGAAAAAAAAGAGGACTGAGCACAACCCCATTCTCATCGACGGGGCTGTAGTGGAACAGGTTGAGAGCTTCAAGTTCCTTGGTGTCCACATCACCAACGAACTATCATGGTCCAAACACACCAAGACAGTCGTGAAGAGGGCACGACCAAGCCTATTCCCCCTCAGGAGACTGAAAAGATTTGGCATGGGTCCTCAGATCCTCAAAAAAATTCTACAGCTGCACCATCGAGAGCATCCTGACTGGTTGCATCACCGCCTGGTATGGCAACTGCTTGGCCTCCGACCGCAAGGCACTACAGAGGGTAGTGCGTACGGCCCAGTACATCACTGGGGCAAAGCTTCCTGCCATCCAGGACCTCTATACCAGGCGGTGTCAGAGGAAGGCCCTCAAAATTGTCAAAGACTCCAGCCACCCTAGTCATAGACTGTTCTCTCTGCTACCGCACGGCAAGCGGTACCGGAGTGCCAAGTCTAGGTCCAAAAGACTTCTCAACAGCTTCTACCCCCAAGCCATAAGACTCCTGAACAGTCTGTTGTTTTGTTTTTGAACGTATGAATCATGGGGGGGGGGGGGGGAAGAGTACTGCTCGCATAAGGCTTTTTGGTAAATATGCAAATTGTATTAAGAATATGAGCAGTAGTAATTAATGTGTTAGATTACATTTTTTAAGTGAAAGTGTATGTGTGGTATAAGGCAGTATGTAGAGGCGGCCTGTCTATCAAACTAGTGACCTATAACAAGCTGCAAAAATGTGCACACCCTAATATCAAGGCTTCTACTGACTGATATGAAGACAGGATATAGTAGCATACGGTGTCGCACCTAACAATGTTGCTAAGACTTTCTTCCCAAAGGGTGAAGGCTTCTCTGCCAAACCTAGCAGGAGAATCTGGGCATTGTATGCACCTGGGAGACTGGCGGTAAAGGATTAAAGAAGTCAGATGGACAAAACCTAGGTGGGGAGGTCAGTACTAGGTTTTGCTGGCTATCTCGATGGAGGGGAAAGTAAGAGCGAGAGATACCTGCATCTATTTGTCCCACTGTAGGAGTATTCCAAATCAGAGGAGGAAGATGGCGTCGCCACTGCGGAGCATTGTTTTCTTTTGTGTCTGTGTTTTTGCAGCAGGGACTCTCAACTTCCCTATTGGTACGCTGCGAGGAGGACACACTCCACAGAGCGATGTTGATAAATGGAGAAGAATTCTGCATGATCCTAGACCATAGTGAAGGAAGAAGGGTCAGATCTAAAAAGGACCATACATCGTCACCCAGTCTACACCAACGGATGTATGGATAGAGGGGAGATCGACCTGGTATCATCTAAACCGATGCAACAGAGTACTACGAGGAAACCGACGACCTAGAGATGAGGGAGCTGAGGATGCTGGAGCTGACGAGGATCAGGTGATGGGAGACGATGGCAAGAGGAATTCTACTGATGAGCTACGTGTGATGGCTGATTCCCTCGGAGGAGGGACAGACCTACAAGACCTCCAAGATCTTCCAGAATTTCAAGAATCACCTGACTGTCACATCATTCATTTATCTGTATTTGGAGGGTTTACCTAACAGAAATTGGGAAGTATATTAGTATTGGTATTAAGAATAATTGGTAAAACATAATTATTTGTCAAATAAGTCAATGCTTATATGGTTTCTTGGATTAGAAATGAAATCAACTCAACTTATGTTTAGTCTTTTATTGAGGTAAATACAGATGGTGTCTTGATGCATAGCATGGATAATTTGGCATAGAATGGTGTGAACCTTAAATAAATAATCTCTGAACCGGCTGAAGATGAATATCGGAGGCGTTGAAGACGTTCCTAAACAGCACCACTTCTACCTGCAACCGGTGTACAACAGCCAATCGAAGCTTTCAACTGATTTTCTCATGTTTTTATATCGAGAGAGTGGGACAGGAGTCCACCATTGAGTGAGAATGGAGAAAGATCGTTTCAAATACAACATTTCTCATGTTGTTGGTATAATGGTTGGCAAATGGACAAGACAATGGGGTGTAGAGATAGATGGTGGTGACTGAGACATTGAAGTTGGGATATTGTCATGGGCAATGCATTTTGAGCTATGAAGATGTCTGAAGAACATAATGAAGAGACGCCAGAAGATTTAAGTGCCGGAGAAAAAAGGGGATGCTTAGCTGTGGTAATAAAAACATTGATTTATCTAAATTTGATAATTTGGGTAAGAGGTATATACACTGCTAAATTAATAGTATTAATAATGCATTGAGATAATGATCTGTAGTTATTCTCAGGATGAGGAATGTCATAATAGAATTATGGATATTTATACTGTATGTTAATACAAGTGTACATTGTGACAGTTGTAATGGGTGATAAAGTTGAGGGTTTTAGTTTTTGAGTGATAGGACCAATGTGAATCACTAAGAATTGTCATTTGTAAGTCGCTCTGGGTAAGAGCATCTGCTAAATGATGTAAATGTAAAGTACAACATGATTCTCCCCCTATAATCACATACATTCCCCCTTTATCTACTATAATAGCATCCAATGCTATGCGATTATCAATTGCATAGTGTCCCATGAGTGACATTTCAGACCCAATTGCTTGGATATTCAAGACTGTTAATAGTTACAATATTCAACTCTGTTCAACCCTGACTCTGTTCCCCTAATATGCCTGGGGAGAGATACACATGCTTGCCATCAGAATTGGAAGGTATTGGGAATTTAACTAAAGCTATGGGAAATATTAGAGACATACAGAAAGGTATTAAGAGTACGAATAGAGATGCAAAGATTGTGGGGGAATATGGTAATTTAAACGCTGTTGAAGTCTAATGTTTTTAGTGATAATTCAATAGGAACATGGAAAGCAAGACTGAAGTTATTTTTATTGGGATATATTCATTTGAATATAATTTCCATGTAACTTACAAATTGTCATGAATCAAGAGGTTAGGAATTCATTTGTATGTTGTGTTTGGGTCAATTAATGTTATATTAATGGAATTCTTCTTGCAACAACAAAAATAAAGAAAATGAGGGATTGTTATAATGATTTGTGATGGGAGGGGGGGGGGGGGGGTCTTTAGTTAACAGCTGGTACACAATTCACTAATATTAAAGGAAGTCTCGGTTCTGCTCGCCCAAGTTAGAATACCTCATGATAAGCTGTAGATCATCCTACTTACCAAGAGAGTTTTAATCTACACTGAACAACAATTTAATTTTACTGAGTTACAGTTCACAAGGAAATCAGTCAATTGAAATAAATTCATTAGGCCCTAATCTATGGATTTCACATGACTGGGAATACCGATATGCATCTGTTGGTCACAGGTACCTTAAAATTAAAAAGGTAGGGATGTGGATCGGAAAACCAGGCAGTATCTGGTGCAACCACCATTTGCCTCATGCAGTGTGACACATCTCCTTCGCATAGAGTTGATCAGGCTGTTGATTGTGGCCTGTGGAATGTTGTCCCACTCTTCAATGGCTGTGCGAAGTTGCTGGATATTGGCGGAACTGGAACATGCTGTCGTACACGTTGATCCAGAGCATGGAAGGAGTGGGACATTTTCAGCTTCCAGGAATTGTGTACAGATCCTTGCGACATGGGGCCGTGCATTATCATGTTGAAACATGAGGTGAGGGCGGCGGATGAATGGCAATCTCACAGCATCTCTGTGTATTCAAATTGACAGCGATAAAATAGAATTGTATTCGTGGTCCGTAGCTTATGCATGCCCATACCATAACCCCACTATGGGGCACTCGGTTCACAACGTTGACATCAGCAAACCGCTCACCCACACGATGCCATACGTGGTCTGCGGTTGTGAGGCCGGTTGGACATATGGCCAAAATTCTCTAAAACGACGTTGGAGGCGATTTATGGAAGATAAATAAACATTCTAGTCTCTGGCAACAGCTCTGGAGGACATTCCTGCATTCAGCATGCCAATTGCACGCTCCCTCAACTTGAGACATCTGTGGCATTGTGTTGTATGACAAAACCGCACATTCATTTTCATCAGATGACAACAGAAGTGCAATGCTTTGTCTGGCAGTCACACAAGTAAATGAGTTTACAATGAAAAAAAGGTATATTTGCAAAAACGATGCATGGCTATCATAGTTCTGTATCACAGAAAGAATGTAGCCAGCTACATTTCCTAATGTTTTTCTTAAAGTTAATCTTGCATTTTACCGGAGAAAAGTAGGCTGGCTACACCGAAAACAGTAGCTACACTTACCTGTTGGTGAATGCAACCGAAGCACAAAAATAGTCTGTTCGTATTAGGTTTTTTTCTGCGTGGAAAAACGCAAAATTCTGCGTTAACTAGCAAGTTAAGCTTAGGGGTCGCGTTATCTAAGTAAGTGGCTGAATTAATAAGGTGACGGGGCATCATATTGCATTAGCTTTCTGCCGTGTTTGAGAAATCCAAGCCCTTTGGATGAGTTATGAGTCTTGATTTCCTTGCAGGTTTTTTTCTTCTCCTCTCCGTTCTCGGCTGTCTGCTGCTCCCCAATCTTCTCCAAGCATAGCAGGCAGGCCCGTTGCCCTAGCGACTCCACACAGAGAGTACGGTTCGTCCTACAGACAAGCATGTCAAAACTTTGTTCATTTGCACAATGTCGCTGGTTTACAGTCACTTTTAAATGTCACAACTCACCAAAAATGTACTACCTATACATGTATAACTTTGAGCTGGATTTGCCTTTTTTTGCAATTTCTTTGCGCTCGTTAGAATATTTACACTGAACAAAAATATAAAACGCAACATGTAGTGTTGGTCCCATGTTTCATGAGCTGAAATAAGATTCCAGAAAATTTTCCATACGCAAAAAAAAGCTTCTCTCTCAAATGTTGAACAAATTTGTTTACATCCCTGTTGGTCAACATTTCTCCTTTGCCAAGATAATCAATCCACCTGACAGGTGTGGCATATCAAGAAGCTGATTAACAGCATGATCATTACAGAGGTGCACCTTGTGCTGGGTATGGCAACTGCTTGGCATTCGACCGTAAGGCGCTACAGAGGGTAGTGCGTACAGACAAGTACATCACTGGGGCCGAGCTCCCTGCCATCCAGGATGTCTATACCAGGCGGTGTCAGAGGAAAGCCCTAAAATTTGTCAAGCACTCCAGACACCCAAGTCATACGGTTCTCTGCTACCGCATGTCAAGCGGTACAGGAGCGCCAAGTCTGGGACCAAAAGGCTCCTGAACAGTTTCTACCCCCAAACCATAAAACTGCTTAACAGTTAATCAAATGGCTACCCTGACTATTTGCATTGACCCCCTTTTTATTTGCACTGACTCTTGCACCGGCTCTATGAACACTCACTGGAGTTTACACATACAGTGGGGAGAACAAGTATTTGATACACTGCCGATTTTGCAGGTGTTCCTACTTACAAAGCATGTAGAGGTCTGTGATTTTTATCATAGGTACACTTCAACTGTGAGAGACGGAATCTAAAACAAAAATCCACAAAATCACTGTATGATTTTTAAGTAATTAATTTGCATTTTATTGCATGACATAAGTATTTGATACATCAGAAAAGCAGAACTTAATATTTGGTACAGAAACCTTTGTTTGCAATTACAGAGATCATACGTTTCCTGTAGGTCTTGACCAGGTTTGCACACACACTGCAGCAGGGATTTTGGCCCACTCCTCCATACAGACCTCCAGATCCTTCAGGTTTCGGGGCTGTCGCTGGGCAATACGGACTTTCAGCTCCCTCCAAAGATGTTCTATTGGGTTCAGGTCTGGAGACTGGCTAGGCCACTCCAGGACCTTGAGATGCTTCTTACGGAGCCACTCCTTAGTTGCCCTGGCTGTGTGTGTCGGGTCGTTGTCATGCTGGAAGACCCAGCCACGACCCATCTTCAATGCTCTTACTGAGGGAAGGAGGTTGTTGGCCAAGATCTCGCGATACATGGCCACACATCCATCCTCCCCTCAATACGGTGCAGTCGTCCTGTCCCCTTTGCAGAAAAGCATCCCTAAAGAATGATGTTTCCACCACCATGCTTCACGGTTGGGATGGTGTTCTTGGGGTTGTACTCATCCTTCTTCTTCCTCCAAATACAGCGAGTGGAGTTGAGACAAAAATAGAGCTTTTTGGTCTAATTAGACCACATGACCTTCTCCCATTCCTCCTCTGGATCATCCAGATGGTCATTGGCAAACTTCAGACAAATACTTATGTCATGCAATAAAATGCAAACTAATTACTTAAAAATCATACAATGTGATTTTCTGGATTTTTGTTTTAGATTCCATCTCTCACAGTTGAAGTGTACCTATGATAAAAATGACAGACCTCTACATGCTTTGTAAGTAGGAAAACCTGCAAAAATCGGCAGTGTATCAAATACTTGTTCTCCCCACTGTACATACTACATTGACACTCCAACACATACCTTTCAGAAAGTAATCACACCCTTGACTTTTTCCACTGTTACAGCCAGCATTTAAAATGTATTAATTTAGATTTTTTTTGTCACTGGCATACTCACAATACTCCATAATATCAAAGTGGAATTATGTTTATTGAAATGTTGAGTCAAGAATTATTCAACCCCTTTTATGGCAAGACTAAATACATTTAGGAGTAAACATTTACTTGACAAGTCACATAAAGTGCATGGACTGTGTGCAATAAGTGTTTAACATGATTTTTGAATGACTACCTCATCTCTGTCCCCCACAGATACAATTACCTGTAAGGTCCTGCAGTCGAGCAGTGAATTTCAAATACAGATTCAACCAAAGTCCAGGGAGGATTTCCAATGCCTCACAAAGGGCATCTATTGGTAGATGGGTAAAAAAAATTGTCCTTTCTAACTCAGTTGCCAGATAGGAAGGAAACCGCTCAGGGATTTCACCATGAGGCCAAGTGACTTTAAAATAGTTACAGAGTTTAATGACTGTGATAGGAGAAACCTGAGGATGGATCAACAACATTGTAGTTACTCCACAATACTAACCTAATTAACAGTGAAAAGAAGAAAGCCTGTACAGAATAAAAAAAATATTCCAAAACATGCATCCTGTTTGCAACAAGGCACTAAAGTAATACTGCAAAAAATGTGGCAAAGAAATTAACTTTTTGTCCTGAATACAATCTTATGTTTGGGGCAAATCCAATACATTACTGAGTACCACTCTCCATATGTTCAAGCATAGTGGTGGCTACATCGTGCTATGGGTATGCTTGTAATCGTTAAGGACTGGGGAATTTTTCACGATAAAAAAAACAAAAACAGAATGGAGCTAATCACAGGCAAAATCCTAGAGGAAAACCTTGTTCCGTCTGCTTTCCACCAGACACTGGGAGAGGAATTCACTTTTCAGCAGGACAATAACCTAAAACACATTGCCAAATCTACACTGGAGTTACTTACCCAGAATACAATGAATGTTCCTGAGTGGCCCGATTTTACAGTTTTGACTTAAATCTACTTGAACATCTATGGTAAAAACCTGAAAATGGTTGTCTAGCAATGATCAACAACCAACTTGACAGAGCTTGAAGAATTTTGAAAATAATAAAATGGCTAAATGTTGCACAATCCAGGTGTGGAAAGCTCTTAAAAGACTTACCCAGAAAGACTCACAGCCGCAATCGTTGCCAAGGGTGCTTCTACAAAGTATTGAGTCAGGGGTGTGAATACATATACATTAGATCTGTATTTCATTTAATAGATTTGCTAAAATCTAAAAACATATTTTCACTTTGTCATTATGAGGTATTGTGTGTAGATGGGGGAGAATTTTTATTTAATCCATTTTGAATTCAGGCTGTAACAACAAAAATGTGGAATAAATCAAAAGGGTATGCATACTTTCTGAAGGCACTGTAGACTACATACGCTCACACACGCATATTGACGCCACTCACACACGCTGCTGCTACGCTGTTTATTATATGTTGATTGCAGTGGAGGCTGCGGAGGGGAGGACGGCTCATAACGAGCCAATGGAATGGCATCTAACACATGGAAACCATGTTTGATGTATTTGATACCATTCCACTAATTCCACTCGGGCCATTACCCAAATTAAGGTGCCACCAACCTCCTGTGGTTGATTGCCTAGTCACTTTTACCCCTACCTACATGTACATAATTACCTCCACTACCACATACCCCTGCAAATTGACTCGGTACCGTTACTCCTTGTATATAGTGTTAGCCATTTTGTGTTACTATTTCCTTTTTTGTTAATTTCGCAATTTTTAACTCTGCATTGTTGGGAAAGGGCTTGTAAAGTAAGCATTTCACGGTAAAGTCTACACCTGTTGTAGTCAGCGCATAGGACAAATACAATTGTATTTGAAGCGAAGCATATTGCCCGCTTTCACCTTACAGGACAAGATTGAAGCAAAGGTAGGCCTAACATTCCACACCTGCATTAAACAATTGGGAAAAATCTGTGTACAATGTGGCACAGTACAATATGCACACGTTTAACATGATAAGATGGGTGGTTCGAGCCCTGAATGTTGATTGCCTGACTGCCACACGGGTATGACATGTATTTTTACAGTTTTACGTTGATAACCAGTTTATAATAGCAATAAGGCACCTCGGGGGTTTGTGGTATATGGCCAATATACCACGGCTAAGGGCTGTATCCAGCAACTCCGCGTTGCGTCGTGTTTAAGAACAGCCCTTGATGTGGTATTGTCCATACACCACACCGCCTCTGGCCTTAATGGTTAATTGTAAGTAACGTTAACAGCATGTACCTGTGTAGTTCTTCATCTCGAACCTTCTCGTCCTCCCACATGAATACACCAGCCAGTGCAGCCACAAGCTTCCCCGTGGAGGCGTGCTTGCTCTGGAGTCGACGCCATATGCTTCCTACCAGGGTCCACCTGGTTCGCTCCGAGTACAGGTTTGAGTAAAGCTCTCCAATCTGATAAGCGCGTCGAAGCCTCTGGCCGGTCACAAAGCTACAATGGTTGGCAAAAATTGACAGCAGGCCTTGCTTCTTCTTGTCAGACCGCACTTTTTCACTCGTGCCCACCCCCGATCTCTGGAGCCATGACAACAACAGGCCCATGCGTCGTCCCATCCATGAGGTGGTTTCGGATTTGCCCTTGCCGATTCCCTGTCTCAGTGAATTACTGCTTTGAAGCCTAACAGCACATACACTGATTTCACATAATGCTATAGGCCGCCGTTGTATAGACTGAAACATGCTGCAGGTTGTGCAAGAGCAAGTTCAACTAGAAGTGACCGTTAATTAAGGCAAGTCTTTGGATTGGAACACTCGTTACCAACAATGATGTGACGCTGTCAATATTGACGGCAAACTAACAACTAAGAATAATTTGCATAGCTATATTAAGCAAACCACACTGCCAAATATGCAGATTGCGCCAACGTTAGCTTGTTAGTTTACAGGCTTAAGGTGACAAAGTATCAAGGTCCCATGCTCATAATAAATGTATGACGTTAGCTTACTAGCTAACGTAAGCTACGCAAGACAAGAGCACGAGCCAAGCACTATCTACCATGGAACGGATCTTTACACAACAGTGGGCAGATAACGTACAGTTTTTGAATAGTCGTATAAACCGCTATTACTTTTAATTGTCCTCAATTCGGTTAAATTACTAGCTCACCAATTTCACGTTTTTCTTACACATCGCAGTCAGTCAACCTGATCCGTAGCTTTCACACCCCTCGGAAAGGACCCTCCTTATTTGGACAACACAATTCTTATTGGGCATTCATCATTGGGGTGCAATTTTCATTGGCAGAAGTCGGTGTCAATCTTTTGATTAGCCACTAGCACGTTAAGTTGTGATCCTGACGTCATTCTGCCTTGAAGGACCACAATAAAGGTGAAAAGGAGTCTATGCAAATGCACAGTTGCATTAGCTAGGTAATCAGAAATAATGCTAAACGAAAAAAACTATACAGTTAAATCATTGAACAAATATTGTCAATATTGAAAGTGAAATATAATATGGACAGCAATTATCTTTGCAGTCAACGATGGATCAAATTGAAATGACAACCATTGTCCGCCAGGTGGTGCAGTAGATTTCACTCTACTGCTCTTATGCAATGATGTACAGGGCTTTGTCCATACCGAAAATTCGCCTCTTCCTCTCTGGCCATACAAAAGAGGAAACGTATAGGTTTCCGTTAATTGTATACCTCAATGCTAGGTTCTTATATCATACTTTCTTTAGTGAAAAGGGATGAACAGCTATCCTTGAGATGAAAGTAGCTAAACTACACTACAAAGAAAAGTAGCTGACTACTTTGAAACAAGTGAGGTGGCTAAGCATAATAATTGTAGAAGGATTACTTTTATACTATCCCAGGTATTCCTTAAAGAGGTAGGGTTTCATGTGTCTCCGGAAGGTGGTCAGTGACTCCGCTGTCCTGGCGTCGTGAGGGAGCTTGTTCCACCATTGGGGTGCCAGAGCAGCGAACAGTTTTGTCTGGGATGAGCGGGAACTGTGCTTCCGCAGAGGTAGGGGGACCAGCAGGCCAGAGGTGGAAGAACGCAATGCCCTCGTTTGGGTGTATGGACTGATCAGAGCCTGAAGGTAAGGAGGTGCCGTTCCCCTCACAGCTCCGTAGGCAAGCACCATGGTCTTGTAGCAGATGCGAGATTCAACTGGAAGTCAGTGGAGTGTGCAGAGGAGCGGGGTGACCTGAGAGAACTTGGGAAGGTTGAACACCAGACGGACTGCAGCGGTCTGGATGAGTTGTAGGGGTTTAATGGCACAGGCAGGGAGCCCAGCCAACAGCGAGTTGCAGTAATCCAGACGGGAGATGACAAGTGCCTGGATTAGGACCTGTGCCGCTTCCTGTGTAAGGTAGGGTCGTACTCTGCGAATGTTGTAGAGCATGAATCTACAGGATCGGGTCACCGCTTTGATGTTAGCGGAGAACGACAGGGGGTTGTCCAGGGTCACGCCAAGGTTCTTTGCACTCTGGGAGGAGGACACAACAGAGTTGTCAACCGTGATTTCGAGATCATGGAGCGGGCAGTCCTTCCCCGGGAGGAAGAGCGGCTCCGTCTTGCCGAGGTTCAGCTTGAGGTGGTGATCCGACATCCACACTGATATGTCTGCCAGACATGCAGAGATGCGATTCGCCACCTGGTTATCAGAAGGGGGAAAGGAGAAGATTAATTGTGTGTCGTCTGCGTAGCAATGATAGGAGAGACGATGTGAGGATATGACAGAGCCAAGTGACTTGGTGTATAGAGAGAATAGGAGAGGGCCTAGAACTGAGCCCTGGAGGACACCAGTGGTGAGAGCATGTGGTGCGGAGACAGATTTTCACCACGCCACCTGGTAGGAGCCACCTGTCAGGTAGGACGCAATCCAAGAGTGAGCCGCGCCGGAGATGCCCAACTCGGAGAGGGTGGAGAGGAGGATCTGATGGTTCACAGTATCAAAGGCAGCAGATAGGTCTAGAAGGATGAGAGCAGAGGAGAGAGAGTTAGCTTTAGCAGTGCGGAGAGCCTCCGTGACACAGAGAAGAGCAGTCTCAGTTGAATGACCAGTCTTGAAACCTGACTGGTTTGGATCAAGAAGGTCATTCTGAGAGAGATAGCAGGAGAGTTGGCTATAGACGGCACGCTCAATAGTTTTGGAGAGAAAAGAAAGAAGGGAGACTGGTCTGTAGTTGTTGACATCGGAGGGATCGAGTGTAGGTTTTTTGAGGAGGGGTGCAACTCTCGCTTCCTTGAAGATGGAAGGGACATAGCCAGCGGACAAGGATGAGTTGATGAGCGAGACTTGGAGGGGAGTTGCAGTGATTTGTTTTTCAACAGGACAATGACCCAACACACCTCCAGACGGTGTAAGGGCTATTTGACCAAGAAGGAAAGTGATGGAGTGCTGCATCAGATGATCTGGCCTCCACAATCCCCCGATCTCAACCAAATTGAGATGGTTTGGGATGAGTCGGACCGCAGAGTGAAGGAAAAACAGTCAACAAGTGCTCAGCATATGTGGGAAGTCCTTCAAGACTGTTGGAAAAGCATTCCAGGTGAAGCTGGTTGAGAGAATTTGGTTACTACATGATTCCATATGTGTTATTTCATAGTTTTGATGTCTTCACTATTATTCTACAATGTAGAAAATAGTAAAAAATAAAGAAAAACCGTTGAATGAGTAGGTGTTCTAAAACTTTTGACCGGTAGTGTATATAATGTTATTTGTTATAACCACAGACACGCAATATCTTTTTCATAGCCTTTATGGTGTTATATTCTGTCCATGTGCTTTTGAACATTCCTCCTCTAGTTCTGTGTAACTTGTATGCTAAAATAGCTTTGGAGAATTAGCAATAGTACTGTTTGTCCATTTTGAGACACCGTAGCCAGTCTCAAACTTCCTCAAAATAGTCACAATTAGTCTAAGATAACTCAAGAAATCAGTCATTAATTTTGACATTTTTGTGGAGGAGATCTTAGTCGCACAATTTTACATTTAAGATGTTTGGTGCAGTATTTATCAATGAAAAAATGTGCATGAAAACGAGTCGTCTCTCGTTGAATAACAACAAAGACTTTATTGAAGAATCCCTATTGTTGACCAATCACCGACGAAGGGGTGTAAACTTCGGCTCCCGAATTTCGGTTGGCCTTGAGAAAAAAATTGTGTGTGCACGAACAGCCGACAAAACCCTTTCCGAAGTCCAAAACAACAAAAATGTCACCAAATGTTGTCATAATATATGCACGAACTCTTCCGAACTGTTTCGGCTGGGAAGCACGCGGACGCCTTTAGCCTCCTGCTTAAAGCCTTAGGCCTGTTCATTCTATAGCTCTACGCGGCCCCCTTGTAGCGCTTCCCAGTTACTGTTTCTTATGTAAATCATTGGTGCATCTATAATTGTCATATTGCCAATGTGCCTTACTATTCTTATAGCAGCGTTATTATGTTACGTCATTGTAATATTGTTTTATTGTTATATCCTGATATTGTATTGTAATTACTAATCATTCCTCTTTATTCTGTACTTTCAGAAACCACACACTTACAAACAGTGTTCAACATAATTTGCCATTAAACATCATAACTGGAAATGGAGTCGCTGACATCTTTCTTGCAAAAGATTGAGGTCAGCTTTTGTACGACTAGCAACATACAATGAACGTACACTCCTTTACAGTATGACAGCAATCCAAGCATGGATTGCTGTCATACCTTGTCCATAGACTGCTTACAGGGTAAGGAAACCAGGCCTCCTGTAGCTCAGTTGATAGAGCATGGCGCTTGCAACGCCAGGGTTGTGGGTTCGATTTCCACGGGGGGCACTCACTAACTGTAAGTCGCTCTGGATAAGAGCGTCTGCTAAATGACTAAAATGTAAATGTAATAGTTTTTTTTTTTTTGGGGGGGGGGGGGGGGGTGAACTATCCCTTTAATTATAAATAATTATGCAAACTCCCACAACAATTGTTCAGATTTTCTAAATGTCAGACTGTTCTGATAAAATGTCACTAGGGTCAGACTGGGAAGGCTAGAGAACCATGTTTACACTGGAAAGCGGTAGGGGTGGCACAGATTTTTCTGGACATCCCTCTCTGGCAGGGGCGGTGTGTTCAATAGGGCGATATGGGCGACGCACTGCCAAACGGGAAAAGGAAGGGATTTTTTTTCTAATCAATTATATCACGGCAACAGTAGTTATCAGTGTTGTAATCTAGACGTCTGATCTGCCACAGTGCCACTAAATTACATTTACATTTTACATTTTAGTCATTTAGCAGACGCTCTTATCCAGAGCGACTTACAGTTAGTGAATACATTTTTTATACTGGCCCCCCGTGGGAATTGAACCCACAACCCTGGTGTTGCAAACGCCATGCTCTATCAACTGAGCTACATCCCTGCCGGCCATTCCCTCCCCTACCCTGGACGACGCTGGGCCAATTGTGCGCCGCCCATGAGTCTCCCGGTCGGCTGCGACAGAGCCTGGATTCGAACCAGGATCTCTAGTGGCACAGTTAGCACTGCGATGCAGTGCCTTAGACCACTGCGCCACTCAGGAGTCACTAAATGTCCAATCAGGCTAAAGTCGTGCTTCAAATGCCCCCCCCCCCCCCCCCCTTTTGGGGCGATTTCAGTCAGGTTGAAAATCGCCCAGAAGTCTGTCATAGACTCCCATGTAAAATCTATTTTTTTCAAATATCAGAGCTTTCAATACAATCTCTATGGGTTTCTGAGGGCTTGCACTTACGCGCTTTCGTCATACGTAACATAACCATGAACGTAACTAAGAAAAGAGCGGGTAGCCTCGTCAATCAATTCACTACTACTATCAAAATGGCTAGGCTTCAGTGCAACTCGATTGTGTCTTTGAAAGAAGTTCCTTTTTGTCGGCGAACAAATGAAGATAAATTGGCAACGAAACAATTAGGACCTCCCAGACCAAATTTAATAATTCAACAGGTTTCTACTAAAGGGGGGAAGTCCTACACCCGAGGATTTTCCAAAAATTGGTACGAACGAAAAACCTGGCTAGCAGGCTGCGATGTAGCTAATGCAGTCTTCTGCTACCCCCTGCTTACTCTTTCACCCTGAAGGCGGCACGGCAGACAGCACCGCTTGGACAGCGACTGGTGTGTAACGGACATGCACCATCTTTCAGGAAAGATTAAGAAACATGAGCTGTCAAAGACCCACATGGATAGCTATTTGAGATTGTCTGCTTTGGGGAGAGTGAACATTCCCACTCAACTGGATGAGGGATACAGGCTAGCTGTCCGCCGCCACAACGATGAGGTTAGTGTTGATAATCACAAGTTTACTGGAGAACTGAAACTGACAAGGCTGACAAGATAGGACCCTTTTGTCCATTGTTATTGGATAGGAACAGAACTTATAACCAGCTCCTGACCTAAATAGATCTTAGCACAACATTTTACTCAACATATCATATTCCATATTCACTATAACAAATATATTTACTACGACATTAGCAAGAACCGCCACATCCTCAGCCGGCTAATCCAGTGTGTGAAGTTTTGCGGAGTGTTTGAGTTAGCTTTGCGAGGCAAAGATGAAACTGAGGGCTCCACCAACCCTGGTAAGCCAACACTTTTGAGATCAGTCAATAAATGCTTCTGGTATTGACTTATATGCTGCCCCTGTCTTCATGTTGTTGCTGGACATATATTTTTTAAAATGTGTGTAGGTCACCTAAATCATCAGAAAAATTGCCCCCCCTGAGAATTTTTTCAGGAGCCGCCACTGCTCTCTGGGAACACAGAGGGGAACAGTGGTGAAAAAAGTACCCAATTGTCATACTTGAGTAAAAGTAAAGATACCTTAATAGAAAATGACTCACGTAAAAGTGAGTCACCCAGGAAAATACTACTTGAGTAAAAGTCTAAAAATATTTGGTTTTAAATATACATATGTATCAAAAGTAAATGTAATTGCTCAAATATACTTAAGTATCAAAAGTAAAAGTGTAAATCATTTCAAATTCCTTATATGAAGCGAACCAGACGGCACCATTTTTTTAAACGGACAGCCAGGGGCACACTCCAACACTCAGACATCATTTACAAATGAAGCGTGTATTTAGTGTGTCCGCCAGATCGGAGGCAGTAGGGATGACCAGGGATGTTCTCTTGATAAGTGCGTGAATTTGACAATTTTCCTGTCCTGTTAAGCATTCAAAATGTAACTAGTACTTTTGGGTGTCAGGGAAAATGTATGGAGTAAAAAGTACATTATTTTCTTTAGGAATGTAGTGAAGTAAAAGTAAAAGTTAAATATAAATAGTAAAGTACAGATACCCCCCAAAAATACTTAAGTAGTACTTTAGTATTTTTACTTATGTACTTTACACCACTGGAGGGGAACATTTGGCAATGCACAATATTTGCAGCAGGTGTCGGTGAACTGCATTTATGCTCACATGCTTTAGCTAGTGCAGTGCCAATGTCTTCATTAAATACCATCAGAACCAGTGATGTAGTGGTAAACGCTACATTCACTGTGAATGAAGTAACGCTCCCTATATTTTCTATTCATTTTTCCACGATTGTTGAGTAAACGCTTGCGCAAAATTTGAAAAGTTGTATAAACAGTGTTTACATTCGTTTATCCACTACACCACTGATCAGAACATCCCCTCCCTTGTTTTGGGCCCACATAATAAAGGTTTAATAAAAATAAATAGATAATGGAAGGGGCATATTAACCTTGATGCAAAATGTGGGGCTTTTATCATCAAATTAATGGTCATTATGGACATTTCTGTTTAGCCACCACACTATATAATTCATGACAAATACTGTAAGATTTGAATAAATATTAGTCTGAGCTTAAATATAAGACGACGAATATGTGACTCCAATACAGATAATTTTTTTAAAAAAAACATCATAATTCATTGAGAATTCATAACAACCTCTGTCTATCAATCTGCAGTCACCGGAAATAATGCATTGTTTACTCAAGAATAAAAAAATCTTCATGAAAATTCTTGGGATGTAGCTTTGAAAAAGATACTCCACTCACTGCATGCTGATAAAAGTGGTTTTGAAATTAGTTCCGCTATGCCTACCACATGCTACTGGAAAATGTGCTGCTTGCCTCTGTTTGTGAGTTTTTACAATCTATGACATTACATTTTATTGTGTGGGAATGTGCCATGAAGAGCCACACACAACCAAGTATATAAATTTGTCATCAATGAATAATGAGGATACGGTGTAGCTCGATGATTGACAGGTATATCCAAGATGGGCATGACGAAGGGTGGATAACCAAAGCACCACCCTCTGATTCTCCATAAAGACGAGCACCGGCTCGTGACTCAATTAAAACTAGCTTTTACCGGAACTAACAAGAGCAGATGCGCCTGGTTTTTACTCTGAATTTATAGGAATATAACAGACTAAACGGCAAGAGTAGCTACGTTCATATAGTTATTTAGCTTTACATAGCTTTCTAAATTTGTTAAAGTTCAAACTAATCGTTTCCCGTGACTGTCTATTTCATGATCCCGCGCGCGCTACTGAGCAAATTGTGCGCGGGCTAGACATTAGCTAGTCTTCCTTTTCATCATTGACAACTTTTGCGACGTGTGGTAAGTTAAACTTGTCATTATTTTCAAATTCACAAATTATTCTATTTGTTACCTTTGTAAAACAGTGTGGTTTTAATTGGTAACTAACGTTTGCTCGTATTTCGTACTTTGACTCACTTATTTTTGTCAATAGGTACTAGCTAGTTCATGATAAACGCTAAATGACGTAAATGTAAATGTAAATAAACATCCGTATAACTAATGTTAACAAAATGTCTAACAAGTTAGCTAGCTACTATGGAAATATTTCCATCACATTGACAGTACGTTAGCTACATCGTGAGGATTATGAAATCAGATAGCAAGCGCTGACTAGCTAACGTTAGCTGTACTGTAACGTTACTAGCTTGACTAGCAAAGCTAATATCATTCAATAGAATAATTAATGAAGCGACGCTAACCATAGCCATTACGAAACGTGGCTTGTTAGTATAGCTAGCTAGCATGGCTTATATGGCGCGTATTGACTATTACATTTGTAAACTAGCGCATAGACAGCTGGCAATGTGGATAGCTTGCTAACTAGATAGAACATTCGCTAACGTTAGACATTGGTAATGTTGCTAGTGCGAGTCCAAAATTGAATGAATGACTCCTGGTATGCGTCGTATAAAGTTGGATTTCTCCGTAGCTGGCACATTTTGGATGGCTGTTATAACCATGTTAAATGTATATCTATCGGACTTGTGTGTGTGTGTGTGTGTATATAGTTAGTTAGCTATTACATCGTCGTATATCAATGTGCTGCTATGTTACGTTGTCGTTGTTAATTTCTATTATGTGATCTCGCTAAAGTTAGCTTTGGTGAATGTCTTCCTACGCATCCCCCAAAATGGCTTCCTTTATTGGCTTATCTTGTCAGGCAAGCCAGTCTGTAGCTAACGGAAACCATTGTCATTGCACAGCGAGACATGATTATGGGAAGGAAGTTGGCTCAGTTTCGTAACGTAGCTAGGTAAAGTAGCTAATACAAAATGTAAAATACCGGCAGCTCTTAGCTTGCTAACTAGGTAGTTGTATTTATGCCTTTGACAGAGCAAGGGTTGGCGTTAAAAAAGTGAATTTTGTTTTCATACTGAAATTCCTATTGATTGCCCATAATTAAATGGCATGGCCACCCTTTAATTTCTATAAAGGGAAGAAGACATGGTCAGACTACTCTTTTGAGTAGATTTGCAATAGTGTTAACCATGCTTGAAGTCTTGTAGCTGAATTATGCTTTTTTTTTCCCCTAGTTGCCGTTGTGGGATTTGACTATCATAAATTGACCAGCAGCAGGTCTCTGACTCCTATTGTATATCCATGAATGGATTTGTTCTGAGGCACACTGATGTGCTAAAGTTGGAAGAAGGAATTTTGTTTGTTTTAGGTTGGAAGTGTTTACATAACTGACTTTCTCCAACTGTTGTTTTTCAGGATGTTCTGCCATTCACCTACAGTGACTGTTGAACAATGGGTGACCATTTAGTCTGCATGATAGCCCAGAGCCAAAGAAACCCTAACAAAGCTAGTAAAATTACAGGATAGCAATACGCCCACACTTTACCTCATTATAATTTATTTCTGTTCAGTCAGGGACAACTCATAGGCTACTCTCAGTGAGTTTAGTTAACCCCCAAACCCCTACGGGTTAGGGTCTTGAAGAGAAGTTACTGTATACACACATCGATACCTCTTTCATTTTGCTGCTTGCAAATATCACATCTATTTTCATATACATTCCCTTATATATTGTGAAGCAAATAAATCTTTAGAGCAATCAATCACGCACAATGGTTTCGACAACTCTCGCAACCCTCACCCTGGCGGGCACCACACTAGGGATTATGGCCCAGGTCACTGGTGGACCACTGACAGACTACATGTGGCTCCTCATAGTGGGCTTTATCATCGCCTTCATCCTAGCCTTTTCTGTGGGGGCCAATGACGTGGCCAACTCGTTTGGTACTGCAGTGGGCTCTGGAGTGGTCACCTTGCGGCAGGCCTGCATCCTGGCCACTATCTTTGAGACCGTTGGCTCTGTGCTTCTGGGAGCCAAGGTCAGCGAGACCATCCGCAAGGGCATCATCGACGTGGGCATGTACAACGGCTCTGAACACGTGCTGATGGCTGGCTCTGTCAGCGCCATGTTTGGTGAGTGTTACATACCAAAAGGGTCTTAAAATACATTTGTAAGAACATGGGTTTTATTCAATCTGGATTTCTTGTGTATGGTTTTACTCCGGTGTAATGTTTTGTCCCTCCCTGTTCAAGTTGACAATTTGGCATTTTATGCTAATTCTCAGGTTCTGCTGTATGGCAGTTGGTGGCCTCTTTTCTCAAGCTGCCCATCTCAGGTACCCACTGCATTGTGGGTGCTACCATTGGCTTCTCTCTGGTGGCCAGAGGTCAGCAGGGGGTCAGGTGGCTGGAACTCCTCCGGATTGGTGAGTCAACAGCTTCCATTATCCACAGCTTACTTTGACGTTATCGCCATTGTCTAAGTAAAATAAAGAGCTACTATTACGACTTCAAGTCAGACATGTTTGTACAAGTAATGCAAGTGTCTGGTAGTGCTGAGGGATTAACTGAAATTTAGTTTTGTTTCAGTTAACTAATTGACAGATTCCATTTAGTTTGTTTTTTTGTGAGCCCAACGTGCCGTTTCTCTATAAAGAAATCAAATAATTCACGAGAGAAGTCAAGAACTATGTTGGACGCTGGGCTGAAGGGAGTTGTAGTTTTCACTAAGCAAATATTCAACCTAGTTCAGTGCAGAAATGTGGTAATTAACAACAATGACCATTGCACACCTGTTCTTTTCGGATCAGAGATGCCTGCTACGTTAGGTTGGATACACACAGACCGCACGAGAGAGGAATGTACACAATGACGAAAGGGGGATAGACAGTTCGTGAAAGTATGCCTTATATACTTTGAAGAACTAGTCAAATTAATTTGTCAGACCGCTCTGCAACATACTTAGGCAGGCTAGCTTAGCTAAATAGGATGACTAAAGTCCGTACCGTATGGGGGGCACAGAGATTACGTTGTCTTGCTGATTGGTACAGCCTGAGCAGAGATGAGATGATGACTTTAAGGAATGGAAAAAATGTATATATCAAATTTTACAGTGAAATGCGTGCTTACGAACCTTCCCAACAATGCAGAGTAAAAATAAATAATATTAATAACTAACACGATAATTAAATACACAAGAATGGAGCTATATAAAGAGAGTACCAGTTTAAAAACTAAGTAATATACAGAACTGAAATATTGTGTTATTTCATAGCAATTTCTCTATTGATAATGGAATCTTTTAAAAGTTTTGGCAATTGAATGTTCACTATTTTTGGCTTTGGAATTCCCATAAAAAAATCTCAACAATTATTTTAGTTTCATAATGCATTTAATGAGTAAAAAAATTAAATACTGAACTGACTTCAAAAAGCACTAATCGCTCTGCGCTAGTGTCTGGTGTTCTTCCTGAGAGCACGGTGCAATGCTAATTGTTCTAATCTCCGCAGTTGCCTCCTGGTTCCTCTCCCCCCTTCTGTCTGGCATCATGTCAGGCGTCCTTTTCTACTTTGTACGTATGTTCATCTTGCACAAGGTAAGCTGAGTAAAATCCACTTATCTAAATCTAGATGTCCTTAAAAATTGTGTGAGGCTTCCTGTTGGAAATTGTTGTTGGAAATGTGCCAGACCAAAAATGATGTCCCAAACAAGGTCATCAGAATAAAGCCATTCCTTGTTCTTTGGAAAGAAGTGTCGCTCTCCATGTCATTCTCCATGTAATCTCACGGGCCATCATGTCATATCAAATTTACGGACACACCCCCTATTCTGCCATCAAATGTAACCTGACAGTACAATAGAGAGCGTAGTGTTTCTGACTGTTCTGTTTGTCCCCTTGTAGAAAGACCCAGTGCCCAACGGTCTGAAGGCCCTGCCTGTCTTCTATGCTGTCACTATGATGATCAACCTGTTCTCCATCATCTTCACTGGAGCTCCAAGTGAGTATCGTTGGCCCACTCTGCCTTCACCATGCATGCCTGCCTGCAGCCACAGCCTAAAATAAACTGCTCCCTCAGCCAGCCAACGGGATCCCCACACTTTTTCCAAACTGAACAAGACTGTTTACTGTTCTCAGAGAAGGCCTGTTATTTTAACCTGTTGTGTTTTGGCACTTTTCTTGAGTGTGGTGTGGGTCATAACGGAATGAAATTGCAGAGAGGAGCACTGCACAACAGAGCTGGAAATGGGTTTTCTCTTTATTGTTTACGTCAATGTCTGTCCCTTTCCCACACGGAGGAGGAAAAATGGAAGTAAAGAGGGAGTTAGCTCTGCCAATGGCTGTCTTTTGCCTCTGTCAGTAGTGTCATGTAGAGCACAGCAAATATTTAGTCTGCTATATTCTTCACTTTTTAGTTTTGAAACTCTAATTAAATTAGCAACTTTTGCTCCTTTTTGTTCTCTTCTACCTACAGGACCGAACTGTTCAAGAAGTCAACTGGCCTGGGCCATTAAATGAAGTCTATAGGCTAGAGTATGCCCTGATATGCACTGTGTATAAATGTACACTCAGAGAGAGGAGTCTACATGCACTCAGTCACATACTGTACTGTTATGTCAGTCACACCTACATGTGAGTGTCCTGTACATGGGGACCTTTTATTCTGGGGTACCTCACATGAAGTTCCATACAGCGATTGCATTCCAGGAATCCTGCTGTTCAACGCATTCCCACACAACTGAGAAGAGATCAGGGAGTGATTTAATAGTAGAACCAGATATTACATACTGACATGTAGACCTACTGTATTCTCTCACACACACACACACTGAGGAGGAAGTGTATCCTTACACGTACTGGCACACTTTTAGACTCTGGCCACTGCCTGTAACTGGAGCCGGCTTATTACGAGGCTAATCCTGATCTTTAGCCACACTTGGTCAGTCACTTCCTCAAGTTATACATTCGGAAAGTATTCAGACCCCTTCCCTTTTTCCACATTTTGTTACGTTACAGCCTTATTCTAAAATTGATTAAATTGTTTTTTTTCCGCTCATCAATCTACACACAATACCCCATAATGACAAAGCGAAAACAGGTTTTTAGAAATGTTTGCTAATTTATAAAAACAGATACCTTATTTACATACACTACCGTTAAAAAGTTTGGGGTCGCTTTCCTTGTTTTTGAAAGAAAAGCACACAAAAAATGTCCATTAAAATAACATCAAATTGATCAGAAATAGTAGACATTGTTAATGTTGTAAATGGCTATTGTAGTTGGAAACGGCTGATTTAAAAAAAATAAATAAATAAATGGAATGTCTACATAGGCGTACAGAGGCCCATTATCAGCAACTATCAGTCCTGTGTTCCAGTGGCACGTTGTGTTTGCTAATCAAAGTTGATCATTTAAAAATACTAATTGATCATTAGAAAACCCTTTTGCAATTATGTTAGCACAGCTGAAAACTGTTGTGCTGATTTGAAGAAGCAATAAAACTGGCCTTCTTGAGACTAGTTGAGTATCTGAAGCATCAGCAATTCTGGGTTCGATTACAGGCTCAAAATGGCCAGAAACAAATAACTTTCTTCTGAAACTCGTCAGTCTATTCTTGTTCTGAGAAATGAAGGCTATTCCATGCGAGAAATTGCCAAGGAACTGAAGATCTCGTAAAACGCTGTGTACTACTCCCTTCACAGAACAGTGCAAACTGGCTCTAACCAGAGGAGTGGGAGGCCCCAGTGCACAACTGAGCAAGAGGACAAATACATTAGTGTCTAGTTTGAGAAACAGATGCCTCACAGGTCCTCAACTGGCAGCTTCATTAAATAGTACCCGCAAAACACAGTGAAGAGGCGACTCCGAGAGGCTGACCTTCTAGGCAGAGTTGCAAAGAAAAAGCCATATCTCAGACTGGCCAATAAAAATAAAAGATTAAGATGGGAAAAAGAACACAGGACAGAGGAAGATTGGAAAAAAGTGTTATGGACATCACAAAGAATAACATTTGTGAGATGCAGACCAAATGAAAAGATTGCTTGATGCCATCTGTCAAGCATGGTGGAGGCAATGTGATGGTCTGGGGGTGCATTGGTGGTGGTAAAGTGGGAGATTTGTACAGGGTAAAAGAGAGCCTTCCTTCTTCAAGATATCACTCCATTTTGCAACGCCATGCCATACCCAGTGGACGGCGCTTGATTGGAGCCAATTTCCTCCTACAACAGGACAATGACCCAAAGCACAGCTCCAAACTATGCAATAACTATTTAGGGAAGAAGCAGTCAGCTGGTATTCTGTCTATAATGGAGTGGCCAGCACAGTCACCGGATCTCAACCCTATTGAGCTGTTCTGGGAGCAGCTTGACTGTATGGTACGTAAGAAGTGCCCTTCAAGCCAATCCAACTTGTGGGAGGTGCTTCAGGAAGTGAAATCTCTTCAGATTACCTCAACAAATTGACAACTAGAATGCCAAAGGTCTGCAAGGCTGTAATTGCTGCAAATGGAGGATTCTTTGACGAAAGCAAAGTTTGAAGGACACAATTATTATTTCAATTAAAAATCATTATTTCTAACCTTGTCAATGACTACATTTCCTATGCAGTTTGCTATATTTCCTATTCAAACTCATTTCATGTATGTTTTCATGGAAAACAAGGACATTTCTAAGTGACCCCAAACTTTTGAACAGTAGTGTAAGTATTCAGACCCTTTGCTCTGAGACTTGAAATTGAGGTCAGGTTAATCCTGTTTCTATTGCTTATCCTTGAGATGTTTCAACAACTTGATTGGAGTCCACCTGTGGTAAAATCAATTGATTGGACATGATTTGGAAAGGCACACACCTGTCTATATAAGGTCCCCCCACAGTTGACAGTGCATGTCAGAGCAAAAACCAAGCCATGAGGTCGAAGGAATTGTCCGTAGAGCTCCGAGACAGGGTTGTGTCGAGGCACAGATCTGGGGAAGGGTACCAGACAATGTCTGCAGCATTGAAGGTCCTCAAGAATACAGTGGCCTCCATCATTCTTAAATGGGAGAAGTTTGGAACCACCAAGACTCTTCCTAGAGCTGGCCGCCAAACTGAGCAATCGGGGGAGAAGGGCCTTGGTCAGGGAGGTGACCAAAAACCCAATGGTCACTCTGACAGAGCTCCAGAGTTCCTCTGTGGCGATGGGAGAACCTTCCAGAAGGACAACCATCTCTGCAGCACTCCACCAATTAGGACTTTATGGTAGAGTGGCCAGATGGAAGGTGCTCCTCAGTAAAAGGCACATGACAGCCCGCTTGGCGTTTGCCAAAATGCACCTGAAGGACTCAGACCATGAGAAACAAGATTTTCTGGTCAGATGAAACCAAGATTGAACTCTTTGGCCTGAATGCCAAGTGTCACGTCTGTAGGAAACCTGGCACCATCCCTACGGTGAAGCGTGGTGGCAGCATCATGCTGTGGGGATGTTTTTCGGCGGCAGGGACTGGGAGACTAGTTAGGATCGAGGGAAAGATGAATGGATCAAAGTACAGAGAGCTCCTTGATGACAATCTGCTCCAGAGCGCTCAGGACCTCAGACTGGGGGCGAAGGTTCACCTTCCAACAGGACAACGACCCTAAGCACACAGCCAAGACAACGCAGGAGTGGCTTCGGGACAAGTCTCTGAATATCCTTGAGTGGCCCATCCAGAGCCCGGACTTGAACCCCATCGAACATCTCTGGAGAGACCTAAAAATAGCTGTGCAGCAACTCTCCCCATCCAACGTGACAGCTTGACAGGATCTGCAGAGAAGAATGGGAGAAACTCCCCAAATATAGGTGTGCCAAGCTTGTAGCGTCATACCCAAGAAGTCTCGAGGCTGTAATCGCTGCCAAAGGTGCTTCAACAAATTACTGATTAAAGGGTCTGAATACTTATGTAAATGTGATATTTCAGTTTTCTATTTTTATTTTAGCAAACATTTCTAAGCCTGTTTTTGCTTTGTCATTATGGGGTGTTGTGTGTAGATTGAGGAGAATAGAAACAAAACAATTTAATCAATTTTAGAATAAGGCTGTAACGTAACAAAATGTGGATAAAGTCAAGGGGTCTGAATATTTTCCGAATGCACTGTAAGTGGCTGAATTAAGAATTCAAAACGAGACATGAGTCCATGGTTAGTTTCTTCCTCCATTTTCCTTTTCTGGCACAGTTCATTCAGGTGCAATGTATCTAAGTGGGTTATACTATTTCAGAACACATTTCAGCTGTGTGCTCTCATGAGGAAGTATTTTGTCCTTGGAGGAACCACAGTAATCACAGGATAAGTAATGGATAGCACCAAAAATATTTCGTTTTTTTTCTGCATTTGGTCCCCGAGTTGTAAAACGGTAGTGTAGTGGTGACTGATCTGCAAGTCTAATACAGCCCTTATTAAATTCAATGGGTGAAGAGGGGGGCGGAGTCAAGACCGAGAACTGTACATTTGGTCTCCTGTTTTAGAACTCCATGTTCCTCTGGTTTTACTTTAACATGGTGGTGTGAAAGCACAAAAACAATTTAACATGCCAGTCCTATACACAATAAAGCCAACCCTAGTGCCAGAGACCCCAGTTGGAACTAGTGAAAAATGAATGTAACTCGGGCCATAGGTCGAGTGGATCATTACCAGAAGAGACTTTAAAGTTCCACACCTTGTTAATCACCCTGACTCCTCATTTTAGCACATCTCTAGTTAGTCATTCTGAAGCTGTGTTTCCCAACTGGCAATTCGTCCCGCAGGCTTTTTATTATTTATATTTTTTCAAGTTTTATGTGCAAAAATAATTGTGTGTATATTACACACACACACATTTGTACGTGTATATTGTTGTACATAAGACAGTAAAAACCCCAGCACATCAGCTATAAGTTACTTTAATTTTGGCAATCTGTTCCAAAGTATTCCCACGCGTAATAGCGATTTGTATGTGATCGTATACAAATCTAAGCAAGGTTTGAAATTGTTTTAGGAAAATTATCTGTTTTGGCTTCTTGCGGTCAATTTGTAGTCTACTAATTATACCACGGCTGAATCTAGTTGATGATCCCTGTAGAAGGGGCCATAGATTGAAAAGCTTTGCAGACAGAGGAAAGGGCTATGTCACCAATGTATAAGACCATGTCAACATTTTGACTACATTTGATTTGTGTAACCAACCAAGCAAATACATGTCCCCTCTAGTTACATAACCAGCCTGTCCTTCACTACCAACTGTGCACTTTCAAACAACATCCATAAAAAAGAAGAGGGATACAGTGGACACCCCCCTTGTCCCTGCATTTCAGGATGCGTTAGCTGGAATGCTAATTTTCTGCTTCGGTTCCCCTTTGAAAAACAAACGGCGGGTGGCTTGGTTGCTTAGGGGACACTAAACAATCAGGAAAATAGAAACACAGATGACAGTGTAGCAGCAAAGGGGTTTATTAAACTGCGCTGTGACTCAGAATACACATGGTATATGGCACTTCAAATTACTAATTATAAACTGGGTGGTTCGAGCCCTGAATGCTGATTGGCTGAAAGCCGTGCTATATCAGACCGTATACCAGGGGTATGACAACATTAATTTTTTACTCTTCTAATTACGTTGGTAACCAGTTTTATAATAGCAATAAGGCACCTCAGGGGTTTGTGGTATATGACCAATATACCACGGCTAAGGGCTGATGTTACGCACAACGCAACACGGAGTGCCTGGATACAGCCCTTAGCCGTGGGCCTTATTGCTTAATTAGAACCTGATAGACCCTAATAGGTAAGCAACAGTAAGTTAGTGCCGCTGAAATAGTTTGAGTAGCCTCCTTTTATCTTCGTACAGTTAGGAAAAGCTGAGCGTTAAACTTTGAACAAAAGTAATTTAGTTAACTTTTTTTTTAGTCTGTCAACATTCTGTTTATACTACTAGTTGGTAGGAGGACAATGAAGAGGATAATTGGCCAAAGCCACCATCCCAAATATATAAGGAGTCATAAATGGTTATTTAACTGTACTGCCATGAGGGATGGGGCTGAACCGCTGTTGGAAAACAACAACAAACCATGTTATTGTGTAAAGTAGTCCACGGGATGCAGAGGTTACAAGGGAGGGGTTTGGAACGCAGCTGTGGTTAAATTCCACTTCCTGAGCCCTCTCTCATTCATCCCACTGTGTAGCTGTGGTGTATACACCCCTTTGTGTGGCTCTGTTTAAAACGACTGGGCCGTTGCTATTTTTTATTTTTATTGTCTCTGTAGAGATGTGATCCACTATAGGCCATCAACATGGAAATGTGCCTCGGCACATACTGAATAATACAGACCCCATTCTCTCCTCTTTCGGGGTCATTTATTTTTGCCCACTCTTAATTTGGCACCAGCCCCCCCCAAACAAATGTCTATCGGCCGCACCTGTTTTGGGCTGTCCCACAGCCACAGTCATTCGAGACTAGTCTAATGGAAGAAGCCTCAGCTGTTTTTGAAATAAAAAAATTTATACCGCCCCCTTCCCATTTCCTCTCCCTTCCTGGAGGGGGGTGAGTTTGTGTTGCGTAACTAAATACACATTGCTGATGTGCCACGGCCTGTAGTCTCCTGCCGCAGAATGTGAGTAGACTACCCAGGAGAGAGCATGGTGCACTCTGCCCTTTAACCAATACTGACTCACTGTTATCTCTGGGCCCTGGCCTTCATTTCCTTTGTTTGTTGTTCACATCCCAGTCTAGATTATTCATTTATTTTTATTATGCGTGATCATGGTCAACTTGAATTTTCGCGCAGCACTTGTTTTTTTACTCTGACCATGTTGCTGACTCTCCAACGTCGCTGGCTGCTGTTTTCCCAGGGGGATCTGTAATGGTCCGTCTCCCTGCCAACAGCATGCCCAAAACTGCGTTGACAACCCCACACAGACCCTCTGCAGTCTTGGCACCAGATGTCCTTTATGCTCCAGTGGACACTGTTAAAGTAAATGTGAAGGCCCCCTTGTTTAGTTCTTTTTTTATTCTCCCCAAGTCCTCTCATATAGCCATTTTAAGGCACTCACTGTCCATGTGCAGTTGGAGGCAGGGGTACATTTGGGTCACTGCGACATCCCTTGTTATTCACATGCTCTCCTCCATGCGGCATTGCGTAACTGCTCTATGGGCACGCACACATACCATATTTGACTGGGATATTTGCCACTTGCTGTGGCTCATCCTTGTAGCTATTGGTGGTGTATGTGTTTGAGGTAATACGAAATATGACTATGTGCAATTAATGGAGAACTTGTAGCTTCCAATTGATCATTGTAGCATTTTACCCTCTTCATTTAAATGTATTTCTCTGTACTCAAAGTGTGTTTGTTTTATCCTATAGAAAATTATATTGTTTACTATGTTATGGTTGATATTGTATAATTTAGAAATATTTTGTAATGTAAATATAAGAACAGGCTTTTGTAATTCTACCACTTATAGGTGAGGGTCCAGATAGACAATTTAGTCACAATGCCAACTGTTTTCTACATCTTTAGAAAGGTAGCGCCTGCTGCCTTGTTTTTCAAAACCATCTATCCTCTCTCCATTTCCACCTCTGTATGTCACTCCTTGGTTACTCCAGTGCTTGGATTTGACAAGATCCCATGGTGGGGCACACTGCTCATCTCTTTGGCCTGTGGTGTGCTGACCGCCCTGTTGGTCTGGTTCATCGTCTGCCCACGCCTCAAGAAGAAGATTGAACGTAAGTCTCAATTTAGTTTTTCGTTCAGTTTTGGCACCCCTGTTACTAAGTTGATAATTGATGTGCTTATTTGATAGAGAATTTCATTCCATGGTCTTACCTGGAAAATACGTTTTAAGTGTGGTTAGATTGATGCATTACATTAGGCGCTGAACAAGTGTCAGGGATTAAAGGGACATTTTTACTTCATATTCATCATCTCCAGCATCACCCCAACATTAACATGTTTTGTAGTAAAAAAGATGGCAGAATATACGTGTGATGTGATTTTTAACCAATTATGGGTCGGCATTGCCTACTAATTGTCTAATTGATTGATGTCATTGGAAACGCTTATCTTCCTCTATCCTTTTTATACAAAACATAGAAATGTGCCATTTTCACGTATGTTATTTTACACATTAATTCTGTGTGGTGACAAGTTCTGAAGTCGGACTGTTTTATACTAATCAGCTTTGAATTGACAATGAGCTTAAAATGCAGGCTGATAATTGTGCTGGTCAAAAGTAGACCCATCTATTAATAGTCAAAGTCAATCGCATCACATGATGTTCTGAAATCCAGGATTTAAAAGTTAAAGACCCTTTCTTAAATAGCCTCCCTTTTATTTTAACTTCACTATAAAGGGCCAATGGTGCAGCTTGTGAAAGGTGAAACGCATGGGATGCTGAGGTCCATCTGGATGTCCGTGAATGAACTGTCTGGGACGGTCCTAGTCCAGAAGACAGAGGCAGCCTAATTGGATCATAGCGATCCACTAATGGGCCTTTACATCCTTGACTAGAATAGCCATGGGTAGAGTTAAGGCATTGACGCGAAGTTAGCAGTGCATCACTGTGCGTGTGACTCGACTGACGTGGCTGTAGTCAAATAAACAGCTAGCGCCTCTGGGAAAATGTAGATGATGCAATCGGGTCAACTGGCTAGGTAGCAGACCAAACTGATCAGACGACCACACGGTGGCCATATGTTTGCATTGAGTATCTAATTTGGTCTGAAACCACAAAGTCATGCAGGATACATTCATTTTCATACCTTATCTACATAGGCCTACATGTAAAGGTTTTAGTCGATAGCACAATGTAAATATGCAAAAAAAAGTAAGTCATTATCTGATTTTATTGGTCATATACACATTTAGCAGACATTATTGCGCGAAATTAATCATTTTACCTGCGCTTATGAACACTGTCTCCCTCAATTTTAACGAGTTTACCCATGTAGTAATTAGGGCAGCTGCTTTTCTTTAGTTTTTCTGATCTGGTTATGCAATTCCTATGTGAACCTTAAATGCTGAGGTGTATAAGAACCATATGTGCCGTCTAGGGATGTAACGATCCACAGATGCGTATTGGTCCCCGATTCAAACCTTTAAGAAACGACTGCATCAGTCCGTGGAACCCAAACCCATCCAAATGTAGCATGCATCAGTCAGAAAATCGCAGATTCACATTTTTGTATTACTTTTGTTCTATCATCCGAAAATACCTAATATTTTGTGACAACTGATGCATCCTCTCCTTCAGTGACGAGCTAAGCATGTAACTGTTGACAGTCATTGATCTACAAGTCATTTTGCTTGCCGAACAACCCTAGGGAATATCAGTAGCCTAGTCAAACCGCGCAATGTGCCCAGGTTTGCGCGATGACCAATGCGAGGTAGGCAGCCTGTTCCTGATCTTCCACATCTGCATGGCACCTTGAGCATTCAAATGCTAAAATGGCTTGCGTGATATTGGGCTTTATTAGTTGTGGCAATTTGTAATTTACTAGGTTATTGTTATCTATGCGCTGAATTGTGTTTTACTGGAATAAAAGTAAGCTACCGGAGACACAACTCTCATCTGGCTATATCTGCTGAACAGGGCTTGCAATAGATCTTATTTAGATTGTTCAGGTTCACCATCGGGGGTGTATTAACTGTATTAATTGGTTATGTCATAGAAACAATAAATATTGATACATTACTAGCTAAAACACTTAATTGGCAAAAATTACAAGTTAATTAGTGGGTGACGGTGATTTCAGTGGGAGGACAACAAACAGGCTACATTGCCCCCCCTCCTCCCCCTAATCTGACAGTGGTAGATGCCTAGTCTCCCTTATGGATCAGATCAGGTGCATACATAGTATACACCCCTCAAACTCAACTCTGGACCTCGAAGCCAGTTCCACTGCTTGTTTTCATTGTTCCCCTCTAATCAAGGACTGATTTTAGACCTGGCACACCAGGTGGGTGCAATTAATTATCAGGTAGAACAGAGAACCAGCAGGCTCTGGACCTTGTAGGGTAAGCGTTGAATACCCCTGGTATACACCATAGACCTACATCACACACAAAAGTCAGCTCCGACAGATCCAGCTCAGAGGCCCAGCTCATGAGGTCCATCAGCAGCAGATTTAAATTTAGAGTGGAAAATTCATGTTTATGCAACAAATGTTATCGCATCGATTAGTTCTCGAATCACAACGACTCGTTTCAAATTAAAACGTACCCTTCCTGTATCGGAGCTTCTTGAAAGGGAAAGATGCACATCCCTAGTGCCATCTCATGTTCCCTTACTGTACCGTATTCGTGTTTGGACTTGGCTCAGGCAGTCTAATTCCACCCTCTTCCCCTCCAGGAAAAATCAAGTCTTCAAGCCCCTCTGAGAGCCCCCTGATGGATAAGAGGGAACTGAGGGAGGAGCCTGTGCCCTCTACCATCCTGAAGCCTGTCCCTGAGGAGCCCCCTTCACCCCCTTCCCCTGCTGACCCAGACACCCCCTCCCCTGCCTTCCCCGCTGACCCAGACACTCCCTCCCAGGTTCCCCAAGAGGAGCGCAGGGTAACTTTTGACATTGGTGATTCTGAAGATGGCGACAACAAGGAAGGCAAGGAGTCTGAGAATGGCAACGCCAATGGTAAGTGTGAGTCATGGGGAGGTTATGGCTGCCTTGGTAAAGTGGTTGGGAAAAGTGAGAAAATGGGCTAAAAATATTTGGTAAATAAGTCGTTCATTCTCCTCCATGAGTAACTGACTACAGAGCTTGCTTGCGCTGTTCCTGACTTTTAAATATATTTGTATTCAGTCCAAAAAGTGCAGTTCAGCAATGATGTGCAATTCAGCAACGGCCCAGCCCACGTCCCCAGCAACGGTTACAGCCAGTATCATACGGTGCACAAGGACTCTGGCCTCTACAAGGACCTGCTGCACAAGCTCCACCTTGCCAAGGTAGGCGACTGCATGGGCGAGGCAGGCGACAGACCGATCCGCCGCAACAACAGCTACACCTCTTACACCATGGCCATCATCGGCATGCACGGGGACTTCCGGCCCAAAGAGGGCGAGTTCCACGCCAGCGAGGACAAGGGTACAGAGGAGAAGAAGAAGCGTGTGCGCATGGACAGCTACACCAGCTACTGCAACGCTGTGGCTGAGCACGGGGCTCCCGAGGGCCTGGGGGAGGCAGAGGTGACTCTGGAGATGGGAGAGGAGGACGCTGGCAGCAGCCGCAGCTCTCTGGAGGAGGATGGACAGGACTGTGACCGCCCCGAGGTCTCTGAGCTCTTCAGGTTTCTCCAGATCCTCACCGCCTGCTTTGGCTCCTTCGCCCATGGAGGCAACGACGTCAGGTAGGGAGATGTTCCATCTTGGATGAATAGTCATTTTACTGCCTTTTAAACAAATATTTATTGACTAGCAATAGGGTTGCTGCCTCTGTATGTTCATGTAGAGGGACCTTTTGTACCTGATTAGTATGTTAGTAACCTAGCCTCTTTTCTCCTGCAGCAATGCCATTGGTCCCTTGGTAGCTCTGTGGCTGGTTTACAATAGTGGTTCGGTGAACTCCAGTGCCCCCACACCCATCTGGCTGCTGTTGTACGGAGGAGTTGGCATCTGCCTCGGGCTCTGGGTGTGGGGTCGCAGGGTTATCCAGACCATGGGCAAGGACCTCACCCCCATCACGCCCTCCAGGTATGTACCAGACATCACAGAACGGACCAAATCAAACATTCAAATGGCACCCTTACAATATAACATTCCCCACAGACATGAGACTTCACAAAAACACCCCCAGGCTTCACACTGTCCATGAAATTGGACACATACACAGGCAGAACCAACCGGTGACTCAGGCCTGGTTTTCTTTCCCTTCGCAGTGGTTTCAGCATTGAACTTGCCTCAGCCCTGACCGTTGTGGTTGCCTCCAACATTGGCTTGCCTGTCTCCACCACCCACTGCAAGGTAAGCTGTTCAGACTCAGACACTGTGGTCTGATGCTGAGACATGAAGGGGAGTATGCCTTAGTAATGTGGAAGGCAGGGAGCAGTAAACAGGATGTCTGAATTTGGCGGTCAAAACTGCTTCTAATTTCCAATATAAAAAACTGAATCCAGTCTGCTACTGTCAGGGGGAGTGTTGGCCATTTCTTCTTAATGGTTCATGGATTCTAAGTAGTTAACAAAGGTCGGTGTGTTAATCATGTGTGTGTTGCCAGGTGGGCTCTGTGGTAGCGGTTGGCTGGCTGCGCTCCAGGAAGGGTGTGGACTGGCGTCTGTTCCGCAACATCTTTCTGGCCTGGTTTGTGACTGTGCCCATCTCTGGCCTGATCAGCGCTGCCATCATGGCCCTCTTCACCTATGTCATCCTGTGAGCCCAGGGCTGCCTGCACCCCACAACAGGGGAGGAGAGAACACACGCCCACTCGCACCAGGGGAGAGAGAGCGTTAAGAGAAGGTGTTGGAAGGCGGATATAGCCCGCTAACCCCTTGCCAACACACCCGAAGGAAAGAAATACATTTTTAAAAAATGTGTTAAAGGAAAAAAAGGACGTTGTGATATGGGCATGTGGTTCTTGGCTGCATCATTTCCAACCTTAAGTGATGGTTGTGTTCGTTTATGCTCCAGATCACTTCCAATGGGAACATTTTGTTTTCTTTGTCATTGTTTTTTTTTCTGACTTGGCAGAAATTATTTTTCAATGCTCATGATCTTGTAAAAATAGCTAATCAAATCATCAACTAAATGTTTTTTTTTATTATACTCCACTACTTTTTTTTAACCGTGTAATTATGTACATATGCCATATTCCTGTTTATAATCTTATTTTACAAGTTTGGATGACAAAACAACAATTACAATGCAGTATTAGCCTTTAGTGAAGGATCTATTTCTCCTGTCATACAGTGGGGGAAAAAAGTATTTAGTCAGCCACCAATTGTGCAAGTTCTCCCACTTAAAAAGATGAGAGAGGCCTGTAATTTTCATCATAGGTACACGTCAACTATGACAGACAAATTGAGAGAGAAAAAATCCAAAAACACATTGTAGGATTTTTTATGAATTTATTTGCAAATTATGGTGGAAAATAAGTATTTGGTCACCTACAAACAAGCAAGATTTCTGGCTCTCACAGACCTGTAACTTCTTCTTTAAGAGGCTCCTCTGTCCTCCACTCGTTACCTGTATTAATGGCACCTGTTTGAACTTGTTATCAGTATAAAAGACACCTGTCCACAACCTCAAACAGTCACACTCCAAACTCCACTATGGCCAAGACCAAAGAGCTGTCAAAGGACACCAGAAACAAAAGTGTAGACCTGCACCAGGCTGGGAAGACTGAATCTGCAATAGGTAAGCAGCTTGGTTTGAAGAAATCAACTGTGGGAGCAATTATTAGGAAATGGAAGACATACAAGACCACTGATAATCTCCCTCGATCTGGGGCTCCACGCAAGATCTCACCCCGTGGGGTCAAAAGGATCACAAGAACGGTGAGCAAAAATCCCAGAACCACACGGGGGGACCTAGTGAATGACCTGCAGAGAGCTGGGACCAAAGTAACAAAGCCTACCATCAGTAACACACTACGCCGCCAGGGACTCAAATCCTGCAGTGCCAGACGTGTCCCCATGCTTAAGCCAGTACATGTCCAGGCCCGTCTGAAGTTTGCTAGAGTGCATTTGGATGATCCAGAAGAGGATTGGGAGAATGTCAGATGAAACCAAAATATAACTTTTTGGTAAAAACTCAACTTGTTGTGTTTTGGAGGACAAAGAATGCTGAGTTGCATCCAAAGAACACCATACCTACTGTGAAGCATGGGGGTGGAAACATGATGCTTTGGGGCTGTTTTTCTGCAAAGGGACCAGGACGACTGATCCATGTAAAGGAAAGATTGAATGGGGCCATGTATCGTGAGCTTTTGAGTGAAAACCTCCTTCCATCAGCAAGGGCATTGAAGATGAAACGTGGCTGGGTCTTTCAGCATGACAATGATCCCAAACACACCGCCCGGGCAACGAAGGAGTGGCTTCGTAAGAAGCATTTCAAGGTCCTGCATGGAGTATTGGGCCAAAATACCAGCCACAGTGTGTGAAAACCTTGTGAAGACTTACAGAAAACGTTTGACCTGTGTCATTGCCAACAAAGGGTATAAAACAAAGTATTGAGAAACTTTTGTTATTGACCAAATACTTATTTTCCACCATAATTTGCAAATAAATTCATTAAAAATCCTACAATGAGATTTTCTGGAGAATTTTTTTTCTCATTTTGTCTGTCATAGTTGACGTGTACCTATGATGAAAATTACAGGCCTCTCTCATCTTTTTAAGTGGGAGAACTTGCACAATTGGTGGCTGACTAAATACTTTTTTCCCCCACTATACATAACACCTGCTCAAAATAACTTAGAATAAACAGTATTGTTTTTAGGTTGAAAGCAAGGTTATTGGTGTTCTCTACCTTTTTAAATGCCATTGTCAAGAGAATGTGTTTGCGTGTCTTTTTGTCACTAAACAATTTTAAGAATCGTGTGTGTACTTGGATCTGGTCGCCTTGTTTTTCCTTATGTGCAGGGGAGCTTCAGTTTTCCCCTTGCCATTTGCTGATCGAACTGAGTTTGACTGTTGTTACTCAGCCATTCAACAGAGCCCTTGGTCTGTAGAGAAGTACAGGAAATGTGCAAGGCCTTCTGAGCTAATTCTCTCAGCTTCACCTCTGCTTTCTCAACTTGTTACAATGATCCCTCAGGTTTTTTCTGTACTTTCTCTATTTGATTGGTTCTTTTGAAAGTTATTCTAAAGAAATTAAATTTTTATGCTGTGTCAGACTACCTAATTTAACTGAAACCTGCTCAACATGAAACCAGGCTGAGTAGAGGCCTCATTTGACAGGCAAATATATCCCTTTCTCATTGTCAACAACACAACACCTGGCTGTGGATTAGATCCCTCTGTCTATCCAGTTACCATAATGCTTTTGTTTTGAGCACAGATGGTGTTACTAGGTGACCTGACCTCTCACCTTACAAAGTTGAGCTCCCGCCACCCTGGCTTTTGGGGCATCATTATTTAATTGGGAAATTGGCTAAAATGTCTTCAAGACATGTTTTAAATGTCTGAAACAGTACAATCTTTTTTTCATCAGTGGTGGGTTGATAAATACAATTGTTTTAATGGGATCATTGTAAAAAGTTGAATTTCTCAACCATTTCCCAATTGTTTTGCCGCAAGTAAAAGATGAAACTATCTAGTACCGTACATCTGTATCTATTCTGGGTCTGCTTTAGCATTATTGATGGTGATAGCAGACCTTTTACCTGAAAACACAAGATAAATCTGAACAAATGTACTGAAAGTTGGTAAATGCGGAGAGACACTCAAATGAGGCCCTTAGATTTCCTGTTACACTTGATTGCGTCAAACTAGACTGTAATGCGTTAGTTCTGCTCAAGCCTTCTGTTGTCTGTTTTGCAATTTAGCTGCAGAATTGTAACTTCCCTGTACTCTTGGTCTGTGGAATGTATACTTGCATACACATCAGGTTACCACATTACTTGCCACTCTCACAGCTGAATGTTTTATATCTGGTTGATGAGATTAGTGTGAGAGACGTCAGGTTACTACCCTGAACCTGGTTAATGTTTTTGACCTGTGTGGTGTGGTGTGTGTGTGTGTGTGTGTGTGTGTGTGTGGACCTTGCCCGGATGCTCTGTTGGAAAGAGGGGGGCATACATTGCTGCTGTGATGCCACCAAGAGTTGCGGTACTGGGCTGCTACACTACTAAGCTCATTTAGACCTGTAGTTGCCTTAAATTAGCTTTTATTTTTTGGGGCACCAAAGAAAATACTGGTTTGTTATGCACAGACAGAATACGGACTTGGAGGGAATAAAATATAAAAATGGAAAGCTACTAACTTGTATTTTTTCATTATTTTCTCGTGTATTCAAGATGTTTTGAAAGACTCACTTTTCATAAACCATGACATTCAAAATAAACCTCAACGACCTATTGCATAAGGATGGAGTCACACAGCAGTGGAATAGAATGGTGAGAGATGTTTCTCTTTATTGACAGTAAACTGTTCCGCTGCACAATGTTCTTCAGGTTCTCTAATGGAAGATGGTGGTAGGTCTGCAGGCTCCGCCTCCTCACATGATGCCTCCTGCAGACTCACTCTACCTCAGCTATGATGCAGAAAAAGTGAGAATTGATTCCTTTGTTTTATGACCATCACACACACAAGTATCCTACTCCCCCGCAGGAGTCTCAAAGCCACGTGTATGAATTATTCGTTAAACAACCCCAACCATTCATCGTCTCCTGGCGACTCATTCTAGCACAGAGTTGCTTAGGCCAATGAAAACCATTGATTCAAGAACATAAGGCCCCCTTTTATGCCCAGTAAAGTGCATTTTCAGGTTAACCCCATGATCTAGAAACTAGTTGTAAATTATTACACTATATCATATTTATTTGTTTTCAGGGTTCAAGATCCAGAGCCTAAAGAAGATGAAGTGCTGAACATTTAGATAAGGACCTTGACCTTGGTCCTATAGTTTGTCAAATATGTGCCTGCCTTGACTCATACAGGTTAGGAAAGGAACGGCGCATCTCGGGTCCAGAAATAACCCAGGACACAGCAGATGATACAGAATAAATCAAGCACAGATAAGCATCTGGGGACAGGCGTCTTGGAGTGCCCTAGATTTCTGTCCTAGATACACTAAAAGCTTTCAAACAATCAATCATGTTGCCGCTGACAGTGTCCTGTTCAACTAGTTTGACATCAGTGACTCATGGTCTGGGTCAAAGTCTCTCCATGGAGTGTTTTGGTTTGAGGTCAGGTCAATAAAGTCTAGCTCTATGATGTGATTTTCCTCATAAACTCAAAAAGAACTATTGACCTTGAAAACATTTTTGTTTGACAAAAGGTGTATAAAACATTTTTTACAGTGGCATAGTTCATAAAAAGTGTTTTTGCTCTCTGTTCATAAAATTAGCTTGTTAATAACTATAAAACTATTATACAACATGTTATGTTGATGTGCTCACTACAAAGCAACGTTTTTGGTACAACAAAGATGTCATTACTTGTTCGCATGAGTGTAATAAAAACATGTTTTCACTGCCAGGATGTGCCTGGCTGCTATTATACAGCTGTGGTAAAGGAAGTTATGTGTTTATTGTGTGTTGTAACATTCCCGTTTTACCAGACGGAAATGTGGAGAGTAACAGGAGGGGAAAGCCCTAATGAAGCCCTTTCCTTTACATTCTATTTCATCCCACTTGGGACACAGTCTGAACCTGAACCTTTACATTTTATGAGCAGTGGAAAATGTTCAACAACAGCTAGAGCAAACACACACACACATGCAAACACACATTTTTATGGAAAATGGATACTAGGTGGGTATAATTAAGAAATGATCACCTTCGTCTCTGGCTTTGTCCTCAATGAGCTCATCTGTGAAGAGAAAAAATAAGTATATTATATAACGTAGTGTATGTATCTACTCCCAGAGTCAACAAGACCATTTTCAGTTGTTCAAACTATTTACTAACAAGTAGATATTCATATCCTACCTAAATTTGCCATTTCATCTGCTTCTTCAACGTTGGCTTCAAGGTGTTCTAGGAAGGGACAGAATATGTTAAAATCTTATTTTAACACAAAATTGTATACCAGTGAGTGAATGGCTGGTATTGTGTTTCATGTGAGTTTCAAATGTGTTGTGGATATTTTGTGTTACATTGGATAGAATCATCTTCTCTGAGTAACCTGAGAGAACATGAGACTCTCTGGTTCTATGCGTACCTCGCTTGTGCCTCATACCTGTGAGGAAAAAGAAAACCCAAGGTTGTGAGGGTATATTAAGAAAAGTCCTGCATGTGTTTTTACATGAGACAATTTGAAAAAGATTGAGAGGTAAATACTCACCATCTACATTCTCATCAGACTCAGACTCTGTTGGAGAACGGGAAACTTAGGCTTATACATGTACATGTATCGGCAAGAATCTCAAATATATAATTTTAATAATTATCATAATAACTAAACAACCAAACATCCAGAGAATGTCTTGCTGACACACATGTAAGTCTTCTGACACTTTATTGCCATCTACAGGTGTGTCTTTAAACACCATCCATTCAACCTTTCCTTACCATGTTGGTCTGTCTCAATGTTTCTGTCTCTGTCTCTGTCTGCTGGAAAACGACACGAGTAAAGTTATAAGTAATCTAAACAAATTATGAAAAAAACCCATGTGCCAGTCAGTAACCAATCTTTTCCTGTGAGTGTTGTCATATCATATGCCATCTGCACTTACCCATGTCCTCCTCATGAGTGTCATTCTTCTCCTCTGTAAAACATTTATAGGACTACATTTACAAAAAGGTATGGTTGATTAATAAGTATGCATGTTTACAGCAGACTTCAGTGCTTACCAGTATGTTGATCTTGAACAGCCTCTACCGTAGACAGAAGAATTACATTTGTTAAAGTAAAACAAGAGGTCAAATCTTATTATTTCACTATCAATGGGCCAAATGCACAAAAATACAGACAATGGCTCTGATGTCCCCTTATTCGTTTTTTAGAAGGGTAGGATTCCCTTACCCAAGTAGTGTACATCCTCACTCTGTGCATCCTCTGTAGATGGATGGAAATATGGAAATGACTGTTCTTTCAGTGTTAATTGAAATTATTACAAATTATTTGCTGGGACAATTCTAGACAGGTCATAAACCTGAATCGTTGCCCGTGTCACTGTGTCTTACCACTCATTTGAGCTGCTTCAAACTCCTCCTGATCTGAGGACAGAGAAAGGCAGAGAAATGATTTTGATTAATGCAAGCTTTAGCACTATGAGCCATCTGTGCCCTAGAGTAGATTTTAAAAACTCCAGTTGAATTAGATTTCAGTCAAATTCATTCCAGTAGGTGCTGTGCGTGGAGCAAAAGCTCCTTTACAAGCGTCTCTGAGACATTGATCATTGTACCTCTCTTTTGCAGGTCACTTAGCTGCTCCAGCCCCACTGGAAAAAGTGAGAAAGTTGCATTCAGTTTTTTTTTAACACAAACACTTTTTTTAAACCATTGATAAAGTGCTGCTTTTAATGTCTGTGTGTCCTTGTTGTGTTTTTATGGTGTATTTACTGGTAATGAATGTACTGTATGTATTGGCTTGCACAATAAAATGTCCCCTCTGGGGGATTAATAAAGTACTATCTTATCTTATTTTGTCTTATGAGTTGCATGAGTTGTCAGGGAGGCATTGCACTCAAAAACATCAACATCAACATTATCATCATCCATAATGGACTTTCTCACCTTCCTCACCAAATGTGTCCTCTTTTTCTGCCGATTCCAAGGATGCAGCCAGAGCTGGGGATGTCAAATTTGATTATTATATTAGCCAACACAACATAAATGATATGTGATTATATCCAACCCCGCCCAAAACAGCGCTGAATTGGGAGCTTAAAGAGTGTGTGGCCGTTCTCGTTCTTCAATAATAATATGCTATTTAGCAGACGCTTTTATCCAAAGCGACTTACAGTCATGCGTGCATACATTTTTTTTTGTGTATGGGTGGTCCCGGGGATCGAACCCACTACCTTGGCGTTACAAGCGCCGTGCTCTACCAGCTGAGCTACAGAGGACCACTATTATTATATCCAGCCAACTCACATTTTCCTCGGGCCATGTCAGCAATTAAATGTAAGGATTCAATAGAACACCAATCACATAAAAAAAGGCTAAGGGCCTTATTTACATTACCATTGCACAATACATCATGAAACAGCATTGCAACTAGCATCAGCAGTACAGGGCTTCATCAAATGTCACAGCTGAGGGATATTTTAAACAAAAATATATTGGAGAAGTTTAAAACTTTATGACATTGAGAAAATAGACCACACAATTATCATACCAGTATGGAATCCTGCTGCAGCCAGAAAGAGGAATATGGGCACTCCGACTCTCATCTTGGCTCCGTGGTTGGTTGTAGAAGGTGCTATAGTGTCAGTCCAAACTGGGTATTGTGTTTTTGTCGGTCATTGGCCCTTTTATACTTTTCATCTCTTTCATCACATGCTTTGCATGGACAGGCGGCTGTGGTACCATTGTCCCTCCCTACCTGGGGGCAGCTGGGTGGCACATTCCGGCCACAACACAGACGTGTCATTATTCAGGGTGTGAATGCCACCCATTGTCAGCTCCTCTGTCAGATGCCCCTTTATTTGGGGTGCTGGTGCGTGTTTGGAAAGGGTGTTTGTAGGACAGTCTTTCCATGTTGTCAAAAGAAAACCTCATTTCCTTTCTGGAATAACATTTTTGTATTTTTATTGTGTATCATTGAGGCTGTGTTCTGATGTGGGGTACAGACCATTTTAGTGAGACAATTCATCCATTGTGCACACAGACCTGATGATGTCCATTTTGGTACAAAGCATTCCATTTTTATTCTAATTTGTTTGGGAAAAGTGAATGATATCTGTATGACATTTGAATTCCCCAGTCATCTTTCACAATATCATTGCTACTTTTTTTCACAGTGACATCTGTGTTTCTAGCAATATGACCCAGCTTTTAGTGACTGAAAAGTGTTGGGAAAGCTACTTTGAAAATATAGTTTACCCAGCTACCAATTACTTCACACTGAAGAAGTTGAGCTACAGTAAAGCTACCCTTAATAAAAATATAGTTTGTTTAACTAAAGTTACTAACTGCATGAACGCATAACTCTGCAGTCTGATGTTAACAGTTTAGTGCAACCTGTGTGAAAGCCAGAGTGAGACGATTTGTTTTGCGAAAGTATTTAGTGGTAGTTGAAGTAGCTAGCTACACAGCTACATGGCAGTGTTAACTAATAAAAACACTACGAGGCTTTGAATTTGGTTAAACTACCACCAAGCTATGGCAAAAGGTAGTTCACTTACTAGTTGAATTACATGTAGTGGAACTACTCCCCAACACTGCAAATGTCACAGAGCCAATGGCCTCATCTGCAGATAGAAAATGTGGTTTGTCCAGTTTGTTGAAGAACGAGGCGATTTGCATCTTCGGGGCCTGGCAGAGCATGTATTGAATAATTAAAGATGACATTCATCACTTCAGTGTGTCGGCTCTTTATTATGATTGTAAACATTGATTTCAAGGACTCCCATTATTTTGCTGAGAATCCATAGAAAACCATGTCAAATAGTGCATAAAACATATCACAACTACAAATTACAATTTCAAATTTGTTTACAAACGCTTACATTTAATCTGTTCCAATTTTGGGGATTCAAATCAACTGGTCTCAAAATACTCTCCCTCTTCCATCAAATATAGTTTTTCCAATATAGGACTTTTCTGTAAAATGTGTCATATTATTCGAACAAAGTGCACCCTCTACTACGGTTGTACAGTATCACACATTATCACAAAAAAAACCTAAAAACTTCTAAAAGTGCATTAGAAAGGCTGAACCAATTATGGTTGCTCTCAAAGTAATTCTAGACAAATGACAGAGAAATGTGTCATTTACCTCCCAGAATAGAAGACAATTATTTTCTGAAGGATACATGTCACTCACAGTAAAATAAATGTACTTTGTGTTCTTATATTTCACTTTGGTCCCCATGGAAAACTAGTTTTATGGCACAATTTGCTCATCACATACATGACAAAAACAGAGACAAAATATTTTCTGAAAGCAAGTAGAAAGGCTGATACCCAGATGTAAAGAGCATTGCTTAGTAATTTCAAAGGCACAATTTAGAAACATGTAAATACACTGCAGTACATTTTCAAACAACATCAAATGATCCGTGCGAATATGCAGTCTAATGGCTTTAACTATATTTCTAACATGAAAACATTTTAAACTAGAAAAAGTACAGGGGTTTGTTCTTCATGGGTGTTTTCATAATTGTATAACACCAAAACTTTTCAAATTATCTGTTGGCCAATTTCCTTTGCAAGAACCTTTACATTGCAAAACCACAAATTTCACCAAACAATTTGCTTTACAACCTTTTCAACATTACGCCAGAGGTAGAGCGCTTGAGACACAGCAGGAAGACATACAGAAATTGGTTTAGATGGTCCCTCGTCACAGGGTACATTTTCCAGATGTATTTGACACTTATTTCTAAATGCAGAAAGTTGGCAGTATCTAGGGCAGCTATATATTTGAAAACCCAATTGCCTTGTCTGTTCAATCATTTTACTTTTACCCTGCAGTATAGCATACAGTGAGTGAAAAAAATATTTGATCCCCTGCTGATTTTGTACGTTTGCCCACTGACAAAGACATGATCAGTCTATAATTTTAATGGTAGGTTTATTTGAACAGTGAGAGACAGAAAAACAACAAATAAATCCAGAAAAACGCATGTCAAAAATAATATACACTGCTCAAAAAAATAAAGGGAACACTAAAATAACACATCCTAGATCTGAATGAATGAAATAATCTTATTAAATACTTTTTTCTTTACATAGTTGAATGTGCTGACAACAAAATCACACAAAAATTATCAATGGAAATCAAATTTATCAACCCATGGAGGTCTGGATTTGGAGTCACCCTCAAAATTAAAGTGGAAAACCACACTACAGGCTGATCCAACTTTGATGTAATGTCCTTAAAACAAGTCAAAAGGAGGCTCAGTAGTGTGTGTGGCCTCCACGTGCCTGTATGACCTCCCTACAACACCTGGGCATGCTCCTGATGAGGTGGCGGATGGTCTCCTGAGGGATCTCCTCCCAGACCTGGACTAAAGCATCCGCCAACTCCTGGACAGTCTGTGGTGCAACGTGGCGTTGGTGGATGGAGCGAGACATGATGTCCCAGATGTGCTCAATTGGATTCAGGTCTGGGGAACGGGCGGGCCAGTCCATAGCATCAATGCCTTCCTCTTGCAGGAACTGCTGACACACTCCAGCCACATGAGGTGTATTGTCAATCAGTGTTGCTTCCTAAGTGGACAGTTTGATTTCACAGAAGTGTGATTGACTTGGAGTTACATTGTGTTGTTTAAGTGTTCCCTTTATTTTTTTGAGCAGTGTAAATTGATTTGCATTTTAATGAAGGAAATAAGTATTTGACCCCTCTGCAAAACATGACTTAGTACTTGGTGGCAAAACCCTTGTTGGCAATCACAGAGGTCAGACGTTTCTTGTAGTTGGCCACCAGGTTTGCACACATCTCAGGAGGGATTTTGTCCCACTCCTCTTTGCAGATCTTCTCCAAGTCATTAAGGTTTAGAGGCTGACGTTTGGCAACTCGAACCTTCAGCTCCCTCCACAGATTCTGTCTCTCACTGTTCAAATAAACCTACCATTAAAATTATAGACTGATCATTTCTTTGTCAGTGGGCAAACATACAAAATCAGCAGGGGATCAAATACTTTTTTCCCTCACTGTAGTTCCCTATGCTGTTGTCACATTGATCATTCTATATAGTACAGTACAAGAATACAATCTGCTTAAAATTGTGCGGCAATGTTGCAGTTGATATTATTTAAGTTAACATTTTCAAGAAAAAAAATATATCAAATTTAGTGGGTCAATGGATATCTTCAGTGTTAGATTCATAATTAGGCAGAACACCCCAGACACCTGTTCACCTGACAGGAGCATTTTAGTGTGGTATATATAAGAACTATATTATTGCCATTTCGCATGATTCACTCTTCTCCGCCTCTGCTATTCCTCCCTCCCGCTCTCTCTCTTCTTAGCTCTCCCCTCAGACATGTGTGCAGGTCCTCCTGGTCGATCCTGCCCGACTGGGCGTGCCAGCTGTGGTGTGCAAACAGTGCCAAGTTCCTAGCTGAGATGGCGCTCATATCCATGGTGCTGGCTGCCCACTCCACAACATTCAGGTAGTACAGGCGTTCATGGAGGATGAACGGAGGGGTCCCGCGGTGGGGTGGACTGTGAGTGGGATACACCAGTCACTTCGTCTCCGATAGGAACAGGTCCTGGAGCTGCTACTGGGACAGAGGCTGAGGAGAGAACACCTTCCACACCTTGCTCTCGCTGACTGGCGGGCGTGAGTAGCCTGGTGGGATGTGCACGGGGTCAATGGAGCTCAGGCTGTTGATGATGGAGCCCTTGGTGTCTGTGGTGAGAACGTCTGACACACTGAAGGTAGATGGCTTCTCAGAGGTCCCCAGGTAGGACACGTTAAGGAGACCGTGGACCAGGGTGATGACAGTCTGGTGGTAGCGCCCAGGGTACTGGGAGGGGATAGGAGGGGAGAAGCCTGCAAAGGTGATGTCAGACTTTCCCTGGTGGAGAAGTGTGGCCACGATCACTTTGTCATACAGGTAATGGGCGGAGCCAGAGTCCCCAACATAGTTCACCTCTTAAAGACTGGCTGTGGTACCTGTGAACAGGAGAAAGAGAGAATGAGTAGAGCCTTAGCATCTACAGAACAGATTTTAGACAACTTGCAGATTTATTTTACAATGAACTGTGCTGTTAGTTACTTCAGGCATTTATATATGTATATACAGTGTGTACCTGCTTTAGATGGTCGCAGCTTAACAGAGTTAGCAGTGACTCGTGCTGGGATGAGCTCTTCCTTGCTGTGGTACAGCAGTCCTGAGCACACCTTCATATTACCTCCGTCCACAGGCATGGGTATGCCCCTGCTATAGACATCTCCCCTGGAGACAACATCACATCACACCACACATTTCACAAGGATTAGTTCAGTTCCCTTATGTTTTCAAAAGTGATGTGAGTTCGTGAACAATTACTTATTTCTGAACTACTCTTTTTACTGACTCGATAGTCATCGTTCATTTTAGTTGTTTGTTTGACCTGCTGGCTGCAATGAATACAGCAGGATTAATAAGCGCTCCCCCGACTCAGTGGCTCCAGAGACGTGCTCCGACCACCAATTGTCTATCAGTGCGCACAGGAAAATTGATCATGCTGCATGCAGCATAGAGAAGAAAAATACACTGATAATTGATTGCATGGTGCAAGAATGACTGCAATTAATTTATTATTGAACGTTATGATGGACACAACTTTGTAGAACCAAAACATATAGCCTGCCTCTCTGCTCAACAAGCTTGAACTCGAGAACAAATCATTGTTTGGGGGGCTGCTGCGAACGATATTGTGCTAATCCCTCGCGGCAGTCAAGCAATTCCATTCCGCCAAGAGTCATTCACAATCTAGTCCGGTTGCTGTCACACCTATAGACCTAATTTCAAAGACATCAAGAAATATCGTTTGTGTATGCCTAGTAATCACAAATGTAGGCCTACATTGTTTGAAACACACTTTTATACGTCTCAGTCACAAATGATAGCTCCAATAAGCCCCCGCTATGGTGAATGAGGCTTGTAGTATCATGATTATTTCGAGTTTTTAGTTCACAGGTAGAGGGTCCTGCGTGTTCTGGGCAATACTGAATCAAATGAACAAAATGAGTCGAACGATTCGTTCTTTTGACTCAACAATTTGAAAGGACCCGAGTCAGTAAAAAGAGCCGAACTTCCCGTCACTAGTTTTCAAGACAAAATAGATTTGATTGGATGGCCACATAAGACCACTCGAAACCACTTATCGCACTAAAGTATTTTGTTAAAAACTTACCTACAAAACCACTGATGCGGACACTTTGGCCATAGTTCACATGGGTGACAGGTGCCACGACGTTGTTGAGGAAGCTCTGAGAAAAGCCCTCCCCCAACATGGCCTCCTCCAGCATCTGATTGGCTAGTGTGAGGAAACTGTCACCACCCATTGCAAGCAGGAGCTTCTCCACACTTGTGAAGGAGTAGCTGAACTGCTAGTACTGGTAGATTCTGGAAAAACAAGAATCAAAACATCACATACCTACAATTAGCACTCTTCTCTCATTAACAACATTTGTATTTCATAATAAAGGTTTTGACTGCTGTGCTGTAAATAGACAGGTAGCAGAATCTAAAGTCTCACCTCATGAACTTGTCCAGAACACTTTCCACCCACATCTGCAGGAAGTTGAACCTGTACTGCCGAAGCAGGCGCAGGAAGTTCACAATAAACCAGTCACTCTCTTCAAAGGTAAGCTCCTTTCCATGGGACATCCCATCTATGGGAAAGACCTGAGAGAAACAGGGGAGAAATAGAGATGGGTGTCATATTAGTCCATCTGTGCATGTGTACAGCACTCTTTCAGGAACAAGCAAGTGTATCTCTGATAGGCTAACATGTCTCACCTAGTTTTTCAAGGAAGCGCTTCATGTGCAGGTTTAGGGGGTGGATAACTGCACCCCCCCGTCTCGTACTCATAGCCCCCGATGTTCTAGGTGGCCAGTCGCCCCGTGCCTGGCTCAAACACATCGATCTTCACCACTGCCCCAAACTCCTGTCTCAGGAAGTAAGCTGTTGCTGTGCCACCGATGCCTGCTCCAACCACAGCTGTACAATGTCATTCAAAGTCCAAGGGGATTAAAATGAACAATTCACAAGTAAAAAAAATTGTCATAAATATGTGTCCTCTGAAATAGAAATGCTCTCTGGGCCAATATAACTAAATTCATGGTGATTTTTGAACCCCCCTCATTGGATGCCATTGACAAAGACAATGGAATGTGGAGTCTGGACTAGGATTGGTTTACCTATTGTCTTGGGTGGAGTTCTGAGTTCTGGAGTTGAGGCTAGAGTCCCAAGAACAGGAGTGCCCTGATTGACAGAGTTTTCGAAATCATCATAGGCTTTCATTTATTTCCAAGCAAGGGCATCTGAGTAGAGATTAAAGAAACCATCATTCAATGACATAAATAACATAGGCTACATTCACAACTGATCAGTAGTCAGAAACATGTCACTTTAATATGATTGTGTGATATTTTAAAAACATATATGATATCACCCCACTTTGTTAGCTAAAGTCAAACAATTATAAAGGTCTGATAAGTGTGCACTGCTCACCATTTCAAAAGTCAGTAGAGGGTTAGACTTCTCAAAGAGTTCACGATTAAGTTTTACTACGAGTTTACAGAGGATCTTTAAAACGCATCATGCTATTTACTAATCTAACTAGTAATTTAGTCAAAGTCACTGAGAAAAAATATAATAGAGAATAAGCACAGTGTTGTAAAAGTTTAAAGTTTGGACTTTAAACTAAGTGGAGAGTTCGGTCAAATATATCTATAACTAACTCTGCTTCGGTCACGTCGCGACCTTATTTGGAACCGGAAATTACCACACTAATGGCGGAAGCTAGAGCGGATGTGACGCAATTGCCATTAGAACGAAGAGGCATGGTTTCACGGAGGTGACCTACACTTTGAAACAGTAATGTAACAAAGCTTCTAATCTTGCAATAGCATACTGTATGTCATTGGGGTGGCTGTTATTTAGCTTTGCAACGTAGCCAAAACGTATCTTCTAACAGTTATAATTCAGCTTGAATACCCACGCTACTGAGAGCAACCTTTGAGATGGCAGAGGCACATCAAGCTCGTGTACAGAAAACCATAGAGGATATGGTTCAAAGTTTAGAACGGGACCACATCCGCAAGATGCAAGTAAGTGGTCATGGAAATGCAATTTCAGCTATGTTCAATACATACAATGTAATCCAGTATATTGTGCAGTGCATTATCTACCAACTTCAGTTTTACAAATCGCCCTCATTCTCCAAGTATAGATAATTTGCCACCTTTTATTGACAACACGTAGGCTTCTATCAGGTGCACAGTTCAAATCTTTCTTGTGCATGTACCCAGGGACTCATGTTCAAGTGCAGTGCAGAGTGTTGCGAGCGCTCCACAGACTCCATGTCGCAGGTGCACAATTGTATTGAACGCTGCCACACTCCTCTGGCGCAGGCCCAAGGACTAGTGACCAATGAACTAGAGAAATTTCAGGTGAGTTTCATGTGGTGTTATTATGTGCTTGATTATCATGACAAAACATACAGAGAATGTGTAGTAATTAACATTCTGTCTCCCCATGCCCAGGACCGGCTGACCAGGTGCACCATGCACTGCAATGACAAGGCCAGGGACCTGTTTGACTCTGGGGCCAAGGAGCCAGCCGTGCGGGCCATGATGGAGAACTGTGTGGGCAGCTGTGTGGACGACCACGTCAACCTGATCCCCAGCATGACGCACAGACTCAAAGAGAACCTGGACTCTATTCCACAGTGAGGAGGAGGGAAGAGCTTACTTCAGATGCATGATACAGCCTGGACTCCATACTACAGTGACAAAGGGGTTCATAAAGTTTACTCTGTCATCTCAGACTCTAATAACAGTGAGGAAGTATAAACAGCAGACTCAAAGATGACAGTGAAAAAGAGAGTTAGAAATGGCAGATCCAATACCTCAGTGAGGGAAAGGGACATGGGGGTTGTACAGCTTGCAGGAATTAGATTTGGGTCCTGGTAAAAGATTAATTCGAGTCCATGCTGTCAGGGAGGGTGGGGGATATACTCCCGCTCAGAGTCAAAGAAACTACACATCCCCTGCAAACTGACTGTATGTTTCTATGTAGCACTTACTGTTTATTGGTTGAACCTACAGACCAGACAGCCAGCTGAACTTACTCAGCAGACCTATGCCATTACAGAACTGTCTAACATACAAAATACCGGTAACTATGTGTGAAGGTATTTATTACTTGTCCTGATAGCCTAGCTGTTGTATGATTGGAGTCTTTATTCTGCCTCAGTGCTCTGAATATTTGCAACCTGTTCCTCTATCCTCTAGCATGATCTCTGTGATGTTTGTTTTGTGTGAACTACGCATGTTCTGTGATTGTCTTTCCCTCCATCACTATTTCAGTTTTTATATGAAAATTCAAGCAGATGGTAAAAAAGGATGGAATTGCATTGGGATTGACTTTTAGCCTGAATTATCCTTTACCTAGCTGTCTTTTGGCAATTCATCAGAACATTTTCAGTAGAGTTGAACTTGATAGTAATGCACCAACACACACCTTATAAACATCCAGCTTTTGAAAATGCACGTTTTAATAACGATAAACATGGTGGAATAATCTCTGTATAATGTACAAATGGATGCACAGACACTAATGGTAAAAAACGAATTGACATTATATGAGTGAGGATATTACAGCATTATATAATGAATGACTGCAAAGACAAGTGTAAAGGTAAGCCATCACTGTAGATCAAACTGACAGTAGATCAATACAATACTGCCATGCCAAAATAAATATATTTGTCCAACACACCTTACAATACATTATGGCATGTATATTACAATTATATCTAAAATTGAGATTAAACCTATGTTTTGAAGAAAGAAAATAAGTGTGCAAAGCTGTTATCAAGGCAAAGGGTGGCTACTTTGAAGAATCTAAAATATATTAAGATTAGTTTAACACTTTTTTGGTTACTACATGATTCCATATGTGTTATTTCATAGTTTTGATGTCTTCACTATTATTCTACAATGTAGAAAATAGTAAAAATAAAGAAAAACTCTTGAATGAGTTGGTGTGTCCAAACTTTTGACTGGTACTGTATATATACTGAACAAAAATATAAACGCAACATGTAAAGTGTTGGTCCCATGTTTCATGAGCTGAAATAAAAGATCCCAGAAATGTTCCATATGCACAGAAAGCTTATTTCTGTTGCCAGAGAATTTGGGTGGTGGACCATTCTTGATACACATGGGAAACTGTTGAGCGTGAAAAACCTAGCAGGTTTCAGTTCTTGACACAAACCAATACGCCTGGCACCTACTACCATACCCTGTTCAAAGGCACTTAAATATTTTGTCTTGCCCATTCACCCTCTGAATGGCGCACATACACAATCCATGTCTTGGCTTGAAAATCCTTCTTTACCTGGACAGTATAGTGGCTGACATACTCTTAATTAATTAGCAATACAGTAATTACAGAGAGGATAGTAATGGATGTACAGAAATAGTAACAGATAATTCCCTGTGAGAGACATGAGATGGTCACACACTTCTGATAGCACCACAGCCCACTGGTGTGGACAATTTATTTGCAGTTTAAGTTTTTTTTTTCTCACTTTTTCTTTCATTAAAAAAATGAAAAATAAATAATACAAAAAAGACATGTCAAAGGAATGAAATAAAAATGTTTTACATTCAAATAATGAATATGTTATAAAAGGAATGCTGAAGAATAAAATATTTTTTTTAACTAACAACATATCCCAGAACACACTAGACTGGGATATAGAGCATGCAGATGCCAGGGTTGTGTTTGGGGGGTAGAAGTTGTGGGCCACAGCTTGGGACCAGGATGTCAGAGAGGGGCCATGGAAGATGCTGGTGTGGGACAAGGACAGGATTAGCCTGTATTATAAGTGTGGAGCTGGCATCAGGATACACTGCGGGCGCTGTTCTCTGGTTCAGGGGCATCAGGACGGCGGTCCATATGAGGAGATGTGTACTGGAAGTTACAGCACACATAGAGAGGGAAGGACAAGAGCCGACTGTCCAGGTTCATCACCACATACTCCTGGTAGGAAGAAAGAAAGACAAATAGGGGGAGCACAGAATGTAAGTTACAGCAATAGTTATATGGTCCGATTCAGGCAATACTTATATAGTGATATGTTCATTTCAAGAGCGGAGGAAAGTTTCAGAACATGTGGATTATGTATGGTCTGACTGACCCATAGACATTAAAACCAGTAGATAGTGATAGTGTTGACGTCATCCATGTTTTCCTATGGACAACTCCCGATGGCGTAATAAAGCCGGAAGTATTTGAATTTGAAGCGCGCCATATTGCTGAATGGGGCTGAATGGGACCCCACAAAAAATCGCTAAGGATCATGGTGAAAGTGGCCGTAACTAGCAAAGGATCATGGTCGATGTAGTCGTTGTCATCCTGCCTGAGAGTCAACCTTAATGTCTATGGAGGCTCCTCGTAGCCTGCCGGCCTGTGATTGGTCTGTGTCAGCACGTGGTCCTGTGTGACGACAAATGTAGTAGTAAATGGATCACTATTTAATTAAATATCTTGATTTGTAGCAAACTTTAAAATAATTCACAGTTGATTATAATAAACCAATTTTAGAGCCCAAAACGACAGTTCTGGCGATCGTAATTTACAAGTAAGCTTTCTAGAGCAGACCAGGGCTTTTGGCAGCGCTGGGTTGCTACGCAGTAGCCGACCAGCAGAGCACGTTACTTCACGCTCCAGACCGGACACTGGGGGCTTGGACTGACCTGGTCTTTCTCCAGGGTGAGTAGCTGGTAACCAGTGGATCGACTACACACCAGCTTACCACTGTTATCAAAGGAGGCCAGGCGTAACCTGAACAGAGAGAGGGACAAACATTGAGTGAGAGGTGAGAGGCTAGTCAGGCCTGGTAGAACACAGGTAAATCAAATGGCAGTTACACAGAACATAATTATACCATTACTACTCCACACACAATGCAATGCCAACATTTGAAATCTGTCCTTTGTGTGTTGTGCTGACTACAGCCTAGGTCCTGTCTGCAGCATGGAACACTAACCTGTATGCTAGATGTCTCTGAGGCTGCAGACTCACAGCTCCCCCACATGGTTGGCTCAGCGTATTCCTCTTGAACACTATAAAGCGATTGGTGTAGGTCACCAGCAGGTCAAAGCCAAAGTTGAAGCCTGTCCAACGCCAACAGTACTGAGAGAATAAAAAGTTAAAACATTATATTTTATTTGATGTTTTGTTTGAAGTTCTTATAGCGTGATTATTCTGAATAAATGATGAAAATGATGTCCTTATTACACAGAGACTAATGGTCTGACTCACATCGCCATCTTTGGTCAGTTTCCTGCCACATCGCATACTACTTGACTCAAACTCCTCCTTATTGGCATCCTGTGGGCTACAGACACACAACACACATGCCTTACTATACAAACAGAAATATATTTTCAGTCACTGAATATCACAGAATGGAATTAATGTTGTTATGGAGTGATGTTGCTGGTTTGGAGCTCCAGTTCTCACCCATTGTCATTGTCGTGTTCCGTCCGTAGCATGGCAAACCACTGGCTCTTGTACACGGAGGTCAGCCAATCTGGTATGAGGAGTTTTACAGAGGAAATAAAAATGACTACTAAAACTGTCCTGAGTGAATGTGATACATAAATCATTATCCAAATCATCACCCTTACCTGGTGGGAGAATGTTGTCTCTCTCCAGGATGCGTGCGGAAGCCAAGTCATTGATGATGTATTGTAGGCGCACATGGCTGAAGACAGGAGTAAAGGGGGCGCCGTCCTCTGCTTTTAAGAAGGGCTCCTCCTCTCCCAACTCTGCAACATAAGGGCCATTAGAAAATACTGGTCAGTCAGTGTCTGTGTGTATATTCTACAGCCCTGTGTTCAGATAGGTGTGTAGCTAGCTGTGGACATGCCCTGTGGAACAGAACGTACCAGTCCTGCGTTTGCAAAGCCAGGCGTCGGCATCAGCCAGCAGCTGCTTGATGGGACCGTCCCAGGATGGATTGAGCTGCAGGAACATCCACTGAGGAGAGAGAGTTACAAAGAGAGGGTATGAATGAGAGAGAAGGGATGGGGGAGATAAATCAACAGTCTTCCTTACAGAAACAGCCTTAGCCTTTAGAAACAGTCCCTAAGGCTACAGTAGTACCTTTTTCAGAGCGGTGTAGACGTCCATCTCCACCTGCATGACAAACAGGTCAGACGACTGGATCAGCTGTTCTATCACGTCCACTCTGCAGATACAGCACAGAAACAACACTGCTCACTGACCACACAACACTTAGACTATTACAAGTATAAGTCCTAGGGAAAAATAGGAAAACATTGAAGATACACACCCCAGCTCCTTCATGAGGTCAACATTCTGATGGGTCATGAGGTTATTGTGGAGCCATTCCAGACACCTGCAGGAGACACACAAGCATACGCATGTAGAGTGATAAGAATATGATTAACTATGTATTTTCGATTATCTAATTTTATTCAATATGAGTGTAATGATGGGGCTTACTTCTTCATGACAGAGTCCAGGCCATAGATGCTGGCAGAGGAGTAGTAGCCACACACAGTCTTGACACTGACATTCTCCTTCATGGTCTCACCACACTGCTGGATCAGACCATCCTGCAAAGATGCACAAGGCATGGCATTTTATCGCCTTTGATAATCTATTCTCATTCAGTAAATTACATTCCAGCAAGTTCAACTTCCAACTCACACATATCACTATCATCTCAACATTATATACTGTTACATTCCATGTATTCTATGTAAAGATACTGTAGTGTGATATGATGATAATCTACTGACCAGTTGGAGCATACAAGCTCCTGCTAGGATACTGACGACCCTGCTGGGCTTGATCAGAACATCATCCCGGTACAGCGATCCAAACACTACCTGCAGAGCTAAACACACACACACACACACAGAGAAAATCAAGATAAATGCGTATAGTAACTGCAAAAAAGGAGTTCAGTGACATAAACAAAGCAATTTGTAGTGTTTTATTCCTGGCAGTGACTGAAGTCCTCACCCTCTGTGTCGATGTTCTGGTCTGGGATCTCTAACGGTATGACCATCATGTTAGACTCCTTCCAGGAGCCACTGAACATGCTGGAGAAATACCCTGACTACATAAATAAGAACATCATGTCGGGAGAGGAGGAGAGACAGAGACAGAGACAGCGAGAGAGAGACAGCGAGAGAGAGAGAGAGAGAGAGAGAGAGAGAGAGAGAGAGAGAGAGAGAGAGAGAGAGGAATGAGTCACAGGCATTGGCTTTGTAGAGAATAAAGTGTGTAGTGTACACAGAACAGTGTACTAACCTGGCACAGGTACACTTTGTGCAGGTTCCACTCCTGCCCCAGGGCACAGATGCGGATGTCACTGTTCTCCCCGTTCAGGAACAATGTCTGATAGATGTACTTAGAGGTGCTCTTCAGCTTCTTCCTGTTACAGTTTCAAAACAAACCAGAACAACGCAGGCCAAGGTTAGAAACAGGCTGGCCATATGAAAGATGTGCAAATACCTCACCTGTTCTGTAAGTGTGTTTGTCTCTTACTCTGGCCCACTGTGTGTGTGTGTGTGGGTTTATGAAATTGTGTGTATTTCCAGTGTGACGTGTGTGTGACTCTTCTCACCTCCATGGTGTGTCCAGTAAGGCATCTTCCTCATCAGGCTCACTCTCGCAGTCGCACTGTGCAGTCCGTTTCCTCTTTCTGTATTCACATCCATGCTTGCCACTGGCACATGCAGTCTCAACTGCTTCCTCAGGATCCTGGGACGAGGCCTGTAACCGGCTGCCCTGAGTGCCCATCTCGCCCCTGCACACTACACACAAAACAAGACCATCTGCAACATCAAATGGATGGATCTATTGTCATTTATACAAGCTTCATTACTCAGGGGTATACAATAGAAAGTCACTTTTGTTGTTGAGTAACAATTTCTTTAAATTATTATTTAGGTTCAGACCTGGAGAACTCTCACATAACAGTTGTTCATACATGTCAAAGCACGAATTCTGAACACACGTCCTGCCCTCAGGTCTGACATCAACAATATTAGCTAACAAACTCAGGCACTGTGTTCAGCTAACATATAATTACATTGTTGTGGTTGCAAACAGCTGCAGCGGTAGATAACTTTGCTAGAAAGCTACATAAACTAGCCAGCTACCCACACAACAACAAGTAGTAGCAACCCTTAGCTTGTGACCGGGTAGCTAATGAATGCAATAGCTTGCTAATGTATGATATTACTGACATTTACCTGATGTATATACAACGTACAAGGCTAACTCTTCGGCTAGCAAGTTTTGTTGTCAATTAGGTAGTCTAGTTTGCTAGCCAGATCAGCTGTGACAGGTCACTATAAGTAAACAACAAGCCTTTTCAGCTATGTTGCGTTTAAAATGATTGAACAAAAGACAAGAAGATATTGCAGAGCTAGCTAATCCGGCCAAATACGATCTACCAATAGCTGGAGCATCATTATTAATGTTTCAAAGGATATCTCAAGAACACATTTCAAGTTGTCTTTCAACTATTCATAGCTAGAACAATGCAGATTAGATTCCACAGACTAGCTAGCTAGGTCCATGTCTTCTTCTAGCGTGCTAAATACGATCTACCAATAGCTGGAGCATCATTATGAATGTTTCAAAGGATATCTCAAGAACACATTTCAAGTTGTCTTTCAACTATTCATAGCTAGAACAATGCAGATTAGATTCCACAGACTAGCTAGCTAGGTCCATGTCTTCTTCTAGCGTGCTAACTATAATGTGCTTCACGCGCTTCTGCGCATTATTGCCATCTACTGTAGTAGTGGAGATATGCAGATGTGGACAGGCTACCTGGTAACTACTGTAGGAATATGTTTGTATTGGAGGATTGTTTAACCAGATGTATAGATCTTTTAAAATGTGTAGGTGACCAAGGGGACTCCCAGAAACAATCCAATGAGGGGATACGATTATCTGGCCCTGGTTACCCCCGTGGGTAGTCTGCACTCGGTGATTGCATTTCTTTTGGAACCGGGCTGTCTCTCAGGCATTATCCAGGTGCCCGTTCAAAACCCACGGCGAAATCCGCACACAAGAAAAAACGTGTGACGTAGTTGAGGGCAATGCTAGATTAAACACGTGGAGTAATTAATAGGATTATGTGTTTTCACATGCAAAAGTGATTGCTTTGGATAAAAACTAGTTAGAAAATTCAAACATGTATTTTATGGAAAAGAGATGTATGTTTTTGAACGATGCACCTTGTTGACAACATGACGGAGCGGCGCAGATTACTGTTCGAATTGAGAAGGGCGCTCCTCCCTCACAGTTTCTGCCCGTTCACTGACGGTCGTTGCGGACAAAGACCAGTGCGGAGTCGTCACTAGTTAACACAGCCACAAAGGCATATTAACCCCGCCTAGTTCTACAGTTTGTTGTTAAAATCTTATTTTAAACCTAACCACACTGCAAATGTATGCCTAATCTTAAATGAAGACCAAAAAACAAATTTTTGCTTTCATACATTTTTACGATATAACCTATTTTGACATTGTGGCTGTGCTATGTAGTGGAAACCGGTGCACCACGGCTCAGGTTAACATTTAACATTTTAGTCATTTAGCAGACGCTCTTATCCAGAGCAATTAGGGTTAAGTGCCTTGCTCAAGGGCACATCGACAGATTTTTCACCTAGTCGGCTCGGGGATTAGAACCAGCGACCTTTCGATTACTAGCACAACGCTCTTAACCACTAAGCTATCTGCCGCCCCATAACGTAATTTCCTCGTTATTTCAGGAGGTAAATATGTTTTTCCTAACCAAAGATCCTTGGGATGTCCCTACCCTAAACCCTAACCTTAAACCCCCCTAAGGTCGATGTCCACGCCCCCGCGGAAATCGAATTAGCATAATAAAATAATCCCCATAAAAATCCATCAATTTAAGATAGAGATATCTTTTTTTTTTTTGCATTGGATGTGTCTCAATCCATGGCATCCGAATATGTTGCACTTCAGCATTTGCAGTAAAAGGTGACAGAGCTAGAAAGGTGTTTGTCAGACCATGAGACATCCCGAAAATCGGCCTTCTTGTCTGTAGAGTCTGAACGGGTTTGACCCCTCTATGGAAAAATGAGACTCTCACGAACACAATGATGTTCTCAGTTTTGCTCCATGACCCCCACAATAGTCTTGGGACTAGTCTGAAGTCGGTACAGCTGATCTGCCAACTAATATGACCTCTCTGTGGAAAAGTGAGACTCTCACCAACACCTACATGTCGGTTGTTTTGCTCTGGGATGCACACAGGCCTCACAAGACTCTTCTGAAGGTCCCCTGGTGTCAGTTGTATACTGTTTAGTGCCAAAAATAAGGGGTTAAATACATGTACAAAGATTAATATACAGTACCTGTCAAAAGTTTGGACACACCTACTAATTCCAGGGTTTCTCTTTATTTTTACTATGTTCTACATTGTAGAATAATAGTGAAGACATCAAAACTATGAAATAACACATATGGAATCATGTAGTAACCAAAAAAGTGTTAAACAAATCAAAATATATTTTATATTTGAGATTCTTTAAATAGCCACCCTTTGCCTTGATGACAGCTTTGCACACTCTTGGCATTCTCTCAACCAGTTTCACCTGGAATGCTTTTTCAACAGTCATATGCTGAGCACTTGTTGGCTGCTTTTCCCCTTCACTCTGCCGTCCGACCCATCCCAAACCATCTCAATTGGGTTGAGGTCGGGGGATTGTGGAGGCCAGGTCATCTGATGCAGCACTCCATCACTCTCCTTCTTGGTAAAATAGCCCTTACACAGCCTGGAGTTGTGTTGGGTCATTGTCCTGTTGAAAAACAAATGATAGTCCCACTGAACCCAAACCAGATGGAAAAATCTCCAATTTGAACTCCAGACCAAAGGACACATTTCCACCGTTCTAATGTCCATTGCTCGTGTTTCTTGGCCCAAGCAAGTCTCTTCTTCTTATTGGTGTCCTTTATTAGTGGTTTCTTTGCAGCAATTCGACCATGAAGGCCTGATTCACACAGTCTCATCTGAACAGTTGATGTTGAGATGTGTCTGTTACTTTAACTCTTTGAAGCATTTATTTGGGCTGCAATTTCTGAGGCTGTTAACTCTAATGAACTTATCATCTGCAGCAAAGGTAACACTGGGTCTTCCATTCCTGTGTCGGTCCTCATGAGAGCCAGTTTCATCATAGCGCTTGATGGTTTTTGCGACTGCACTTGAAAAAACGTTCAAAGTTCTTGAAATGTTCCGTATTGCCTGACCTTCATCTCTTAAAGTAATGATGGACAGTCGTTTCTCTTTGCTTATTTGAGCTGTTCTTGCCATAATGTGGACTTGGTCTTTTACCAAATAGGGCTATCTTCTGTATACCCCCCCTACCTTGTCACAACACAACTGATTGGCTCAAATGCATTAAGAAGGAAAGAAATTCCACAAATTAACTTTTAACAAGGCACACCTGTTAATTGAAATGCATTACAGGTGACTACCCCATGAAGCTGGTTGAGAGAATGCCAAGAGTGTGCAAAGCTGTCATCAAGGCAAAGCGTGACTATTTGAAGAATCTCAAATATAAAATATATTTTGATTTGTTTAACGCTTTTTTGGATACTACATGATTCCATATGTGTTATTTCATAATTTTGATGGCGTCACTATTATTCTACAATGTAAAAAATAGTAAAAATAAAGAAAAACCCTTGAATGAGTAGGTGTGTCCAAACTTTTAACTGGTGGTGTATATATATATATATATATATATATATATATATATATATATATATATATATATATATAAATATGTTTCCTGATCTTTCTTATATCTCTCAGATATAGGACAGACACTTCAGAACAAACTTCCTATCTGTTGTTCCATGTAGTGAATCTTGTCAAAGTTGCGCCAATTCAAATCTGGTATTAGGAACAAAAGAGGTCAACACGACTTCTAAGATATACTAGTTATTTTAATTAATGCAAAAACCTTCAATGGTAAATATGATGTTTCGTATATACGGGCTCCTTGAAATACCTCGCAGGGCACTTCAGAGAACTAAATACATTGTTTCAGATTGTTCTTCAAATACTCTTACAGAGAGAGAGTTCCCACCTCTCTGCTGGCCAATCAGAGTAGAGACTTGAGCGTGGTTTAGACTTACTCAGCCTATCCGTTGACGCACAGGCTAGTCCCCCGCCTCTTAGCGCATCCCTGTTTCCAGGCATACGTTTATCATAACAACCTGTCATAGTGAGAAGAGCCAGCTCCCCTAGACACCATTCCTACGTCCAAGGATGGTTCAAAGATCACAAAGAACCAGTATAGTCTAGCATTTGGAGACACAAATCCTTATCTCATTTTACCCCCTAAAACAGCTCTTCACATCAATCACAGCTTGCCAGGTGACACAACCTACATCAGCACAGTCCAGAATGCATTCTTTCTAAGTTAGTCATCCCATCAATTAGGAGAATAATAAATCCCCCATAATCTGTTATTCAATGCGTTTGTATGGGCTAATAGCAGTAAGGCCAAATAAAAATGTTCATCAAATATATTTCAATATATCCTTTTTTATATATACTTTCGGTTTTGTACACCAGCTTCAAACAGCTGACAATCCAATATTTTGCGTTATGGAAAATATATTTCACACGGTTTAGATGGTACAGTAATTCTCTACACTATGCTTGCTTGTTTTGTCACATAAAGTGAAATTAGGCGAACTATTAGAATTTTAGCAACCAGGAAATGGTGGAGCGATTTCTGCATAGTGCATCTTTAACCCTTACCTTAACCATTTCAAATTTCAACTTCAATGAGGTAGAAACGTCCCAAGGATCCCGGATTGGATGTACCAAAGATTATTCTAATTTTACTATGCCTGCTACATTAGGTTATTCTCATCCCAACCGCTTGGGGCATACCATTTCCGGATCCCCTCTATGAGTAGGTGTGTCTCGTGGAAAAACCAACCAATAGACTATGAGCACTGTTTCAGGTTCCCAGTCGATTTTCCAGACAACTTTCCTTAGGCTAGTACACGGACTGTGACACGTACCCAACAGTTTACGTGTGTTGAATAACTACTTGGGGTAGGGAAAAGGAGGGGAATTGTACTATTAGGGTGACATCCCTGTCAAAATATCAAGTGTTTGTATAACCGAGTTGGAAGCATGAAGGCAGGGGCGTGCGACAATGCTAATGCAGGTATGTAACAAGGGCCAGCATTGTTGTTGTTTTGTAACCAGTGATCATTGAGAAGCTCTGCTTTCAGGAAATTGTTACAGGGTTTATAGTAGTCAGCATATCCGAACCGCTTGCTTTCAGCTGCACTAGGGTCGACAGCATTCTTGTGTATATTAAGACACCATGGAGTCGCTCGGAAAAGGGAAAACATACCTCAATACAGGGATAAGAAATGCGTTGTTCTCCGAATTGTCCCATTATCCCAACTGTTACACAAATAAGATTGAACAACTTTTAGTTTTTAAATAAACTGCTGTTTTCCTCCTCATGCTAAGAAGCAGTGGCAACAGCAGCCAGAATGGCAAATTGTGTTGAACATAGGAGCTGATTGGTAGGCCGTCATTGTAAATAAGAAATTGTTCTTAATTAACTTGCCTAGTTAAATAAAGGTTAAATAATAAATAAAAATTGCTGCTGTGGCTTCTGCTACCTAGCATGAGGACGAAAATGACAGTTTCTAGAAAAACGAGCAGTCGTTCAATCTTCTCAGTGTAACAGTTAGGATAATGGGACAATTAGGGGTATAACGCATTTCTCGTCTCAGGATTGAGGTACGTTTTGGGAGCCATATCTCGCGCCAGCTCCGCAGTGTCTTAATATACACGGCATATGCTTTCCGACCCTAGTGCAGCTGTAAGTAAGCGGGTCGGATCTGCTGACTAGGTTTATAACAATATGATACATTGATTATCATGAGTTACATTGCATCCCAGTTATTGAATTGCAATATACACAATCAGCATATAATCAGGAACAACAAAGGACTTATAGTTCCTTATGAATTATAATACACTGTGGCATAAATACTGTACACATACCTGTGGCATTCTTGTGAACAGTAGGGTAAAGGTGTTTCTCAGAAGTGTGAATTGGTATGCATATTTTCCCCTTCTCTCTTAGGTGCTCCTTTCATTGAGCAGTCCTCAGGACAGGGAGACTCGTCTGGGAGCAGTGATGAAGGGGAAGGGACCATGGACAAGGACCCAGTACCAGCAGCAGAGAGGGCAGTGGAGACTGAGAGCATGATGAAACGGCTGTTTGGGTTTGAGAAGGAGGACCTGTCCTCCTGGCATCGCTTGGTGTGTCTCCTAAACCGCCCCACTGACCCTGCTTCTCTGGGCATCTTCCGCTTCCTGTTTGGTGAGCTCTGTCATCTCCACTAAGTTTAGTTACCCTTGGTCAAAATGGCTGCAGGGTCTGGCATTTTAATTTGTGCCTGAGAATCGAATAAATCGCATTAAGAAGTTGAGTTTCATATGCAAGTCAAATAATCTGCTGGTGGTCAGGTGAGTGTAGTCTTGTGTAATATCTCTTGTTGTTCTAATCTTCTGTGTGTCTTCCCCTGTCTCTGTCCCCAGGCATGATAATGGCTATAGACATTACACAGGAGCGAGGCCTTAGCCACCTGGATTACAAGTACCTGGATGGGGCTCCTGTTTGCCGCTTCCCTCTCTTCAACTTCCTGCAGCCGCTGCCTCTTGATTATATGTACCTGGTCTATGTGGTGATGCTCTTTGGTAGGTCAAGTTCTGAATCAGTGATTGGAACAGCTGCTGTATGTTGTCCCCTTTGTGTGTGGGTTTATGTGATAGTGTTGATATGCTTTCATCTTTTTAATGTGTGTTGATGGATGTCTTTTTATAGGTGCTGTGGGAATCATGTTGGGCTGTTTCTACCGCCTCTCCTGTCTCATGTTCATATCCACCTACTGGTACATCTTCTTCCTGGACAAAACAGCATGGAACAACCACTCTTACCTCTACGGCCTCATTGGCTTCCAGCTCACATTCATGGACGCCAACAGATACTGGTGAGTTGCAGAACTCTTATGAAACCATTACTATACATTTGTTAAACAGATAATATATTTGTTAGATTGAAGTTGTTTGTATCTTTCCGTGTGAGTGTGTTTGCCTGCATGCATTTATGTACATACAGTATATTATTATTTTCAGGTCAATAGATGGATTACGTAATCCTAAAAAAAAGAATGGCCAAGTGCCACTTTGGAACTACACTCTTCTGAGGTTTCAGGTCTGTTGAGTTCATGGACACTTTACTTTACTACTCTATCAAGGGTATCTGCCTTATAACATGTGTATGATAAACTTTGAGGACACTACAATAATATGAAAATCTTCATCTTTTTCCTTGGTAGATTTTCATAGTATACTTCATTGCTGGAATCAAGAAACTGGATGCAGACTGGGTACAGGGATACTCCATGTCATACTTGGCACACCATTGGCTTTTTGACCCTTTCAGGTTAGTTAACATTTTTAGATTACATTTTAGTAATTTAGCAGACATGCTTATCTAGAGCGACTTACAGCAGTGAGTGCATATATTTTCGTATTTTTTCATACTGGTCCCCCGTGGGAATCAAACCCACAACCCTGGTATTAAAAGCGCCATGCTTAGGGCCAGGTGTCCCCCCCTTTTTCATGTATTCTACCCTGCATTTCGATCATCCGACCTCAAGAGGCCAATAAGGCACCTGCTCACACCACCTGTGAATTGTCACGTGTGCATTCAATGACCATCTAACTTTTATTTTTTTTCGCTATAGAAATACATGTAAAAACGTACACTACAGGTCAAAAGTTTAGAACACCTACTTCTTCAAGGGTTTTTCTTTATTTTTACTATTTTCTACATTGTAGAATAATAGTGAAGACATCAAAACTATTAAATAACACATATGGAATCATGTAGTAACCAAAAAAGTGTTAAACTAATCTTAACATATTTTAGATTATTCAAAGTAGCCACCCTTTGCCTTGACAGCTTTGCACACTTATTTTCTTTCTTCAAAACATAGGTTTAATCTCAATTTTAGATATAATTGTAATATACATGCCATAATGTATTGTAAGGTGTGTTGGACAAATATATTTATTTTGGCATGGCAGTATTGTATTGATCTACTGTCAGTTTGATCTACAGTGATGGCTTACCTTTACACTCGTCTTTGCAGTCATTCATTATATAATGCTGTAATATCCTCACTCATATAATGTCAATTCGTTTTTTACCATTAGTGTCTGTGCATCCATTTGTACATTATACAGAGATTATTCCACCATGCTTATCGTTATTAAAACGTGCATTTTCAAAAGCTGGATGTTTATAAGGTGTGTGTTGGTGCATTACTATCAAGTTCAACTCTACTGAAAATGTTCTGATGAATTGCCAAAAGACAGCTAGGTAAAGGATAATTCAGGCTAAAAGTAAATCCCAATGCAATTCCATCCTTTTTTACCATCTGCTTGAATTTTCATATAAAAACTGAAATAGTGATGGAGGGAAAGACAATCACAGAACATGCGTAGTTCACACAAAACAAACAGCACAGAGATCATGCTAGAGGATAGAGGAACAGGTTGCAAATATTCAGAGTACTGAGGCAGAATAAAGACTCCAATCATACAACAGCTAGGCTATCAGGACAAGTAATAAATACCTTCACACATAGTTACCGGTATTTTGTATGTTAGACAGTTCTGTAATGGCATAGGTCTGCTGAGTAAGTTCAGCTGGCTGTCTGGTCTGTAGGTTCAACCAATAAACAGTAAGTGCTACATAGAAACATACAGTCAGTTTGCAGGGGATGTGTAGTTTCTTTGACTCTGAGCGGGAGTATATCCCCCACCCTCCCCGACAGCACGGACTCAAATTAATCTTTTACCAGGACCCAAATCTAATTCCTGCAAGCTGTACAACCCCCATGTCATACTTGGCACACCATTGGCTTTTTGACCCTTTCAGGTTAGTTAACATTTTTAGATTACATTTTAGTAATTTAGCAGACATGCTTATCTAGAGCGACTTACAACAGTGAGTGCATATATTTTCGTATTTTTTCATACTGGTCCCCCGTGGGAATCAAACCCACAACCCTGGTATTAAAAGCGCCATGCTTAGGGCCAGGTGTCCCCCCCTTTTTCATGTATTCTACCCTGCATTTCGATCATCCGACCTCAAGAGGCCAATAAGGCACCTGCTCACACCACCTGTGAATTGTCACATGTGCATTCCATGACCATCTAACTTTTATTTTTTTTCGCTATAGAAATACATGTAAAAACGTACACTACAGGTCAAAAGTTTAGAACACCTATTTCTTCAAGGGTTTTTCTTTATTTTTACTATTTTCTACATTGTAGAATAATAGTGAAGACATCAAAACTATTAAATAACACATATGGAATCATGTAGTAACCAAAAAAGTGTTAAACAAATCATAATATATTTGAGATTCTTCAAATAGCCACCCTTTGCCTTGAGGACAGATTTGCACACTCTTGGCATTCTCTCAACCAGCTTCACCTGGAATGCTTTTCCAACACTCTTGAAGGAGTTCCCACATATGCTGAGCACTTGTTGGCTGCTTTTCCTTCACTCTGCGGTCCGACTCATGCCAAACCATCTCAATTTGGTTGAGGTCGGGGTATTGTGGAGGCCAGGTCATCTGATGCAGCACTCCATCACTCTCCTTCTTGGTAAAATAGCCCTTACACAGCCTGGAGGTGTGTTGGGTCATTGTCCTGTTGAAAAACAAATTATAGTCCCACTAAGCCCAAACCAGATGGGATGGCGTATCGCTGCAGAATGCTGTGGTAGCCATGCTGGTTAAGTGTGCCTTGAATTGTAAATAAATCACAGACAGTGTCCCCAGCAAAGCACCATAACACCACCTCCTCCATGCTTTACGGTGGGAAATAAACATGCGGATATCATCCATTCACCCACACCGTATCTCACAAAGACACGGCGGTTGGAACCAAAAATCTCCAATTTGGACTCCAGACCAAAGGACACATTTCCACCGGTCTAATGTCCATTGCTCATGTTTCTTGGCCCAAGCAAGTCTCTTCTTCTTTTTGGTGTCCTTTATTAGTGGTTTCTTTGCAGCAATTCGACCATGAAGGCCTGATTCACACAGTCTCATCTGAACAGTTGATGTTGAGATGTGTCTGTTACTTGAACTCTGTGAAGCATTTATTTGGGCTGCAATTTCTGAGGCAGGTAACTCTAATGAACTTATCCTCTGCAGCAGAGGTAACTCTGGGTCTTCCATTCCTATGGCGAGCCTCATGAGAGCCAGTTTCATCATAGCGCTTGATGGTTTTTGGGACTGCACTTGAAGAAACTTTCAAAGTTCTTGACATTTTCCATATTGACTGACCTTCATGTCTTAAAGTAATGATGGACTGTCGATCTCTTTGCTTATTTGAGCTGTTCTTGCCATAATGTGGACTTGGTCTTTTACTAAATAGGGCTATCTTCTGTATACCTTGTCACAACAACTGATTGGCTCAAACGCATTAAGAACTAAATAAATTCCACAAATTAACTTTTAACAAGGCACACCTGTTAATTGAAATGCATTCCAGGTGACTACCTCATGAAGCTGGTTGAGAGAATTCCAAGAGTGTACGAAGCTGTTATCAAGGCGAAGGGTGGCTATTTGAAGATTCTGAAATATAAAGTATATTTTGATTTGTTTAACACTTTTGTGGTTACTACATGATTCCATATGTGTTATTTCATGGTTTTGATGTCTTCACTATTATAAAAATGAATGCACACATGACTGTAAGTCGCTTTGGATAAAAGCGTCTGCTAAATGGCATATTATTATTATTATTATTCTACAATGTAGAAAATAGTAAAAATAAAAAAAAAACCTTGAATGAGTAGGTGTTCTAAAACTTTTGAACAGCAGTGTAAATGCTGAGGATATGGCTTAGTGCCAACATCACTCTCAAAAAAGTAAACACACATGTAAAGAACGGAGGCGCAGACTAGTCAAAAAAACACAAAGCATCTCCATAATAACGGACGAATCCACTGACACACAAGACCGATATGTTCTTCATATTTTCAAGGACAACTGGGTGAAGACGTTAAAGTTTTTCTGGCTGATACAGTGTATTTACAGGCAGGGAACTATTCAACAGTGTCAGAATATCATTCCGAGGACCTGCGCTTTTACGTGCGCTTTGTAGAGTCGGAGAAGCGTATCTCCAAACAATGCGGTCTTAACAGAGTTGGAGAAGTTGTTGGGTTATTTCTATAACTAATGAAAATAGGCTAGACATTTATGTTCTGAAAAGTCAACATTTTCCCCTCTAAATGTTCTGATATAAAATGCCTATCAAACCCATATGTTAAGAACAGACAATGAATACGTTGTGAAATATTTGTGTTGATTGGTGTTGTCTTGTTCTGTAAGGATGAGACTGTTTCGATATGTCCTCCACAACCTTCTATGGTAGAAGCATTCTCATAATCTAAGGCTAAGTTACAGGTTTTGCACAATATATTGTTGTCTGCAAAGAGCGCCCCAGCGGGGTATTGTCGCGCTCTTTTATTGAAGCGATATTCTGATTTGGAATTTTGTATATAATTTAATTAAAAAAATTTCTGGTTGGATTCATAGTCCCCTTTTAACTGTACTAATTGCCCCACTTTTATAACCTCAGATCAGGGATTGAGTCTGTTGGAGAGGATCAGTTTGAGCAAAGTGAGGTGTAGAATCACTGATCTAAAAATAGTATTCCCTGCCAAATAATAGGCTTTGTGCAATTAAGATTCGTATGCCACGCCTCCCCTGGTTTAGGACGCACAACCAGACATTGAATGATTGATTGGAGATAGCTTGTGTCAATTAAAGAGCATTTCCTAGGATTTCTGCCTGCAGCAAAACTAGTGGATAATACTGGAAATACTGGTAAAAGAAAACCCCCACAAAAAAAAAAACTAAAACGCCTGGCTCTAACCATGCTCTACTAACTGAGCCACACAGGACCATACAAATGGTATTTATCAGACTTCAATACAAATGTATTGAGGGCCATGCTCCGTCATCTTTTGGAACGGCTTAAATAAAACTGCCCCATGTGGGATTGTAAGTATTTCTTTACCCTTTGCGTCTGTCCCACAGGATGATTCTTCCTAATGAAATGGTGAGTCTGCTGGTGATCCATGGAGGTGGTCTTTGTCTGGACCTGTCTGCCGGCTACCTGCTGTTTTTTGATGCCACACGCCCTTTTGGCATTTTCTTTGTCAGCTACTTCCACTGCATGAACTCCCAACTCTTCAGCATCGGTGAGAGTCTTTTCAGTCATCATAATATAAGAGGTCATACAATAAGTTTTGTAGTGCTCCTATGTTGTAAATAATATTTGTTGGTCCGTGGTGTGTAATGAGGAGCAAACAGACGTTGCACTTGACACATTTATGAAATTGCTTATCCCAGTTACTAATAAGCATGTACCAATTAAGAAAATGACTGTAAAAACTGTTAAATCCCTGTGGATTGATGAGGAATTGAAAAATTGTATGGTTGAGGGGGATGAGGCAAAAGGAATGGCAAATAAGTCTGGCTGCACAACTGATTGGCAAACGTGCTGCAAATTGAGAAATCATGTGACTAAACTGAATAAAAAGAAGAAGAAACTACACTATGAAACAAAGATAAATTACATAAAGAATTATAGTAAAAAGCTTTGGAGCACCTTCAATGACATTTTTGGGGAAAAGGCAAACTCGGCTCCATCATTCATTGAATCAGATGGCACATTCATCACAAAACCGACTGATATTGCCAGCTACTTTAATTATTTTTTCATTGGCAAGATTAGCAAACTTAGGCATGACATGCCAGCAACAAACGCTGACACTACACATCCAAGTATATCTGACTAAATGATGAAAGACAAGAATTGTAATTTAGAATTCCGTAAAGTGAGTGTGGAAAAGGTGATCTTTATTTATTTATTGTTGTCTATCAACAATGACAAGCCACCGGGGTCTGACAACTAGGATGGAAAATTACTGAGGATAATAGCGGACGATATTGCCACTCCTATTTGCCATATCTTCAATTTAAGCCTACTAGAAAGTGTGTGGCCTAGAGGGAAGCAAAAGTCATTCCGCTACCTAAGAATAGTAAAGCCCCCTTTACTGGCTCAAATGGCCGACCAATCAGCCTGTTACCAACCCTTAGTAAAGTTCTGGAAAAAATTGTGTTTCACCAGATACAATGCTATTTTACAGTAAACAAATTGATAAAAGACTTTCAGCATGCTTAAAGGGAAGGACATTCAACAAGCACAGCACTTACACAAATGACTGATGATTGGCTGAGAGAAATTGATGATAAAACAATTGTAGGGGCTGTTTTGTTAGACATCAGTGCGGCTTTTGACATTATCGATCATAGCCTGCTGCTGGAAAAGCATGTGTTATGGCTTTACACTGCCTGCTATATTGTGGATGAAGATTTACCTGTCTAACAGAACACAGAGGGTGTTCTTTAATGGAAGCCTCTCCAACATAATCCAGGTAGAATCAGGAATTCCCCATGGCAGCTGTCTAGGCCCCTTAATTTTTTCAATCTTTACTAACGGCAAGCCACTGGCTTTGAGTAAAGACAGTGTGCCTATGTATGCGGATGACTCAACACAATACACATCAGCTACTACAGCGTCTGAAATGACTGCAACACTTAACAAAGAGCTGCAGTTAGTTTCAGAATGGGTGGCAAGGAGTAAGTTAGTCCTAAATATTAAAAAAACTAAAAGCATTGTATTTGGGACAAATCATTCACTAAATCTTGTAATAAATAATGTGGAAATTGAGCAAGTTTAGGTGACTAAACTGCTTGGAGCAACCCTGGATTGTAAACTGTCATGGTCAAAACATATTGATACAACAGTAGCTAAGATGGGGAAAAGTCTGTCCATAATAAAGCGCTGCTCTACCGCAGGTAGAGGTCCTACAGGCTCTAGTTTTGTCGCACCTGGACTACTGTTCAGTCGTGTGGTCAGGTGCCACAAAGAGGGACTTAAGAAAATTGCAGTTGGCTCAGAACAGGGCAGCACGGATGGCCCTTGGATGTACACAGAGAGCAAACATTAATAATATGCATGTCAATCTCTCCTGGCTCAAAGTGGAGGAGAGATTGACTTAATCACTACTTGTATTTGTGAGAGGTATTGACATGTTGAACACACCGAGCTGTCTGTTTAAACGACTAGCACACAGCTCAGACACCCATGCATACCCCACAAGAAATGCCACCAGAGGTCTCTTCACAGTCCCCAAGTCCAGAACAGACTATGGGAGGCGCACAGTACTACATAGAGCCATGACTACATGGAACTCTATTCCACATCAGGTAACTGATGCAAGCAGTAGAATCAGATTTTAAAAACCAGATAAAAATAAACCTTATGGAACAGCGGGGACTGTGAAGCAACGCAAACATAGACACATGCATACACACACATGATAACATACGCACACTTACGCAAGGACTTTGTGATGTAGATATTTGGTAGTGGAGTAGGGGCCTGAGGGCACACACTTAGTGAGTTGTGAAATCTGTTATGAATGTATTGTAATGTTTTTATTAAATTGTATAACTGCCTTAATTTTGCCGGACCCCAGGAACAGTAGCTGTTGCCTTGGCGGCAGCTAATGGGGATCCGTAATAACTACAAATAATGAGAATAGCAAATGTTACTGTATAATAGAAGCTACATAATTCAACACTGTATGTATAGTGAGGGAAAAAAGTATTTGATCCCCTGCTGATTTTGTACGTTTGCCCACTGACAAAGACATGATCAGTCTATAATTTTAATGGTAGGTTTATTTGAACAGCGAGAGACAGAATAACAACAAAAAAATCCAGAAAAACACATGTCAAAAATGTTAGAAATTGATTTGCATTTTAATGAGGGAAATAAGTATTTGACCCCTCTGCAAAACATGACTTAGTACTTGGTGGCAAAACCCTTGTTGGCAATCACAGAGGTCAGAAGTTTCTTGTAGTTGGCCACCAGGTTTGCACACATCTCAGGAGGGATTTTGTTCCACTCTCTTTGCAGATCTTCTCCAAGTCATTAAGGTTTCGAGGCTGACGTTTGGCAACTCGAATCTTCAGCTCCCTCCACATATTTTCTATGGGATTAAGGTCTGGAGACTGGCTAGGCCACTCCAGGACCTTAATGTGCTTCTTCTTGAGCCACTCCTTTGTTGCCTTGGCCGTGTGTTTTGGGTCATTGTCATGCTGGAATACCCATCCACGACCCATTTTCAATGCCCTGGCTGAGGGAAGGAGGTTCTCACCCAAGATTTGACAGTACATGGCCCCGTCCATCATCGCTTTGATGCGGTGAAGTTGTCCTGTCCCCTTAGCAGAAAAACACCCCCAAAGCATAATGTTTCCACCTCCATGTTTGACGTGGGGATGGTGTTCTTGGGGTCATAGGCAGCATTCCTCCTCCTCCAAACACGGCGAGTTGAGTTGATGCCAAAGAGCTCGATTTTGGTCTCATCTGACCACAACACTTTCACCCAGTTCTCCTCTGAATCATTCAGATGTTAATTGGCAAACTTCAGACGGCCCTGTATATGTGCTTTCTTGAGCAGGGGGACCTTGCGGGCGTTGCAGGATTTCAGTCCTTCACGGCGTAGTGTGTTACTACAGTGGGGAAAAAAAGTATTTAGTCAGCCACCAATTGTGCAAGTTCTCCCACTTAAAAATATGAGAGAGGCCTGTAATTTTCATCATAGGTACACGTCAACTATGACAGAGAAAGTGAGGAAAAAAAATCCAGAAATTCACATTGTAGGATTTTTAATGAATTTATTTGCAAATTATGGTGGAAAATAAGTATTTGGTCAATAACAAAAGTTTCTTAATACTTTGTTATATACCCTTTGTTGGCAATGACACAGGTCAAACGTTTTCTGTAAGTCTTCACAAGGTTTTCACACACTGTTGCTGGTATTTTGGCCCATTCCTCCATGCAGATCTCCTCTAGAGCAGTGATGTTTTGGGGCTGTCGCTGGGCAATACGGACTTTCAACTCCCGCCAAAGATTTTCTATGGGGTTGAGATCTGGAGACTGGCTAGGCCACTCCAGGACCTTGAAATGCTTCTTATGAAGCCACTCCTTCGTTGCCCGGGCGGTGTGTTTGGGATCATTGTCATGCTGAAAGACCCAGCCACGTTTCATCTTCAATGCCCTTGCTGATGGAAGGAGGTTTTCACTCAAAATCTCATGATACATGGCCCCATTCATTCTTTCCTTTACACGGATCAGTCGTCCTGGTCCCTTTGCAGAAAAACAGCCCCAAAGCATGATGTTTCCACCCCCATGCTTCACAGTAGGTATGGTGTTCTTTGGATGCAACTCAGCATTCTTTGTCCTCCAAACACGACGAGTTGAGTTTTTACCAAAAAGTTATATTTTGGTTTCATCTGACATTCTCCCAATCCTCTTCTGGATCATCCAAATGCACTCTAGCAAACTTCAGACGTGCCTGGACATGTACTGGCTTAAGCAGGGGGACACGTCTGTACTGCAGGATTTGAGTCCCTGGCAGCGTAGTGTGTTACTGATGGTAGGCTTTGTTACTTTGGTCCCAGCTCTCTGCAGGTCATTCACTAGGTCCCCCCGTGTGGTTCTGGGATTTTTGCTCACCGTTCTTGTGATCATTTTGACCCCACAGGGTGAGATCTTGCGTGGAGCCCCAGATCGAGGGAGATTATCAGTGGTCTTGTATGTCTTCCATTTCCTAATAATTGCTCCCACAGTTGATTTCTTCAAACCAAGCTGCTTACCTATTGCAGATTCAGTCTTCCCAGCCTGGTGCAGGTCTACAATTTTGTTTCTGGTGTCCTTTGACAGCTCTTTGGTCTTGGCCATAGTGGAGTTTGGAGTGTGACTGTTTGAGTTTGTGGACAGGTGTCTTTTATACTGATAACAAGTTCAAACAGGTGCCATTAATACAGGTAACGAGTGGAGGACAGAGGAGCCTCTTAAAGAAGAAGTTACAGGTCTGTGAGAGCCAGAAATCTTGCTTGTTTGTAGGTGACCAAATACTTATTTTCCACCATAATTTGCAAATAAATTCATTAAAAATCCTACAATGTGATATTCTGGATTTTTTTCCCTCATTTTGTCTGTCATAGTTGACGTGTACCTATGATGAAAATTACAGGCCTCTCTCATCTTTTTAAGTGGGAGAACTTGCACAATTGGTGGCTGACTAAATACTTTTTTTCCCCACTGTAATTGTTTTCTTGGTGACTATGGTCCCAGCTGCCTTGAGATCATTGACAAGATCCTCCCGTGTAGTTCTGGGCTGATTCCTCACCGTTCTCATGATCATTGCAACTCCACGAGGTGAGATCTTGCATGGAGCCCCAGGCCGAGGGAGATTGACAGTTATTTTGTGTTTTTTCCATTTGCGAATAATCGCACCAACTGTTGTCACCTTCACACCAAGTTGCTTGGCGATGGTCTTGTAGCCCATTCCAGCCTTGTGTAGGTCTACAATCTTGTCCCTGACATCCTTGGAGAGCTCTTTGGTCTTGGCCATGGTGGACAGTTTGGAATCTGATTGATTGATTGCTTCTGTGGACAGGTGTCTTTTATACAGGTAACAAGCTGAGATTAGGAGCACTCCCTTTAAGAGTGTGCTCCTAATCTCAGCTCGTTACCTGTATAAAAGACACCTGGGAGCCAGAAATCTTTCTGATTGAGAGGGGGTCAAATACTTATTTCCCTCATTAAAATGCTTATCAATTTATAACATTTTTGACATGCGTTTTTCTGGATTTTTTTTTTGTTATTCTGTCTCTCACTGTTCAAATAAACCTACCATTAAAATTATAGACTGATCATTTCTTTGTCAGTGGGCAAACGTACAAAATCAGCAGGGGATCAAATACTTTTTTCCCTCACTGTATAGTCCGTTGCACTCTGGGATGATGTCCCATTTTGGATGGTTGCTTGTAGCCGTGGTGCATAATCATTAGAGGATTCCATAGATAAGGAAATAAGATTAATGTTCACTTGTACTGAGGGCAACATAATGCAAGCAGACTCCTGTGGCCCAGAGGACGTTTTCAAAACAATATTTTCTTTAATGATCCACTATTTAAGTTAATCTATAACCCCCTATTGATCACAAATGCTACTATTATTGTCCTTTATTTTATCTCCAGGTATGTTTGCCTACACTATGCTGGCCACGAGTCCTCTCTTCTGCTACCCTGACTGGCCCAGGCACTTCTTTGCCCGCTTCCCAAAGATCCTCAGGCCTGTGCTGCCGATCACGTCTCCTCCCCCACAGCCCAGCACCTCCTGTGTTTACCCAGAGACCCAGCACACATCTACGGGACCACAGGACACCCCTCCTGCCCCCGTGGCCTCCAAAACACAGTTTAAACACAAGCTGGCAACCCTGTTCACCATTCTGTACCTGGCTGAACAGTTCTTCCTGCCTTACTCTCACTTCATCACACAGGTACTACTCCTGTAGAAATGGAAGATGCGTTTACAGTGACCAACTTGTAGTCCTTTCCATGTATTGAATCAAGAAATCGGCAGCATTTGATTTGAATGCCTTGATTTAAATGTCACAGTTGTGAGTCACTGAGTGTACCGCTGTCAGCTAAAGTTATTTCCCAACCCTACGGGTTACCAGAATAATTGCTCAATCAGTGTCAACACTGCTATCAGTCTGCAGTAAACAGTAGTGTGGAGTAGCTTGAGTCAGCAGAACGGGGGTTCGTTTCCCACGGGGGGCCAGTATGAAAATGTATGCACTCACTAATTGTAAGTCACTCTGGATAAGAGCGTCTGCTAAATGACTACAATGTAAATGACTACAATGTAGTATATTTTCTTTTTGAGATTCTTCAAATAGCCACCCTTTGCACACTCTTGGCATTCTCTCAACCAGCTTCATGAGGTAGTCACCTGGAATGCATTTCAATTAACAGGTGTGCCTTGTTAAAAGTTAATTTGTGGAATTTCTTTCCTTCTTAATGCGTTTGAGCCAATCAGTTGTGTTGTGACAAGGTAGGGGGGTATACAGAAGATAGCCCTATTTGGTAAAAGACCAAGTCCATATTATGGCAAGAACAGCTCAAATAAGCAAAGAGAAACGAAAGTCCATCGTTACTTTAAGACATGAAGGTTAGTCAATACAGAACATTTCAAGAACTTAGAAAGTTTCTTAAAGTGCAGTCTCAAAAACCATCAAATGCTATGATGAAATTGGCTCTCATGAGGACCGCCACAGGAATGGAACACCCAGAGTTACCGCTGCTGCAGAGGATAAGTTCATTAGCGTTACCAGCCTCAGAAATTGCAGCCCAAATAAAAGTAACAGTCACATCTCAACATCAACTGTTCAGAGCAGACTGTGTGAATCAGGCCTTCATGGTCGAATTGCTGCAAAGAAACCACTACTAAAGGACACCAATAAGAAGAAGAGACTTGCTTGGGCCAAGAAACACGAGCAATGGACATTAGACCGGTGGAAATTTGTCCTTTGGTCTGGAGTCCAAATTGGAGATTTTTGGTTCCAACCGCCATGTCTTTGTGAGACGTGGTGTGGGTGGACGGATGATCTCCGCATGGTGACACTGTCTGTGATTTATTTCGAATTCAAGGCACACTTAACCAGCATGGCTACCACAGCATTCTGCATCGATACACCTTCCCATCTTGTTTGGGCTTAGTGGGACTATCATTTGTTTTTCAACAGGACAATGACACAACACACCTCCACTTTTTTGGTTACTACATGATTCCATATGTGTTATTTCATAGTTTTGATGTCTTCACTATTATTCTACAATGTAGAAAATAGTAAAAATAAAGAAAAACCCTTGAATGAGTAGGTGTTCTAAAACTTTTGACCAGTAGTGTGTGTATATATCTAGCTTTTCTCTTTTTGACCTAGGGCTATAACAACTGGACCAATGGCCTGTATGGGTACTCCTGGGACATGATGGTCCACTCCCGATCCCACCAGCATGTCAAGATCACCTACAGAGACGGAAAAACAGGAGATATCGGATACCTCAACCCTGGGGTGAGCCATTGAACTATAATACAAATATCGAATCAGACTCCTAGGAAGGGTTAGAAAGCACGTGGAAAAAGGGAGGAACTCGGGGAGACATGGGGAATGTGACACTAGGGATAATAAGCTCAAGTCGATTTAATTAACCATTCAACATCCCATTAAAACAATAATAGCATGTTGGTTTCACTTTAAATGAACTACAACATACAGAAATTCATCATAAGCCTACGTACAGTAGGACAGAGGTTGTTTGGAAAACCGGACATGTTGGGAATGGAGGTGGCTCGTGATGTTCATTCATTTACTTTAAAAAAACATATCAAACCTTTATAGAAAAAATTGATGGCATATTTACATTTTACAATTGAATTATTAACTTATCTGTGACAATATCTGGGAGAAGGTGGATCTGAGTACCTCATACTGCAAAACTCATGAAGGTGTTATGACTGGTTCCATAAAGGTGAAGCAAAGTGTTAATGTTCTGTGGCACACCTGTAGGTGTTCACTCAGAGTCGGCGGTGGAAGGACCATGGGGACATGCTGAAGCAGTACGCCACCTGCCTGAGCCTCCACCTGCCTCACTACAACATCTCTGACCCAGAGATCTACTTCGACATATGGGTGTCCATCAATGAACGCTTCCAACAACGGTACTAGATAGCCTTTCTGTGATCTTTTACATCCTCCATATAGATAGAAATGTTCTTCGCTGTACAGTTTGGTCTTGAATTCTCTTTCCATCCGTTAGGATCTTTGACCCCCGTGTGAACATTGTGAAGGCAGACTGGTCACCATTCCGCCTAAATCCCTGGCTCATGCCTCTGCTGGTGGACCTCTCTCCCTGGAGGACCAAGTTCCAGGAGATCGAAGGCTCGTTGGACAACCAGACAGAGATAGTCTTCATCGCAGACTTCCCAGGTTTGGGGTCTTCTCCCTCTCCCTCATTGTTTTCCATTGAGAGTATTTAACATGGTGATCACTAGGTCCTCGCCCAAAGTCAATTTAAATATATATTGTGTATGTGTTGGTTCATTTTGCCTCTAGGTCTCCACTTAGAGAACTATGTCAGTGAGGACCTGGGCAACACCAGTGTTCAGGTGCTGCAGGGCCAGCTGAATGTTGAGATAGTGGATGAGAAGAAGAACTACACGCTCCAACCTGGAGAGCAGAAGCAGGTATGATCCCTCATCACCCCACCTGCTATAGCCAGCCTGTAATGACACCCTTCACCTGGATGACAGCTGTACTGTAGTCATTATCATGGGCTGAAACTTACTGCTAAACATAAGGTTCACATTCCAGTTGCCATGCTGTGGCTAGGAGTACTCATTGTGTGTGTGTGTGTGTGTATGAGAGAGCAGCTTCCTGCTGGGGCCTACCATAAGGTGTACACAGTGTCTGAGGGGCCGTCCTGCTACATGTACATCTACGTCAACACCACAGAGGCAGCGCTTCAGAGGAACTTCACTAAGCTGTTTGAGCTGCAGGAGCGGGTCCGCAACGGAACAGGTCAGGGCTTAAATGTACACACGACAGCAATTAACACATACAACAGGAACTAACACACATGATGGAAGTGCTGAGCTAACACAGCGTTTCGCCCCACAGAAACCGAACCCCTCCCTCCAGAGCTCCAGCCACTCATCACTGGAGAAAATGATGAGGGGTCAGAGGCCAATGTGATGGATCCCGTCGTTCAGCTGTTCCTACGGCGACAGCGGAGAATGAAAGAAGTAAAGAAGCGCAGGGAAGCCAATGTGTACGAAAGGCTGAACCGGTTTACTGTGAAAAAGTACTACATGTTGCGGCGAGCGTGAGTGTTGTTTTCAGTGCAACTACCAAAACTCATGACAAAACCATGCAATTCCTCCTGTTTCCACTGGTATCCTGCAGTGGCTTGGTTTAATGTAGACATTTGCTTTGTAGGAGTAAGTGTCATAAACACATGTGCCTTATATTTAGTCTGAGTGTACCATGCTCTGTGTTGTAGGTTCCTGATGACAGCCATTGCAATGCGTAACCTGGCGGTGGGCCTCCCTCCTCTGGAGCAGCTGACCAGGGAAGTGGCCTTCGCGAACATGAAGGAACCAGAGACGGAGGCCAACCAGGACCTCAAGGATGAAGTCGGCCACGATGAGCTCTAGGAGTGTGTAAATCATTTTTAAGTGAATGTGCTTGGATGACAGTGAGAATACGCTAGTCTGTTACTACACTGGGTACACCAACCCAGTAAGCCAAAGGATTTTCATTTGAATGGTTTTGAACATTTGGAAATGTTTGAAATTATGCAGGGGCAACTTTCTGATTGTCTTATGACTGATCTTCCTGTTTAACTGAAAAAATACATTCCTAGGTTGTGCAAGATCACATTGTTCATTTTGGTCTTATTTCTATATTGCCAGAAGTATTATAATTTTAAATCCAACATGCACCTTCACAAAATGTATCTCTTTGCTATACCTAACTTTAATTAGGTATTTTTTTTTATTGAGACTGACTCCAGTTGTGAAAAGTGGTAGAGCTGAACTTTATATGCTACAGGTAACTGCCAAAATCTTAAAACCCCCGAAGTTCGATGTCCACTCCCCCGCAGAAATCGAATTAGCATAATACAACTCTTATGGGTTAATAGGGTGTTGGGCCACCATGAGCCAGAACAGATTCAATGCACCGTGGCATAGATTCTACAAGTGTCTGGAGCTCCATTGGAGGGAGGCGACTCCATTCTTCAACGAGAAATTGTTGATGGTGGTGGAAAACACTGTCTCTGGCGCTGCTCCAGACTATTCTATAAGTGTTCAATTGGGTTGAGCTCTGGTGACTGAGATGGCCATGGCATATGGTTTACATCATTTTCATGCTCATCATACCGTTTGGTGACCACTCGTGTCCTGTGGATGGGGGCGTTGTCATCCATTCGGGGCACAGCCATGGTAACCAAAATAATGGCCTGCCCAGCATTTTTATACATGACCTTAAGCATGATGGGATGTTAATTGCTTAATTAACTCAGGAACCACACCTGTGTGAAAGCACCTGCTTTCAATATACTTTGTATCCCTCATTTACTCAAGCGGTTCCATTATTTTGGCACTTACCTGTAGCGTTACTCTGAGACCAAATTATGTTGTGCATTATGAAACCGATGGTAACAAGTCAAACATTGTCACCATTTGCATTCCAAAATGCAGTTGGTACTTTTCAAATAAAGAGCCTGAGCATGAAATAAATGGCATTCTCAGTGTTTGAACTTAAAAGCTCATGACCATGCATGTTTCAGATTTTGTAAACCTTAATACATGGGGCAAAGGTTTTATGAATATGTAGTCAACACAAATGCAAGGAAGTTTCACTCATGATTTGAGAAAAAAAAAAAAAACATTATGGAAATGTCATGCTTTATTGCCATCAGTCTTAATCATGATTACTGTGCTCTACCTAAAGTGCTACAGTATCATTAATGGTAGGGTGTCATGGCACAACCTACATACTGTACAGGACATACATATACAAGGTAGATTCAAAAATCACTGGATTTATCAACACAGGCATGATTTTATCTCAGTTGAAGTGGACAGTTCTATACATGACTGCTCAACTAACCCAAGTTTACCTTTCATTTAATAAATGGAAAATCCTTCACTTTAAAGCTAGAATCCTTAGTTGTTGCCAGGCGAAATCGTGCATCATCAGCTCATTGTTATGGTCGGATGTATCTAAATAAATGTCACTAGAAAACAGCTTAAACGCAAATGCAGCTAATTTGCTATTATTCTGGCTGTTGACGTGACTGTGTTAGCCGTAGTTGGCTGGTAAGAACGTTGCCAGCAAGCATGGCAAGGGAAAGAAAGAACGGACGACTGGGTCGCGTCTATTAAGAACAAAAATAAGTAACAACTGGGTCGCGTCCCTGGTGATAGAAGTGGAAAGATGAGAAAGTATGAATTCACTTATCAAAATGAAAATATACTCAAACATGTTATTTTTACCTATAAATATGTGCTTTAGTGTTATTTTCTTTGGCAACTGTGGTATAAGCGGGGTAAACGCCTCTGTTCTGTACATTACCTTGGAAAAATGAACCTCGAAGGGACTGCATCATCCATTATTTCCAAGGTAATGTACTGAAAGTTGGCGTTTATCCCATTGATTCTTGAAAAGTATAACTTAAATGCCTCATGAGATTAGTTTAACTGTTGTACCCCATCAGAACCCAAAATATAAGCTTGTTTTAATCCAATGTTTGTAAATGTAAACAAACACTATCCTCAAAACATGGTTAAAACTAATGTTGATATCATGGATGGTCAGTCCTTGCATCCATAGCTCTGTCTATGAATTTGAGAGAGGCTACATTTCTCCAGCCCCATCCCTCAGCTTTCTATCGAAATGGATGCAGGATGACCACTGTTGTTTTATTAAAGGATTCTAGCTTTAAGTGTGCTAATGTCCACCCCACATTACAGAGACCACATTGGATAGAAATATCAAGGATGACAGAGAATTCTAGTCAACAGAATGTCCAGACCATCCTCATGTCTTTTAGAGTATCTATATTATTAGCCACCCATAATTGTCTAATGAATGACAAAGTAATGTTAGACCAACTAAGCTCAACTTACTTCGAAAAAGTATCAACTGTGTATGAGGCTTATCAATTACACACACAGCATGACCATATGCGGAACATTACTGCATCGCTAAGATCTGTAGTGCTTCAGTCACTTTAAATTGGATCAAAAATGACTGGCATGTAAATGGCCTTTTTGTAGGTTTACAGCAGCAGTCCCAGTAGGTTTACAGCAGCAGTCCCAAGTTCAAAAAGACCAGCAATGTACCACATTGATCTTCTTAAAATAAAGGGACACACTCAAAGTTGAGGTAAGGCAGACGAACATAAGACAGCTTATTACACTGACAGTACAAGTTCAGCTTCCCTTTTTATATTTCAGCTTTTTATCACCCGTTTGATGTGTTTGATCAGTTGCCCTTCATTAATCCATAGCTAATATATTAGAGTTAAGTGTTTGACCTAGTAATGTTATTTCACCAACATATCACAGTGTAAAACTGCTCAAGGTCTCACCTTAATTTGAGTGAAAGACCATTAGTAGATGGATACAGCCTGTGGGTCCATGAGGCCGAGCCTATATGCATATGCATTACCTTAAATGTTGTCATAACATCATGATAGTGTTATTCTTTGAATAACAATTATTCAGAAAATGCATTTCTTTGAGGCATTTGCTCTAAAATATTATCAAGATATTCATTAACACAGAAACAAACTACAAAATGTTATATCCACACACAACTATTAGAATGTTTACAAAATTCAGACTCTTACTAGCTGTTAATTTCTTAATCATCTCTTTCTCTTCATGAGTTAGTAGTAAGTCCTCCAAGCTGGCATACAGTCACTCTACCTTGGTTGAAGGTCTGGGTAGAATATTCCATGTATCACTCCTTCTATGACAACATTACAAAATGTATCTATGGGGGGAACAAAGCAAAGTAAAACCGATTTGTTCTATACAATATTACATTTCCCCTTCAAATTATTATTGTATTTACATGATCATTTGTATTCCATCGAGATTCTATTTTCTATTTTGTAGTACTATTTTTTTCTATTCTTTTTGTTGTCGCATTATTGAGGGAGAGCATTTTATTGTACTGTGTCCACCATGTGTATCCTGTGCATATGACAAATACACTTGACTTGATTAAATATTACACAAAATAGATCTCTTTAATATTGCAACCATATTGACTGTATATTCATGGGCAGTCTGAAGATGTGTAAAGATATGTTACCGTGGGTGGACGGGAGCAGGTAGGGGTCTCTATGGTAGAGCATGGCCGGCTGATGGGTCAGTTTACTAGAGAGACCAGAAAGGAGAAGGAGAAGTCAAGGTGGTGAAGGTTCACAAGTCTAATAAAGCCAATGTTCTGATAAAATTACTCAGAATAGTTAGCAATCTGAACTTGCATTTTGACATTATACTTTGGAATTAGCCTACAACACATACACTACTATAAACCTAATCAACTATACAACATAAAAATCACTTAACAAACCTTGACTCTTCAGATTCAGTTTCAAATGACCTTTAAAGAAAAAGAAAAAAGGCAAGATTGACAATCAGTTTGGAGATGTTATATAGAGGAACTATTTTATTGCACAGATGAGATGTTCTAAAAGTAGCCCCGCTTTTACAGGGCACATTGTATAAAAACTCACCCACAACTTTCTGTTTTTGGCAGCGAGGGAAAGTGGCGGATGTTGAGGAAATCCAGGAATATCTTTGGGAGAACTTCATTCTCCATAATTATAGTCTGTTGAATAACAGACACAAGAAAAACAAAAGCAAATGGAAGTCAGGGGAAAAAGCTAAATGTAGGCCTATTGATACAAAAGATTGAGTGTGTGGATTCAGAGGAACTAGTCAGTTGTAGGCCTGTGGTTGTATTCTCATTACCTGTAGGTAGAGTTCCAGACCGTGTCTTCTCTGCTCCAGAACTTTGGGAATCCAGTTCCGTACATGCTTAGAGGGGATCTCAGGTGGCTTTATACTCCTCTTCAGCTGAAAGAAGCAAATATCTAATTGAGCATGGTCACAGAGCAATCTGTGGATTAGGGTAGAGGAAACTTTCAAAGCCTAGCTCAAGCTGATTCCACTAATTATCACCCCACTAACCTAGCCCAGCCTTATAATATTATTGACTATGATGGCCCAGGATGTTGCAGAGTACAATATAGGTTTTAAAAGTAAAGTGGGCTCTGTTCTTGCACCACGAATAGAAGTCAGTCTTTTGCATGGTCGTGACAGAAAATAATCAATGGTACACAAAAACTCACCATTTTATGCAGATTATGAAATTCACTGTAGCGCTTCTTCACTGTATGCTGTCTGCCATTCATTAACACCTCGATTTTAAAGACCTAGGGATGAAAAATATCCACAGAAATGTGAAATTAATGTGAATGTACAGGCCAATAGATTTGACAAAATGCTTTGAACAAATTCACATTTGACAGTTATGGCCATTTAAAACAATACACTAGTTAGACAAAACTGCTCTTTCGTGACTTTGCTATCAAAGGGAAACAGTAGGGAAGAGAGGCAATTTGTTAAAGACTTCCAAGTTTCACATCCTGTCAAAGCTACAATGCCTTGCAAAAGTATTCATTCCCATTGGCATTTTTCCTATTTTGTTGCATTACAACCTGTAAGTTAAATGGATTTTTATTTGGATTTAATGTAATGGACATATACAAAACAGTCCAAATTGGTGAAGTCAAATGAAAAAAATAACTAGTTCCAAAAAATTCTAAAAGATAAATGACGGAAAAGTGGTATGTGCATATGTATTCACCCCCTTTGCTATGAAGCCCCTAAATAAGATCTGGTGCAACCAAATACCTTCAGAAGTCACATAATTAGTTAAATAAAGTCCACCTGTGTGCAATCTAAGTGTCATATGATCTGTCACATGATCTCAGTATATATACACCTGTTCTGAAAGGCCCCAGAATCTGCAACACCACTAAGCAAGGGGAACCATGAAGACCAAGGAGCTCTCCAAACAGGTCAGGGACAAAGTTGTGGAGAAGTACAGATCAGGGTTGGGTTATACAAAAATATCAGAAACTTTGAACATCCCATGGAGCACCATTAAATCCATTATTAAAAAATGGAAAGAATATGGCACCACAACAAACCTGCCAAGAGAGGGCCGCCCACCAAAAAACTCAGACCAGGCAAGGAGGGCATTAATCAGAGGCGCAACAAAGATAACCCTGAAGGAGCTGCAAAGCTCCACAGCGGAGATTGGAGTATCTGTCCATAGGACCACTTTAAGCCGTACACTCCACAGAGCTGGGCTTTACGGAAGAGTGGCCAGAAAAAAGCCATTTCTTAAAGATAAAAAGAAGCAAACACATTTTAAGCAAACACGAGACTCCCCAAACATATGGAAGAAGTTACTCTGGTCAGAGACTAAAATTGAGCTTTTTGGCCATCAAGGAAAACGCTATGTCTGGCGCAAACCCAACACCTCATCACCCCGAGAACACCATCCATGTTTTTCATCAGCAGGGACTGGGAAACTGGTCAGAATTGAAGGAATGATGGATGGCGCTAAATACAGGGAAATTATTGAGGGAAACCTGTTTCAGTCTTCCAGAGATTTGAGACTGGGACGGAGGTTCACCTTCCAGCAGGACAATGACCCTAAGCATACTGCTAAAGCAACACTCGAGTGGTTTAAGGGGGATGAATAGTTATGCACACTCAAGTTCTGTTTTTTTTGTCTTATTTCTTGTTTGTTTCACAAATATTTTGCATCTTCAAAGTGGTAGGCATGTTGTGTAAATCAAGTGATACAAACCACCAAAAAATCCATTTTTATTCCAGGTTGTAAGGCAACAAAATAGGAAACATGCCAAGGGGGGAAAATACTTTCGCAAGCCCCTGTATCAGTCAAAATCTGTTTCTACGGTCTCTGGTCAATATGTTATAGAACGGAATGGTTCGCGCCCAACCGGGTCTTCTCTACTCCCACTCTAGTCACGTCAAGTTTGCCTTTATAGTAGCTAACATTACTCAAATGTAAATAGCTAAGATACTCTTGGTTTGTTTTCAACCATTTGTTGCAAACCTGCAATGTTATGATTGTTGTTCTGCGGTTTTTGCTCAGGCTTAACGTTACTGGTGCAGAGGACATTCAAGATCTCTTACCGTGTACCCTTTCTCAATCGGATTATCCTCTGAACGGAACGATGGAATGGAAATCCTGACGTTATGCATTTTGTCAAAACAACTCCGACACTAAATGCATAAAACCCTGAGATATATATGAACTTGCAAACACATACGGAGGTTTTGGTAGCCAGCTAGCTACATAGCGTTGGAATGGGTTCTTCTTCTTGTTTTGACTGTAGAGTATGGAAGTGCAATAAAGTCACACTGCTGCTCTCTACTTGGGAGGAGAGGTATTACGACCGCGAGCCACAAAAATCAATCAACCAACTAACCAAACAATTTGTATCTCAGATTAATCAACTGTGTGAAAACCAGTTAAATAAGAAAACAAAATCACAATGAATGTCACAATGATTTATTCAAGTAGATTTCCTGGAATACATAAAAACGGTGCAGTAATATGAGCTTTTTTCATTGCATAAATATCAAACAAAACAGGACAAAAGAGATAGCTAGCAGACTAACCATAAGTAAAAGCATTTCACAAAACAAATTAATCCTAATTTTCTCCTTGAATATTTGGTTCAGAGCACGGGCACAGTATGTACAGTATCCAGTACTTTATGGGCAATACTTTTACTCAGGGATGAGCAACTTGCGAGCAAAACATTTTAGTGGCCCACCTCTTGACAGAGGATACATTTTAGAATTAATTTCCTGCAATTCTACACATTTTTCCACGGGGCGTAGAGAAAATGTTGCCGTTTTAAAATACGTTTGCTGCAATTCTACACATTTTGCCATGGGACGGAGAGAATATTTTGCAATTCTATAACTAATTTCATGCAAAATTTCGTTTTTGGAAGTTGATCCCTGGGCCTACAAAAACTGATCTGTGTACTGCTAATATATACTAATTTCCAAAACCTTAAGGTCATTAAAAAAATCTAAAGTGACCTTGAACTTGAGTTGTAAACATACAAGCTATAGCAAGCAAATGTGAATAATGATAGAAGAAATGGGTGAAAGGGATGATATGTTTGACATAAAACACATAAAACGATGAGGGAAATATGCCATGGTTAAAATCATCTGTATCTCACTATGCGCTACATTCTGTGCTCTTCAAGCAAGCTGAAGATGGATTCCATACCATGTGGTGCTGAATATTGTAATTGATATGTAAAAACAAGCAATTTCAACAAATATTGGGGGGGTTTAACATCTGAAATTCAATTTATTTGGTTTAGACCTTTTAAAACCAACTATTGTTATGTAATATATAGGCTATACTTTTAATTCTAAACCTATCAAGTAATTCAATCCATATTTTATTACCTCCTCACTGAACTTACAGAATGGCTTTACAAAAACATGTTTAGGTACAAAAGGCTTCTTAACAGCTTCTACCCCCAAGCCATTAGACTCCTGAACAGCTAATCAAATGGCTACCCGGACTATTTGCATGTGAAAATTAAAATGTTATTTGATTTAATTTAGGCATAACATGAACCTAAGAGTTTTTCTTTACATTAACCTGAAAAAATTGGTAAACTGTCAACTTGATAAGAGTATGGCCATTTTTACATAATTGCAGTTATCCATGTGTACTTTGGCTGTCATGGAGTTTTCACAGAATTGCTTCTCAGTGGTTTGGAGAATGACTTCCCCCTCTTAATAGCTGAGAAGAAAAGAAGAAAGCATTTCATCACATACAGCACATACAGGATAATATTTCCTGTAATGTGAGTTATGATTATTAGATGTTCACAATACGTTTATAATGGATTACTGTCTGGCACACTATAGTGAATAAAATGCTGAGTAATCATGTGTTGAAACTAGACCTACTCCTACCTCCTACACTAAAAAGTATGCACAATGGCATGTAAAATGAGATGAGGAGTTTCAAGACTCACTGTGAGACGTGACATCCTGACACATAAGCGTAGTTGCCAGTGTAGCGAACCTCACAGCGCACAATGTTGTTGCTGTAGTCAGACTCTGGAACCTGATAGCTGGGGTTCACACTGATCTAAAGCACAAAAAGAGCAAAAGGGGTGAAAGTACAAATGTTTCATAGCGTTTCATAAAAACAATTGAAATTCTTCTCAGAGGTGGTATGGGAATATGGGACACAGTGTTCAGCTACAAAGTGCCAATAATGTCATCTGTTTTTGTGACAAACCTTCAGGACATAGTTCCCAGGTTTCACATCTGTAATATCAATCCACTGGCAGTCAATGTCTGCGTTATAGGTATCATAACATCCTGGACTCAAGCCCTATAACCAAAGGAGCAACATGAAACCTCTGATTAGACAACAGTAAGAAGCACTCACATGCCATTACAGAGTATCAGGGTTGGGGTCAATTCCATTTCAATTCCAGTCATTTTCAGGAAGTACACTGAAATTCCAATTCCAATTATGTTCAATGCTTTTAAATGAGGAACATGTGGAATTGGAATTTGGTTTACTTTCTGAATTGACTGGAATTGACCCCAACCCTGCAGAGTTTTTAACTGCATGTATGTGTTTTGCTGGACGTCATACCCTGGTACTAAACAACTAGTCATACAATCTAGACATGCAATTATTAGTTGAGAGATGAGATAAAGCAGGAAAATCATCCATGGTTGGACATTTATGATTTTTTTTTTTATTAGGATCCCCATTAGCCGACGCCAATGGTGACAGCTAGTCTTCCTGGGGTCGGATTGGTCAACATGACATAAAGCAACAAGGGCTGTGTTGGTAACCTGGGTGTGTGAGGTGCAAGCAAAGCGTCTGTAGTAGCCATAGTCACAGGAGCTGTCCTCCAGGCAGAAGCTGGCCTTGTGTCCCTCAGCCACACTCCTCCCACCGGAATCCAGCAGGTCATAGTGGCTGAACTCATCCATGCTGTGGTAATGCCTGGAGAGAAGCAGGACAATGGAGGTTGATCAGTGTAAAATAACTGATTCAATAACTTTGTCATCACTTTGGCTGGCATTCAATCAAACATTTGCTGTAGAAAAATGAAAAATGTTTGTTCCAATGCTGAGGAATGCATTTTTTTATGGTTTCAGGTCTAGATCCAGTCAATGAGACTGAGACTTACAAATCAGTTGTACAAAAACCTACAGGATGTAAGTCAATATGTTCATTGGAACTCTGCCAAACGTACCCCATACTTGATGTTAGTACATTATGTGACTTCCTTCAGAGCATAGCTATGGGCTGAGGTAATGTGAAATGCAGACTTCTATGGAATGAAGAGAACTGGCATCTTTTGAATGTATTCATTAAGACAAGGTTATAGACGTCTCTCTCTGAAGGTTCTGGCTACACATCCAGAATCACATTCCTCATGTGCAGTACAAGTAATGTTTTGGAGTCAAATATTTTGAAGTGGAAATTGGAGTCAAATAGATTGCCATAAATTGATGCATTGCTATATTTGCCAGACAAATCAGTCTGATGAGACCAGTATGTTAATGATCAATAGAAGGACATTAATCCACTCTGTAAGAGATAGAAGGAAAAAGAAAGAACAGCACAAAAAATACAGTGTTTGTGTAACTGGCAGACGGAGACAGAGAAACACACAGTTCTGGAGAGAGGTGGAAAGGCATATAGACAGACAGACATTGGGAGAGACTCACTGGTGACAACTGTGCCATTCCCAGGAGTAGCGCGGTCTGCTTGGCAGGAAGTCAGCCGTCCCCTGGTTCTTCACACGTTGTGGGAACCTCAGCAGCATGCGGGTGTCATAGTCTCTCGCTCTGTATGCTGAACTGCCCCACCAAAACAACATCACAAACTGAATACACTTTGGACACAGAATTGAATCGAGTGCATTTATAAGCCAAATACCTTCTTTTCAATAAAGCGTATGGTCTTAAATTTCTGGGAAAGGTTTGGTACAGCGAGGAGTGATTCCTTTCGAGAAGGATATGGTTGTTTGGGTTAGTTTTGATAATGAGTTTACCAGTCTGACTAGTGATGATTTCTCCATGTAAACGGAGGAGAGTTTAAACGGTTTGTTGAATTATACCAGTCGACCCTTACAACTGGTGGCAGGATTCTATTTATCCACAAAATGCATGTGTGTGCTGCTCTAGGGCAACCCTAAACCACAAACACTCAAGAGTTACAACTCAGACAATCTGACTCACACAATTAAGTTGTTGGACAATAAGCTTCTATTTAAATCCCGTAGTGTTTGTTCCAATAGTACCTTGACAAGCAGTTCTCTTCATTTGCACATCGGAGGTTGTACATAGGAACTCTCTGGACATATGCAGAGGCTTGAATGTAGTATGCGTCTGGCACAAGATCAGGCAGACCTAGAGGATATGTATTTGTCTTAATCACAAATTATTGTTATATGAAGAAAAACAAAACAATAACACAGAACTTATATTTTTAAAGCTACATGTACTGGGAAAATAATTCTGCATCAAATGCATCTCGAATTCTAACCCATTCAACCATTCTTACCGTTCTGATGGTACCTTGTGCCATATCCAGGTCTCTCTCTGCGTCTGGGACTCTCATACACGTCATAGTAATTGTAGTAAGGATTATCTGAATCTGAGGTCTTGTATGGGTTGTAAGGATCATCCCCTGCCATCACGTCTTCTCTTCTCGGCGATGGGGACGGTTTGTCCTGTGTCCCATTCGTCGTCCCATTCGTCGTGTCATTCGCCTTCGTTTCTGCATGGCCACTTGGATGGGCATCCTGCTGCTGGTGCCCCTGTCCCCTAGGGGGCCTTGGAACTCGAGGTAGTAGCCAGCCTGGGCGCGCTCCTGCGCGGGACACTGTGTGGATAGATGAGGGAAGCGGTCTCGAGGAATCAGAGGGTTTGTTGGCTTCCCCGTCGCTAATGATGGTGACAGGTCGGGTTTGCTCTTTATCCGCGCCTTTTTGCTTTGGTGGTCGATATTCCGAGCCGTGACTCAGAAGGCTAAAAACTTTACCGTTGTGCGCCCATTGTATTGTCTGCTGTAATGTACCTGCGGCTTGGTTATTTCGTGTCCTTGTCTCTGGTGGATTCCGCTGAGATTGGACAGTTTGAAGTATGCAAACGAATAAACATACGTGCGCACACGCATAAAGCGTGACAAATCTACGCGCTCCCATAATACAACTAAATAGATTATGACTGATAATTACTACAATTTTAATTTATGTGGTATATCATTTTCCCGTTGAAAATAAAGTACATTCAATTACTTTTCAAAGTAAGTCTAATTTACCCTACATTAAATGCTGAAAAACCTGCACCAGTATTGCTATGTTCCCCACGCAACCTCACATCGTTCTGTTCCGAGGCTTGCAGATGCGCTAAGAGTGGGGAGGAGGAGGAGTTGAACATTTGAAGTTTCTAATTCCGTTGTTAGACAAACCCAGAATGGTATGGTGCTCATGTAACAACTGGATGGATAGGCTACCTGACGCAGAACCTCCTAATGGGTCTGCTCCAGAGTTTGATAACAGAAAACCATGTGTTATGTTTTTCTTGCACTGTTTGAACTTATTATAACTTTCTGACATCAGGCTATGGGCAGTGTAATTAAAAAGAGGTGCAGATGTGTAGCCTAAAAACTAACCATGTTAACTAACTAATCAGTTAAATGACAAATATTTATATATGAAACATTTCAACAGGTCCCTCTGTTAGTAAAATAATCCCTATGTCACTTTGGTCAAGATGGAATCACTGATGTGTGGACTCTGCTAATGACTGCTTAGGGCTTGCAAAAGCACATCACAGTATAAGCACATAATCACAGTCACAATGCCTTTCTGCAATTACCCCACCCAGGAAATACATCTGGGAGAACACACACACACCATTTTATAAAGTCAGACTAGTTAAGACAATTCTGACGTTTGCAACAGTAGGCCTATTTCTTATAGTATGTGATAAGAAAATAACAAGCTCCTTGGCCAGATCAGCAGGAACGCAAATGTTATGATAAATAGCACTTACTTTGTTGGATGACCTGACAAAAGTGCAACCTCATGGTGCCAAAATGATATTGGCACATCAACTTTCTCACAGGAGGAGCTCTAAAATGTAAGCATGATTGCATGATGGGTTTACAACATGTCATTGTGACATCCACTCACATAAACCAAAACTGAACAAAAAAATCCAGCTTCTTTCCTTTTGGCCCTTTTTGGCAATATGTTGCTCTTATTTTTAAGCTTTGCTATATGAATTTATGCAGCAGTTATTCTATGCAATAAACACATTGCGGTCTCTATGTTCTTTCATTTGGGACTGTTTCATTGTTGCCTCAGATTGCAGTATGACCACGTTGACCCTTAAAGTCCTGGACAAATCGGGAACTTTTACTCTTCCCTTGCAGTATGCCAAAGATAACACATCCCTGTTGTTAACACTAGGGACATAATATAGAGTTGGGTAATCTTAATCAATGGTTTTCATTTTTCTCTGTCTAGTCATCTGGGAAATGTATTTTTTAAATGACTGACCACAGTAGCCACGACTGTACTGCAGTACCAGATGGAAAATCATCAGAACGCAATACATTCTAATCCCTCAATCCACAGCCAACACTATCAAAATGCATACTCTGTGAAAAAAGATGTAAAGAAATACACACTAAGATTTTAGTCTTACATATCCTGAAACTGTAAGGCAGCCATATTACTTCCATATCCACATTTTACACTAGGTGGCAGATTGTAGCAAACTAAAGTAATTCATCTGGTTTCTTACTGTCCCATAGTTTTGTGATAGGAATGTTTTCCATTGGGCACTGGGCACTGGGCACTTTTCTATTAGTCATTATTAATTAAACAGTCTTGTACGTTGCAGTTTGTTAGACTAATCAATGTGTCCACGAAGGCCTTTTCATCGACCACACAAAGAGACAATCTTAATGGAAACCTGGAAAGAAGCACTTGTTTATGACCTCCTAAAATTATAATAAATTACCATATTTTTTTTGTGTGTGCCTAAATCGGCTTAGAATTAGCCATTGACATAGACCACACACTGTGGAAAAATCCAACTTTATATAATTGGCTGGCCAGTACTGAATTATAAAATAGTCTGCTCTGCACGTTTCAGACCAGAGTCACATGACTTGACATCATTCCTTGTGTAAGCTCTTTAAAGGCGAGTCAGAGCCAAGAGGCATTATTTGATCCACCCAAATTGTGTCCTCCCTCCGAACATCTTGGAATTGTCTAAGACACAGAGATGAATAGCAGACATTTGATCCAGTGAGGTGGAGTAACCATCAGCCTCATATATAATCAAGACACACAGTTCAATCTAAAATAAGCAACAATGACAACCATGGGGATACAATTATCTATTTACATTTACAGGGCCCTCAAAAGTAAAAGTAGAAATACTTTCCTGTCTTTGGAAAGTACATCAAATCAAATGTTATTGGTCGCATACACATATTTAGCAGATATTATTGAGGGTGTAGCAAAATGCTTGTGTTCCTAGCTCCAACAATGCAGTAGTATCTAAAAAGTCACAACAATAAACATCAATCTAAAAGTAAAATAATAGAATTAAGAAATATATAAATATTAGGACGAGCAATGTCGAAGTGGCATTGACTAGAATACAGTTGAATACAGTATATACATGTGAGATGAGTAAAACAGTATGTCAACATTATTAAAGTGATATATATATACTGAGTATACAAAACATTAAGAACATTAAGAACACAAATGGTGCAATTAACATAATTTGACACTATAGTCACTTTAATAATGTTTACATACTGTTTTACTAATCTCATATGTATATACTGTATTCTACTGTATTCTAATCAATGCCACTTCGACATTGCTCGAAGTGGCATTGTATTTATCCTTTTACTTTTGAGGGCCCTGTAAATGTAAATAGATCATCGTATCCCCGTGGTTGTTGTTGTTGCTTATTTTAGATTGAACTGTGTGTCTTGATTATATCTGAGGCCGATGGCTACTCCACCTCACTGGATCAAATGTCTGCTATTCATCTCTGTGTCTTAGACAAGTCTCTCTCTCTCTATATATATATATAGTTACTTTATTGAGGAAACATTTAGTTGTGCCTTGCAAAAGTATTCAGACCGCTTTGAATTCCTCACATTTTATTGTTACAAAGTGGGATTAAAATTGATTTAATTACATTTTTTTGTCAACAATCTACACAAAATACTCTGTCAGTGGAGGAAAAATTATATTTAAAAAAATAAAATAAAAAACATAACTAATATATAGTTGTTGCATAAGTATTCAACCCCTTTGTTTAGGCAATAAAATGTGGCTTAACAAATCACATAATAAGTTACATGGACTCACTCTGTGAAATAATAGGGGTTGACATGATTTTTGAATGATTAACCCTTCCTCTGTCCCCCATAGATACAACATCTGTAAGGTCCCTCAGTCAAGTATTGAATTTTCAAGCACAGATTCAACTACAAAGACCAGGTAGGTTTTTAGAAAGCTTCATAAAGAAGGGCAGCAATTGGTAGATGGGTAAAAATAACAAATCAGACATTGAATATCTCTTTAAGCATAGTCAAGTTAATAATTATGTGGATTATGTATTAAACCACCCAGACACATCAAATATACAGTGGGGAAAAAAAGTATTTAGTCAGCCACCAATTGTGCAAGTTCTCCCACTTAAAAAGATGAGAGAGGCCTGTAATTTTCATCATAGGTACATGTCAACTATGACAGACAAAATGAGAACAGAAATTCCAGAAAATCACGTTGTAGGATTTTTTATGAATTTATTTGCAAATTATGGTGGAAAATAAGTATTTGGTCAATAACAAAAGTTTCTCAATTTGTTATATACCCCTTGTTGGCAATGACACAGGTCAAACGTTTTCTGTAAGTCTTCACAAGGTTTTCACACACTGTTGCTGGTATTTTGGCCCATTCCTCCATGCAGATCTCCTCTAGAGCAGTGATGTTTTGGGGCTGTCGCTGGGCAACACGGACTTTCAACTCCCTCCAAAGATTTTCTATGGGGTTGAGATCTGGAGACTGGCTAGGCCACTCCAGGACCTTGAAATGCTTCTTACGAAGCCACTCCTTCGTTGCCCGGGAGGTGTGTTTGGGATCATTGTCATGCTAAAAGACCTAGCCACGTTTCATCTTCAATGCCCTTGCTGATGGAAGGAGGTTTTCACTCAAAATCTCACGATACATGGCCCCATTCATTCTTTCCTTTACACGGATCAGTCGTCCTGGTCCCTTTGCAGAAAAACAGCCCCAAAGCATGAAGTTTCCACCCCCATGCTTCACAGTAGGTATGGTGTTCTTTGGATGCAACTCAGCATTCTTTGTCCTCCAAACACGATGAGTTGAGTTTTTACCAAAAAGTTATATTTTGGTTTCATCTGACCATATGACATTCTCCCAATCCTCTTCTGGATCATCCAAATGCACTCTAGCAAACTTCAGACGGGCCTGGACATGTACTGGCTTAAGCAGGGGGACACGTCTGGCAATGCAGGATTTGAGTCCCTGGCGGAGTAGTGTGTTACTGATGGTAGGCTTTGTTACTTTGGTCCCAGCTCTCTGCAGGTCATTCACTAGGTCCCCCCGTGTGGTTCTGGGATTTTTGCTCACCGTTCTTGTGATCATTTTGACCCCACGGGGTGAGATCTTGCGTGGAGCCCCAGATCGAGGGAGATTATCAGTGGTCTTGTATGTCTTCCATTTCCTAATAATTGCTCCCACAGTTGATTTCTTCAAACCAAGCTGCTTACCTATTGCAGATTCAGTCTTCCCAGCCTGGTGCAGGTCTACAATTTTGTTTCTGGTGTCCTTTGACAGCTCTTTGGTCTTGACCATAGTGGAGTTTGGAGTGTGACTGTTTGAGGTTGTGGACAGGTGTCTTTAATACTGATAACAAGTTCAAACAGGTGCCATTAATACAGGTAACGAGTGGAGGACAGAGGAGCCTCTTAAAGAAGAAGTTACAGGTCTGTGAGAGCCAGAAATCTTGCTTGTTTGTAGGTGACCAAATACTTATTTTCCACCATAATTTGCAAATAAATTCATTAAAAATCCTACAATGTGATTTTCTGGATTTCTTTTTCTCAATTTGTCTGTCATAGTTGACGTGTACCTATGAT